GCAATTATGGAACCAAAAACGTAGAAAGATTTGTCGATTTGAAGATCACGAATCGCAGCATTATTTTTATGATCAGTTTGCGGAGCCGACGCGGATCTGAAAAGCTTCATCTTTGACTTTTTCGTAAATTGATCTAATGGAAGGAGGCATAGAACAGTGGCGCCCGAGGACCCGGAGAGTGGCGGATGTTCACAACAAATACGCACGGCACCTGCATCAAATTTCGTGCGCCTATGTAGAAAAGTGGAACATTGACATTGACAATGTACATGTACTGGAGATGCTGGTGGTGGCATTGGTGCAACGGGAAACTCTTCGCTAGCGAGCGGCTAGCACTTGTTTTTTCAGTTCGAAGAATGACCACTTCTCTGTCTGTTCAATATTACCGGGACTCCTGCTGCTGGTTTGTTCTGCCGCAGACTCGAAGTTGAACTTAGTACCTCGCTTCAATCCTCCAGATCAGCATCAGCGTCTGCAAGAACATCTAGAGTAGATAATTGCAGATCATCAAGGTGCCTATACATGAGTCTTTCGAAGATTGGCAATACCTCCGCTGCACGACTCCCAACATGTTGATCCTGCTCTTTATTGTCATCAGCCTCGCCCCGGCGGGTGTAAAAGTACCGCCCCGCTCGCGTTTTCGGCTGAAACGTCAGTTCGTAGTCTTCATTGCGGTGCAGTTCTTGCCTGCTCGTCACCTCCGCGGATCTCTTGAGTGGCTGCTGAATGCGGCGAAAAGCCCGAGGCAGGGCTACAGGAGACATTGCGTTCTTAGAAGAGATGCCACGGTCGTGAGGACTTAGGGTCCTGCTTTCTTGGTCTTGCGTCGCACCATTCGTAACATTCGCAGGAGAAGTCGAGCCATCTTTTTCTGCTTCCTCACCGCCTTCCGGAGCAGGCGGTGGTTCTTGTGCTGTACCCCCGCGGCCTCCTGTGCCGCTGTACAGCGAGGCATTTCTCAGCTTGAGAATTTCCTCCTGCCCAGCGGCGAAAGCCTCCTTCGTTTCTTTCTCCTCTTGCTGGTCCCGAGCTGCCTGCAACACCTCACCCACCTGCAGCTGCCGGTCCATAAACTTCCGTACCGCGGCGCTGTTGCGCTGCGCCCACGTCTGCTTGCCGCTGTTGTTTAGTAATTCTTCGCTCTTCCTCGACAGCGGCCGGGGCGCGAAGCTGCAGCTCTTTTCCTCCTGCGTTTCCTTCTCGACTCGTTTGGCGTCGCGCCAGCGGGCCCGTCGCTTCTCCCACACGGAACAGCGCTCGATCAAGTTTTCGAGCTTCAGCCCCTTCTGCGACCCTCGCCCCTCCGACGCGGCGAGCACGTTGTTGCTGCGCGCCAGCCGAATGGTCTCATACTTTTTCTCCTGCAGCAGCTCCGCTTGCAATTTCCGCTCCCGGGCCTCCTGCAACATGCGGTCGCGGCGGAACCCGTCCATTATGGAAGCGTCAGGTTTGAGATCGACAGCATTGAAATGATTTGCCATGCATAAAATGCAAGGCATGAAGTGCCTGTCTTGCCGGGATGGCAAGTGGGGCAGATTGTAAGCCTATTTAGGGTTTGGGATAGAGCTGCTACAGGAGCATGACAAAAGCAGTCTTCTGTGCCCAAACGGCATGACAAATTGGATTCCGGTGCTCCGATAAATTGTCATGCGCCGCTTACAAATTGGGCTTCCAACTGGTATCGATCTTATGCATTACAAGTTATTTCAACTTTGTCGATTTCAATCCTGACACTCCCATATCCAGGTGTAGCCGCGTAAAGCGGTCCGGGGCCTTCTTCGGGGGCAGCAGGCTCAGCGCCGACGCGGTTGTATTGGGTTTCGTGTAAAAGTTTCTTGTCCGCGCTGCCGTTTCTACACTTTGTTCAGGGCTGCCAGCCATTTGTAGTTCCGGTTGTTGATGTTGAGCCTGGACAACTTCCGATGAAAATTCCTCTCGTCCCACTGCTGGCATCGCTCCACCGCTTAGAGGTTCTTGTTCTTCATTCCCACTCATATTACTTTTCTTTAATACCCCGCTCGGTGGACTCGTCGTTTCTAGTAGCTCGTCTCGCCGAATCTCGTCGGTGTAGCGCCCAAGATTCAACATCCACGAAGAGTGTCCAAACAAAGTTTTGCCGACACTTCTCTCGTCTTCTTGGTCCTCCGGAAGATCAACATCTGATGCGAATCCGAAAAGCCTCCGGTTACCTCTATTGTTGCTTGTCCCGGTTCTAGTTCTTGAACCACTTCCAACCGCGCCTTGTCCTCGTTTAGAGGAACGGTTTCCTCGCGTTCCCTCCTCTTCCAAAAATCGTTTCCGCAAACTGGCCTCGTGCGAAGCATCGTCGGGGATACTCGTGGCTGGATCGATGAGTAGCTCGTCTGCAAACAAAGCAGGACTTGCTCTGCTAGAAACGGCGATAAGGTTTGCCTTGGCCTTGTCCACATTTTCCCGCACCCGGGCTACTTTTGCGAAAAATTCCGGATTGTGGGCGGTCAGAAAGGCCAGTGCAGCGTTGGGGGTAGAAACCAACGTGGAGAGGTCGCGTTCGAGCGAAGCCGCTGAAGTTCTCGCTACAACCACGGGAGTTTCATCCAGCGGATGAACTTCTCCAACACTAAATTCTTCTACTTGATGAGTTTCCGTCATCTCGGGAACTCCTTCTTGTTTGCGTTTCTTCTCGAGGAATAGCCGGAAGGATTTTTCGTGCAAGGAAGAGGAGGACGAGGAAGAAGATGCACTCGAGCCGCCCGAGGACGAGGAGGAGGATGCAGCACTGATTCTGTTACCCGCGGAACCCTCCCCCTCTCGTCCCTGCTTCAAGAATCTGACGCGGCCTGTGCTTCTGCTTTCCCCGTCCGCGGTGCGGTTCTCCTGCTCTAGTTTATTTCCAGCTGCAGGCGTTTTTGCTTGACTTTTCGAAGCAGGCACGTCTGCACTGACATCAAAAGCTTTTGAAGATGTTCCCGCTACTAGCACACGACCGTCGGCTGGAGCTTGTCGTGCAACATCATGGTCCAAGTGAAACTCATCACTGCTCGAAGAGAAAAACTTGGCTGCGATCAAGGGTGTCAGTTCCACCACAGCTACTTGCTCATCTACAGCAGACTGCTTGTAGTTCACGACCGGGTCGTCGACGTCAAGAACATCGCTCCTGCTGCTCTTCGGGAAAGCACCGCCAGAAGATGACTGCGCAGCTACAGCTCCCCCATCGAGAGGAGCAGGAGATGAAGCCTGCAGCTGAGTTGTACTTGCTTCTTTCACTGAAGATGCAACTCCTCCTGCAGTAGTAGCGTCTTTAATACCACCTCCACTCTTCGCAGTTGTACCAAGCGAAGGCGCCTTAGCGCTTTTCGTTGCCGCTCCTTTTTGCTTCGCTTTATTACTGGCTGGTCGTGGCGGAGTTGCACTTACGGGGGCAGGACCACCTTTTGCCTTCATCTTAGAAGAAGGGAGAACCACGGCACCTGGAGCAGACTTGACCTTCGCAGGACTTGCCGGCGGTGGACTCGTGGTCTTGGCTTGCGCTCCGGCTGGGGAAGGGGTTCTGCTTTTCGGCTTGGGAAAGGGTTTAATATTCAGCTGCTTTTCTTGTGGACTGGAAGGACTTATTCTGTTACCCGATTTGAGTTCTTGCTTAGTGGTCATGATCTTCTTCGTCGTTGTACTTTCTGGGGCAACTACTACACTGCTGGCCTTTTTTTTGGCCCCAGCGGAGCCCGAAGGGGTAGGAGCCTTTGCTTTTGCTTTTGCTTTCCCCGGCCTTGCTTCTGGGACGAACAGAAAATTCCTGGCCTGCGCTTGTTCATCCACCGATAATATTATGCTTGCTTTACTAGTAGCATCCGTAGTTCCACTTCTATTCATCGTGCTCTCACTCGCCATATTGCCTGTGGACGTCGACAGGCCGCTTTGAAGATTTTCCCTCTGGACTCCTTGCAGATGCGCGGACAATTTCCCCCGACGACCTACCACGCTCTCCACGAAAGAGCTGCCGCACGACTGCAGCAACAGTGTCAGGGTATCGAGCAATTCGCGCTGCAGATACTGTGTGCGATCCAGGATAAACGCGAGCTCGCTCGCCTCGGCAAATACTACGCTGCTATAAAAATCCTGCTCCTCGCCGAAAACTACTCGCATCTTCATTTGCTGCTGGTCAACACTTCTGCCCGGCGGGGACAATAAAGCCGCCTCGTGAGCGCCTTCTTGGAAGCGGAGTGTTTTTTTCGTTGATGCAAACACTTCCTCTCGACGTCCGCTGTTCTTGCGCTCGTCCTTGATGTTCTTGTTGTTGTCTCCGTCCCCGTCGTGCTTAATAAGAATCGTGCCACGTTCCTTCTTTTCCTGGCCGGGCGTTCTTGTTTTGCGACTTCTTTCATCGTCTTGTTCCCGAGACTTTGACTTCTTTTTCTTCTTCATGATTTCACGATCAGAGAAATTTTCGTGGCTGTGTTTCTTGTTGTTCCTGCTCGTCTCGACGTCCCTTTTTTTACGAGAATTTTTTCGAAAAGGACTTCTGCTCGACGAGGACTTCTTTTCTACTCTAGACGAATCCACCTTTTTGTCCATTCTCGCCGAGGAACCAGACTTTTTGCGCTTTTCCTTTTTCGGCTTTATTTTTACTGTGTCAGGACTCCTAGCAGCATAATATGCATCTTCGCGAAGAAGATGATGATCCGTACGCCGCCCAAAGAAGCGGTCTTCGTCTTCTCTTTCGGGGGGACTTATTTTCCTATCTTGTTTCTTGCTTTTTTTCTTCTTGCGCGAGGTTGACCGCGAACCGGATTTTCTACTTCTTCGTTTTGGTGTAGTTCCCGTCTCGCTTGCTTTCGGCTCCTTCTTTCTCATCAAGCATGAAGTTCGCAGCAAGATATCGTGATCATATTCATCTTCTGCTTCATCAGTTTTATCCGAAGATGATCCCTCTGGCTCTACGGCTGGCCGCATTTTTCGTCGCACAGGTGTACCGCTTTGAAGAGTGTTGCGAGTGCGAGGACTACTACTCCGATAGTTGTTCGTCGTCGATGCTGAAAGATTAACATTATCCCTTGATGAATTTCTATTTTTCCGTTTTCCGACCTTTATTTCACGACTGTGGTTGCGTTCTTCCTCATCTTTCTTGTTCTGGTAAAACGCAAACACCGCGGTGGTGTTTTTCTGTTCGTCCACCTGCAAGCTCTTTTTGCTTTTCCTACTACTGTCGTCAGCAACAAAGCCGCCAGCAGAAGTTGTGTCTTCTACTTCTTTTTTGTTTCTCTGCATCTTCATTGTAGCCCATTTCGGTTTTTTTTCTTGACGGTCGGGCAGTTCCGTTGGTTTTGATGTAGTTGAAGCTGCGAGTGTAGTAGCAGATGTTGAACCCACTTGATTCATTTTCACCGTTTTGATGTTTCTTTCCCTCCTACTACTCGTCAGAAACTGCCCCACTACGTGGTCGTACAGGCTATCGGCATCGGGAAAAAGCCGCTCCAAGAACTCTTCCGGGGTGTTTTCCACCTTGGCAGTAGACCTTGCATTTTTTCTCGTCGGCGACGAGGAAATGGATCTGCTCGATCTTGCCATTTGCGAAGCCGTCGCCTTAGAAGTACCACCAGGAGATGATGAGATAAAGCCGGTTATCAAATCTATATCGTCTCCTGGAGATGACAAGACCATTCCATCTTCTGACGATTCACCCCTTTTAGTTCCGTCTCCCGCTTCGGGTTCGGGGCTATCAGCCGTCGCAAAATAATTCGTTCCCGCCAACAGTTCTTTTGCGTTCGGGCTGCGCCACGGCCGCGGGTGTCGGAACTTGTTCGTTTGGTAGTACTTATTCCCGTAGTCTCGCTTGTGTTCCCGCATAAAATTTCGGGACACCTCCTCCAGACACACGCGCACCAGCTTGGCGTCCTCGACCTGCGAGGCGGACAGTGTTGCTCGTCTTGGTGCAACTCCATCAACTCCTTCAACTTCTCCTCCGGTGGCCCCACCGCCCGGCGAACTGCTACGGCTTCTCACTTCTGCGTTCGGAGACATAACGGGGCTAGAGCTCCTGCTAGAAGTAGATCCAGGTCCACCTGCTCCTCTACTTGTAGTCCTCCTCGTCGTGCTAGAAGTCCTCTTGTTGGCAGCACCCTGTCGCTGCACGTCAACGTATTGACTCATCTTGCCACTTGACTCATTGCCCCCGCCGCGCAGGGTCGTGTAGAAAGCGGCGTTGACGAGGTTTGGGTTAGTCAGCAACGCTGTCGGGGAGGAAACAGAGAGGTTGTCAATCCGGTGGTCGTTTTGATGCTGGTTCACCTGCAACATTGTGTGTGTCTTGCTACTGTTGTACATCATCGCCAGCACATCTTGTCGCAGCTGTTTTGACAACGAGCGGGCCACCTTCCAGATCCAGCGCCACGTTCGTTCCAGGATTTTCTTCCGCACTTGGTTCAAATATTGCGTGTTCTCCGTGTATCCACAGTAAATTTCCTACACATCTACAAATGCGGTTTCTGCATGACAAAGCTTTCTTTTAATTCTATTCAGCATGACAAGCGGCATGCTCCAAGTTGGTGACAGTTGTGACGCAAACGCATTTTGTACATGTACAGGAAATTTGTATTGCATACCGTGCAGAGAAGGTTCACAAAGGACGCCGCTCGCCGGTAGACCGTGTCGACGTTTTTCAAGCGGTACAGGAACAGCAGCTTCTCTTGTCGGGAGGTTGCAACTGGGGGTGCTCTTCTACTCGTAGTGGACGACGATGATCCCACACGCTCTCCTGTTGCTCTCCTGCCCTGCTTGTTCTTCTCAGCTTGTTCCTCTCGGTTCTGGTTCTTTGTCGTGATTGGGGTTTTTACACTTGGTGTTCGTGTTCCTCCCTCCGCCGGCAATTGTCGAAACAGGCGGTAGTTTCGGGCATTCGTCCGTGCTTGCGTGAAGTGCATGCTCGCCATACTCCGGTCAAATTCGAGCTTTTTCCGGTTCTGCCTTGGCTTTTTTATCTTCCTTTCATTCAGTACTGTTCTTGTAGCCGCTCCGCTTCTAAAAGCCTCCTCCTGATCATCCTCCTCACCGCCTCTACTTCCCACGATCCGCTCTACCACGACCCCGTCCGCTGGCCGGAAAAGATGCACGTGCTGCTTGCGCAACTGCCAGCAAAACGCATCTTCACCGCTCAGGCACGCGATCAAGTTGAGTGCGTACAGAACGCACTCCTTGAACAAATTCGTCTTGCTCCGCCTTACCAAGTCCAGTTTCTCCTCTCGGGAGAGCAAAGCGGAAAACCGGTTCGCGACCCGCTTAATATTGTTCTTCGCAGTGGCCGCGGCTATGACGTTCGTTGACGTTGTCTGCGGGAGGGTCGTGTCGTCAATTTCGTTGAAATCGTAAAAAACGTTGTTCCCATCGACAAACAAGTTTTTGCTCCTGTTGTACACGAGCGCCAGGCGGCGGCTGTCCTGCTTGACGTCGGCCAAGTACTCTAGGACGGCTTGGTCGGTGATGTCGAGCACCTCGACAATGATTTTGTCCACTTCCTCCATCATCACCGGGGCGTTTTGCTTGGCGTTGCCTCTTTTCACTTTATTCTTGTTATCTTTTCCCCTAGGAGCAGCGGCAGTAGTACTTCCTCCGATCAAGGAGCCGACATTTGCGTGGTAGTCCCGATGTTCGCTGGAGCTCCAAAGCGCGCGCGTGCGGACGACCATGGGGCTGCTGCTGCGAGAAGGGCTTTCTTTTATGTGCGGCTCCTTGGATTTTTGGTCCTTCAGATGTTGACCTCGTTGTTGTTCGCGCGAAGTACTAGATGTTCTACTTGATGAAGCAACGCTTACCTTCTTTCCGTCTATGCTTGTAGAAAGAACGTCTTGTTCTCTATTCTGCTCGTCCAAGACAAAGCCTACCACTGCCAGCACATCCGAGCTGAATGTTTCCGATAGTTGTCGCACGATCTCGGCCCGCATAGCGGAGACGGTGTCCAGATTCGGCTTGTATTCCAGCTGCACCTTCGTCAGATACTGGAAATCCAGGTGAGCTCGTGGGGACGACGAGGAAGATGATTTCTGATGCTGCTGCCCAGCAACAGGTAGTTTTGCTGCTCTTTTACTTTTTACTCCTACTCCACCTGCTATAGAACTACTTGACGGGATCATTTTTTGCACCAGCACCACCTCGACCTCCCTTCTTTTTTCCGGTTCCGCCTTGTAAAGGTCACCTTGCTTCACCACAATCCCAACCGCCTTCTGCAGGTGCAACCGAACCAACTCTGGCAAGACGATCTTTCTCGTTAACAGATCGAACAGCCTCCGCTCCTGCTCCAGAAGTTGCAAAACTTGCTTCGCGTAGAGGATGAAGTGGGATAAAGTCTTGTTATTTTCGTAGTTCTTTTTATCATTTTTATCAGTATGATCATGATTGTCCTGCTCCCGCCGACTGAAACGACTGTGGTCCACCGCGGTCCGTAGAAACAACAGGGCCTCCAAAATCCCCGGCCGCTCCGCGTCACAGGCCATCCGCTGCACGGCGCGCGAAACCTCGCTATCCAAGTGCGCATGCCACAGGCCGAGAGGATGGGTACCGGGGAAAAATGGGCGACGAGGTGGCTCTTTATTTTTGCTGAGATAATTATCGGCAGCTTTTCCACCATTTTGACCAGTCGAAGATGATCCTTTCTCCGATTTATTTTTCTCGTCATTCTTTCGGTTTTTATTTCCGACATCAAGGAGGGGCAGCAAGGCGGGTAACAGGAACCGGAAGCGACGTTTGATAGTGCTGCAGTCGGTCAGTTTTGCCGACGCGTCGAGCTTCGCCACGTAGGCCGCAGCAGTGGTGTAACAGAGGGGTACAGCTCGGTCCTGCTCGACGTGCCGGGAATTCAGAAACGCAGCCAGCAGCTGGCTGTCCATGGTGAGCACGACCTTGTTGTGTGAAGATGGCTCAGAACCTACCACGACCCCGGTGGCAGGTGGCTGGGACGACGCTAGGGAAGGCATTTTTGACGAGATATAGAATTAGAAAATCTGATCGAAGGAAATTTTGCTTTTCAGTTTAACTTTACGATACTTTTTCAACAAAAACCACAGAATTCTCAACTTTCCTCGAAGAACCGTCCTTGTGGAAGTAATACATGAAATTATGCGGACAACTACTACTTGAGGAGCTTTATTTTATCGTGGGAAAGTTGCAGCTCACACGGAGTATACCCATAATAGAGAAGCACGAGTTGGTCCCTGACCCTGTCGGTCCCATGCCTTTTCCGAATCTTCTTGCTGTACGACGGGCACGACGGTATTAATTGAAATTGATGATGTATGAATTATATTCCTCAATTGAAATTTAAAGAACTCAAGACGAACTACCTACATACTAGGTGCGACAGCGACTGCATACACGACGACCCGAGCGAGAGAGTTTCACTAATGACACTTCATTCTTTATAGTCTAAAAACTACAAACAGCAGCATGCTAGCTACGGCTGGTAGAAGCTTATTGAAACTCTTCCAGTGATGTTTTATTTTCAGCAATACGATCAGAAAATGGATCCGCCACGAAAACTCGACTTGTTTTCCTCCAGGGACATAGACACGATAAGCGCAATCGCATAGTGCGAAGGAAGTCTGCTAGTCTGTGCGACAGAATGAGTAAGTATCTTTCCAAGAATCTTTCCAAGACGAGCTGAGCGAAGATGACAGCGTACTACGGCCCCCGCAAGCCAAGGGAGTAGAGCTGCAACTTGTCTAAAGACCCCGCGCTTTGGCGCACAGCGGACTTCTCACAGCCACTATGCCGGAGGACGGATTTTTCTTTGCCACGGTTCCATCTGGAACGCTTTTCTTTTCTCGGCATATCTTCTCCACTCTTCACCACCGTTTCTGTGGCAGTCTTTGTTCTACTTTCAGCGGAACCGTATGAGCATTGTTGTTGTTCTTGAAGCTGCTCTTGCGTCAAGAAAGTCGCAGTCGAAGCAGATGACTGTGCGTTGGTGCTGATATGTTGATCTTCCACCACATGATCAAGATGCGTATGTGGATCTGGATGCTCATTCTGATTCTTATTCTTAGTTTCAAAATGAACTTCATCCCTCAATACCAACACCACCTCCTTCGAGCACTCTAGGTAGAAAAACCCCACCTGATAATCGGCATACCCTTCTGGTCTGTCGTTGTCGCACCAAAACTTCCCGGTGTGCGGGGGATTCGGCTTGCTCGCCACGGTCCGTTTCTGTGCGTAGAGGTAGGCAAACTCGCGCTCGCGTATTAAAAACGACCTTGGAGGCGATAGTGCGACCACGCGCCGGTCTGCGGGTCGTACAGTGTCTGGTCGCATAATTTCTTCCGCTGCAATAGCCTTTGCTGCGTGATCGTCAATCGCGGCCCACTCCGCGTCCGTCAGATCATTCTGAGTCGCTTTTCTTGTTCCAGAAGACCTTGATGCGGAGGTCCTCTCAACACTTTTGTTCTTCTCACGATTCGACAAAAATAAGCAGGACTTCAGGAACTTGTCTTGCATAAACCAGTGCTCATCGTAGAAAGCGTGGTGTGGCTTCCGGCGGACGAAGGGAAAGCTCGGGAGATGGATCTGCTCCGCCGTGAATTCCAGATAGGGCCCGTGGTATCAAATGCAAATACGTCTAGGTCTGGGAGGATGGAACTTGTCATGCTAAATCTGAATCAGGCAAAAAACTGTGCTGCATGATCGCCAAAAGTTGTGCACTTTTGACCTAATCGAGAGGCAGTTTCTCACGCAGGATAGGCATTAGAAAGGTCTCGCAGACTCTGTCATGCAGCCATGTCCTACATGCCAGACTTCATGGATCATGGAAAACCTGCATGACAAGTCTGACAATCTTCCAGACCCAGACATTTTTGCAATCCATACGTGGTCACCGAAAACAATGCGGCGGTAGCCTTTCTCGGACACCAGTGTCTTCGGAGTCTCTTTCATGGTTCTTAGGTCTATGTCGAAGTCGCCGCATTGCAGGTAGAGCGAGAAACGAGCGCGAGAGTTCTTTGGGCGGCTGGAAGTGGAACAAAAATCTCTAGTGGAAGTAGAAGCCGCTGAGGAAAGGTAGAAGTCCTCTGGTTTCAGGAACTCCGGCAGCCCAAGTTCAGCTAGCACCCGGTCCCGGTCCCGGAGCCGGTTTGGGAGGTTCTGCGTCGTGCTTTGCAACATGGGTGGCTTTTCTGGATCATCACATCAGAGTTTCAAAATTGATTGAAGCCGAAGCTGATGATGGCTTGATAACGACGCAGAAAACGGAATACAGAGTTGTACTTACAGTGGGATGCAGCAACAGTGTGAACGCGCTTACTTTTCTCTAGATCTAGTATTCTACCAACATAAAGAAAGTGCTTTTTCTTCAGCGACCTGCGATAATCTTTTGTTCACCGACCTGTGAGGACATTACTGCCTCTACTACTACCCTTGTTATCATCCATGTTGATCGCTGGCGTTTACATATAATCTTGAGCGTGATTTTTTAGTAGTAGCCACATTGTTTTTCCGAGGACCCCGAGAGCGCGAGGCTTGCGCCATAAGAACTGCTGACCTTCAGCTTCACACAAGACAACGAGAGAATCGATAAATCGCCGGTGCTACTAGACGGCTTCTCGCCATTTCGGTCGTCGTGTTATCTTCATTTATTTTGTTCCTGCAGTCAGTAAATTCGTCCAGATACTGCTGGCCGCCCGTTCAAGGTTGTGATTTTCAAATTTCATTCCGTCAAACCGGCGACCACAAGCCTACTGATAAGCACCCATTTGACCGCAGTGCGCAGCGCTTCCACCTAACTAAGCCTAATAGGAGCACTTTTTTACTTCTAGATGACGTAAGTATTCTTGATCGGTTTTTTTCTTTGAAATTGAGATTCGGGATGTACTGCTACGTAAGATTCACGAGATAGAACGGTCAGAAACCGTATCGTTATTTGTAATTGTAATGTTTATGTTGTCATGCAATGGCATAATGTAGACCCAACTGCCCCTTCGCAGGAGCTTCACAGCCGCGAATATAGTATGTACAGCTGATGTACCACTACTATGTCTAGCCGTACTACCTAAAACAGCACTAGAGTAGTAGCCCCCACCTACTACTTTCACGTGAGAAAACAAGTCACTAATTTTGACACGATTCCGGTCTTGCGTTGCACCTGCTCCTGCGCCACACGCTGGCAATGTGTATCAAACAGCTCGTGTCGCACACAGACACGTCGTCTGCTTCTGCCCCGTGCAGGCTCAGCACGTCCGACCGCGGCAGTGCCGCAGTGACATCCGCCCACTCAGGGTGCCGCAGCGCGGTGGAGCCGGAAAATTTCACGAGAACCTTCTTGTCTGGATGGATCGCGACAACCGTTCCTTCCGCCCCCTCTAAGAAATCCTCCACGGGGCTGCGCAGCCGGACGCGGGTGCCAACACCCGCGTACAGACTCTCCTCCTGTATTCGCGCAAACCAAGCGGCCTCCATCTTGCGATGCAGAGAAACCGCGTTGGCTACATGATCAAGGTCTTGCTTTTGTTCTTCCGGTTGTGCCAACTTTTGATAATCCAACTCGAACTCGTCCCGCTTGTTCATCTTTGAGGACCTCCACGCGGACGACCTAATCTGGTGCCAGAAATCCACCCGCGAACCCCGAATCACGGTCTCGTAGTACGCACTCATTTCCACAGCGGCATTAATCAGCCACCAAAACCGCTCGATCGTCAGTTTCTGCGTCTTCGCAGGCTTGAGTCCGTACGCACGAATCAGGGTCAAAAACGCGTTCGCAATCGTCACGGGGCGGCAGGTTCTGCTGCCCGGTGGATTTTTGGAGTGGTCAGGACTTCTTTTCGTAGCAAATTTTTTCTTGCTGCGACTTGTTGACGTAGCTCTCCTTCTTGGGAGTTGTTCTTCTTGTTGTAGCACGCTACTTGCACTACTACATCTTTCGTCGTTCAGCACTTGCGGTCCGAACAGATCCGCGACATCCACAGCGAGGACGGGTAAGACGCCCTCCAAGTCTTGCCAGACGTGCTTGCTGCGCTGGAACAAAACCACGTACTTCGCCAGGCGCGACGCTGCGACCAGAATATGTTCCAATCGGGCCGGGTCTAGGAGCGCACGAGGTCGTCCACCAGCTGTTGAACGACGATTGGACTTCTTGTTGTCGTGCACAGAACCTTCACGCAGGTTGTTCGTTAGACAGGTCCCCTGCCTTTTTTTGCGCTTTTTCGTTCCTGTCGCCCAACCAGATGAAAAAGAACCTCCCTGCACGCAATCCCTGCTGCGCAGCAACAGCGCCCGCAGCAGAAAGGACAAGCTGTGCGGAAGCAGACGCATGATCTGCACGTGCGCAGCGACGCTGCCGGCCTTCTGTAACCCCTGAGCGCACTGCTCATCGCAGCCGGTACGTGCGCGCCAGCGCTCGGTGATGCGCGGCCAGAAGGGGCGCAGGAATCGTTTCAGGTCTCTCAACATAGCTTGTCCTCGTCCCCCTCTCGCATTAATGTTCTTGGGGATGTGCTGATTTGGTGGACCTTCTTTCCACGCAGCTTGGGGAAACGACGTGGCGAAACCTGGGCGGGGCGAAGAACTTCTGGCACTTCTACTTGTGCCACTATCGTCTTGTCCAGGTCCAGTACGGGTATTCATTTTTCTTGTCCTCCTGTCTGTGTTGTAAACTGACCGGAGGTACTGCTGCACCAGAGACAATACCAAAGACTGCACAAAGTGCACTTCAGATTTGAATCGGTCGTTCTGAATCTGCCGATGCACGGTGCGCGCGAAACTCGCGGACACAGCGCCCTTCAGCGCCAACTCGACTTCGCGGAGAACTATCGGGAGGTTTTTTTTCGTCACGTCCGCGGTTTTTTCTTCTGCTTGTCCTCCCTCTTCGGAGTGCTGCTCGAGGTGCAGCTGGCCAAGAGTTGGCACTTCTTCTTCTTCTACTTGTTTATTTCGAGAAGTAAGTTTTTCTATGTCTGAAGAAGAACTTTTTTTCAACAGTTGCTCCATCTCCAACTGCTCTTTCACTTTGATAACCGCCATCTCGCGCTTCGCGACGCTCTGCATGCGGTGGACGAGTAAGTTCGAGTCCACCTTTCGCAGATGGTAAAACGTTTTTTTATCGAACTGGTTTTTTTTATGCTGCGAAAAATCTCCGAAGTCCTGATGTAGTTCCGCGAAAAGAGATTGTAAGAAAAGGAGCCCCTCCTCATTTGCTATGTTAGAAAATCGCTCGTGGATCACCACGGCGGCCTGGTATATTGCTTCTTCATCACTGCTGGTGCGGGGGTTGTACATCGGCACCTCAAAAGTCGAACTTCCAACAGCAGTGGCGCTTGTTCCGAAGGTTTTTTCCAAAAACAGCTTGCACACCGCGTAAGCCGATTCCACCCCTTGCAGCCACGTGAACTCCCGGAGCTCCCGCTGGTAGTCCTGGCGCTTCACGTAGTTATACAGCCAGTGGGGGTATGGATTGCAAATATGTCCGGGCCTGGAACATTGTCGTGGTATTGGAGTGTTTATCATTGAGCCTTCTCATCCAGAGCGCGCATGAGAAACTACTGCATTTTTGCATGACAGAAGAGGGTTTACGCAATACAGATTTTCCAGGCTCATGCTAGCCAAAAAAGACAGGCTTTATTTTTCCAGACCCAGACCACGTATTTGCGATGGGTACATACATCGTGTTCTCCACGTCTTTGCCGCTGATGGCCAGAAAGTAGTGCAGCCCGTTCCGCTGGATCAGCGGCCGCAGGTGCGTGCGAAACAACCGACTCGCCACGTTTCGTCCGTGGTGCTGCTCGGCGGCGTAAATGCTCGAGGCCAGCTGGTTGATCAAATCTCGGGGCACCAGCGGGTGCGCTCGGTCTACCATCAAGAGTCGCTCGGCGGTGTTCTTTGGGTTCTGCACGTGCTCGTGGGAAAGACGGGAAGAATACAGTACGTGACGCCAGTACCTGAGTATCAAAATCAGACACAACGTCGACGTCGCGCACGACCAATTAGTAGAAATTGATCAACGAAATTCGAGCTGGTGCCCTCGAAAAGTATGTATCCCTTGCGTGCATCAAAAACAAAATCAAAAGCTAAAGCAAATCTTTATGCATGAAGAGTCATCAATTATGAATACTCTTGCACAGCCTTGAGACTTGCGAACGGCTTCTGACTCTGGCCCGCAGAGGGCGAGGTCCCCGGCCCAGCCCCCTCCCTTGCTGCCGTTTCAAGCAGCTTCATCAATGGGTCTGGGTTGCTCGAGGCCGCATGGTGCAGTGCTTCCGAGTTTTCCAACATGTGCATGGCGTCCAATTGCAAGCGGGTCAAAACAGATTTCAACTCTTATTCTGAGGAAAAACGTCCCCACACCCGAGTCATCAACAAGATGGAAAATCTGCTAGACAAATCAGCCAGCTTTGGTTGTTTCGCATGACAAGTTTGTCCTCGTAGTGTAATCATATTTAGGTAGTTCAGCAGCATCACAGATCTAGCATATCATGCTGATTATAGCATCACAAATTCCAAAACACGACTAGAAAATGCCTCTCATGGCGCTCCGCATTAGAAACCTCTTTGACAAGCAGATTTGCATGACAAGAACTCTGGGGTGGGGACGTTTTTACTCAGAATAACTCTCCGACACTGCACTGAATGGGTTCTTTCGTACAAGGCAGCGGCTGCTCCCGCGCGTCTTTCTTGCTCGTCCAGGTGTTCGTTCTTATCAACTGTAAAAATGTCTGAGTCTGGAAGATTCTGAAACTTGTGATGCACGTCTTGCATGAGCCATGATGTCTGTGATGCACGCCCTAGCATCACATAAACATATTTTTTGAGGGCATCTTGAACTTGATGCCTATTCCGCATGACAATAAATGCGAATGCCCTATCATTGTAGCAAAAATTATACTCCTTTTGCTACTCATGCAATACAAATTTTTTTGGAATCCAAATGCAGCATCACAAGTTGCATTCTTCCAGACCCAGACATTTTTGCAATCCACAGTTCTCGGAGGTTTAATATTGTCGCTGCTAGTACTGTCGTCGAACAAGCTTGACACCGTTGGGGTGAAGGTGTGCGGCTTCTGTCTTTCGAGCAAAGTGGGGCGCACTCCCGGGACGTACCCTGCTTCCGCTTTGCTCGCTTTCCAGTGCGTATCCAAGCAGGAGTTGCCACTGATGCGAAAGTACAGATCCGAAAGGACTTCCTCTTGTTTTACTTCATCTTGGGCAGACTTTCTCTGGTGGTCATCGTCGTTGCTGTCGTGCTGGGAATTTTGATCATGAAGGTCGTGGTCCTGCTGATGTTGCTCTTGGTCCTCTCGTGGTCCTGCTTCGAAGTCGACTACTTCCATGCTTTTACTTTCAACTTCAAGTTCAACATCATCCGCAGAAGCACCAAAGCCAGCCCGCGTTTTGCCGCGCCGGAATTTCTTCGTTTCCGCGGCCATACAGTCTTGGTTTTTCACGACTTCCCCAGTGTCCGCGTCAATCGCATCGCCTGTGTTGACGTTGATAAGAAACAGCTTCGCCCCCACCGCCTCGGCAGTCCACACGGAAAGCCACTCGTGATACAGCTCCTTTTCCTGCTGCTGCTGCTCCAGCTGGGGCTTGTCCGAGGAACCGGTTTCAGCATCTTTAAGATGAACCTCGTCACGATCATTTCGGCTCTTCACCTCTTCTTCGACTGCTGCAGGTTTATTCTTGTTCCCTCTCGCATTCATTTCCCGGCCCGACGAAGATGTCTCCCTGCGGTCCGTAGCATTTTTACCACCACCAGCTGCACTTCCAACAGGGACTTCCGGCACGGCGGTGATGTTCTCCACTCGCAAACTGGTGTGGCCCACCCGCTGACAGACGGCGTGGTTATGGTTCTGCAGCACCTCCGCGAATACCTGTGCCAGTTGGACGGACTGCGTGGCTTGCTCGAAAATCATGTCGTGATCCAGCACTTCTTGCTTGTTCATGTTCTTCTTCTCGGAAGATTTTTCATCTTCTTGCCTCGATGAAGATGCAGAAGATGACGAAAAGGACGTCGACCTGATCCGCCCGGTGCGCATCAGTTCCCGGCGCATGGCAAGGGACTCACTGACGAGCTTCGCGTAAATCTCCACCGAGGCCTATCCTATGTAAAAACGTCCCAACCCCGTAGTCGAGATGGGGATTTTGCAACACAAACGTAGGAGTTTTGGGAGTCACGCATGACAAGTTGCGCTCCGTAGTGTAGTGCAAGTTAGCAAGTGCAGCCGCATCACAGATCCATCTGCTTATCCTGTTCACAGCATCACAAATTCCAAAACACGATTGGAAATGTCTACCATGGGTATGCGCATCACAGATGTCCCTGTCGTTGCAAATCTGCATGACAACTCTGGCGTGGGGACATTTTTACTGAGGATAAGGCCAGGAAGCTCCAGACGGCGTCGCCGCCGCTGACCTCCGAAAAGTCGGACACAAACATGCGCTCTTCCATTTCAAATCGCCACCGGTAGGCCAGGTCTTGCTTCCACGCAGGACGCACACTTTCTTTCGTTTTTTGCTTGCCACTTGACCCTGTTGCTGCAGCAGGTGGTGGACCCCCTGCTCGTGGTCCTTCAGCGTTGTCATTCTCATATCTTTGCTCTTCTACTTCTTGCAGTAGCAGTACGCGGAGCAATTGGGTCTCCGCCTCGGAGAGTGGCACAACTACGCCGCTTTTCTTCTTCTTGATGCTGTCGCCGTTTTTAAGATTGTTCATGTTCTTACCATCTTCCTTCCGCGCTTTTGAGGTCGTCGTCGAGGAGGTGGCGTTTCGTTTTTGATATTCTTCATCCCGTTTTATTTCTGCTTTCGCGTCAGAACTCATGATCCCGTACTCACCGTCACCAGAGGACCTCCCGGTGCCGTAGTTGTTTTTGTACATCGCTTTTCTTCTCGCATCCACCGCAACCGCCTTCGCGGCACCCGACAGCAGCCCCTCGCGAAACCCCAGCACTCCCTCGAACTGCCGGCTGCTCGCCTCAGTCTCGGCCCGGAGGTCTACTTCTTCTTGTTGTTGTTGTTCTGGAGATGGTGCAGTCTGGTACAACTGGTCCTGCCGTGAATAGAAGGAGGTTTTTTCGCTTTCGCTACGTGCTGGCCCCTCATGACCATGCGCTCCTGCACCAGTACTCGCATCATGATGTGCAGTAGTTCCACGGCCCGTGCGCTCCAGCAGGTTGTACGGATGCTGCTTTAATCTCATCTCTACTTCTTTATTTGATCCCACTTCCATACTGCCTTTGTCGTCGCGTACTTCTGCTTCTGGCGTTTTCGACATTTTCTCCTCCTTGAATAAATTGAATCGCGAGTGGTCCAATCCATTCTTTTCGGAAAATGCGCGGTCCAAATCCCCCAAAGCTTTCTGCGTCTTGGCTGCTATCCAATTCATCGCAGTTTCAACCGGGCTGCGAGTACTCGGCCGTGAAGGTGCCGCAGGAGAAGATGAGGAACTAGCACGGGAAGATGTACTACTAGACGCACCAATCCTCCTCGTCCCGCCGCCAGCTGAGGACATGACCAAAGTCTCGCTCGCCAGGGATAGGCCGTCGTAGTCGGTGCGCACCGCGCTGTCTTGCAAATGGTACACGGTCGGTTTCACAGGCCCAACGTGGATTTTTGCTTTATTTGGTTTATTTTTACTGCGCGGAGGTTCATCGCCTCCTGCTGCGAAATCCACTGGCTGCTCTCGTAACACTAGGAAGTGGCTCCTGTTCTGATCTGCATCTTCTACCCCGTCGGCCGTAAGCGCATCCACCCACAACGGCCCGATGTGTTTTTGCAAATAGTCCGGGTACAGGACCACACTCGGGCCCAGCGCGGCGGCGTCCTCTAAAGACGACAACTCTACTCTTTCTTGCAGTAGTTCATCTTCCACACTGTTGGGACGGCGTTGATATTCGGCCTCCACGTCATTCATTTCTTTTCGCTCCTGCTCCCTCTTCCTCGTATTTTTGGCGTCCTGCTGCATCGCAGATGAAGAAACAGGCGCAGCCTTGCTTCGCCCGGCGGCTCGTCGTGCTCCTTGATCATGTGGTCTACTAGGCTCAACATCTGTCGTGTTCTTGTGGCTGTTTCTACTACTCTCCTCGCTGTTCATCTTCTTGCCGGGCCGTTGAGGATGTATTTGTTCTGCTGTTGAACTACTTCTACGAAAAAAATTTTCCAATTTCTCCCGCTTCCATTTCTCGTACCCGTAGTCAGTGATGCCGAACTTGTGCAACAAGACGCGAAAGGTCTCGGAGGACGGGGGTAACGCTTTTGTTTGTCTTTCTTTTTCTTTATCTCGTCCTGCTTCTTCAGCATGATTTTTGTTCACTTTGTCGTTTTGTTCGTCCCCACGACCGGGCGAAGTAAAAACCCGCCGCTCGCGCTCCTTCACGACTTTGAACGGAACTTCCGTGACCTGCGCATACCGCAGAGCATTCGCCAGAGACAGGCGCGGCGTGCAATGCGCAAAAGAGATCCCGTTGAAAATGGTCCGGAGCACCGAGGGTTGGAAGCAGACGGAGCCGTAATCCGATTTTTTGTTCCTCCACGCCTCCACTCCGTACTCGCTGCGCAGCGCATCCGCTAAAGCCTGCTTCGAGGCCTCCGATGCAAGCTGGACGATGGACTCGACGACAGGGTCGGCAATGGAGATTTTCATCTGCGCTATTACGAAGGAAGGATCTGGATCTACTTCTTCGTGCTTGTCTTTCTTTTCATCGTCGTCTCCACTGTGCTGTGTCAACGTCCGCATCGTCACTTTCGATATTTCCGGGTTCTCTGTGTCCGTGAGCAACTGGGCCAAGTTATCACACAGAAAAAAGCAGGCAGGTCAGATTTGTAATGCAAAAATAAATACACCAAAAAATCTGTATTGTACATCCTACCTAAACAGCATGCTATGGGGCCGCCCAAGACAAGTTCTTCTGTGTATCTTTCTTTTTTTGCATTACAAATCTGACCTGCCTGTCTTTTTCTGTGGGATACAAGTTTCTGACGCACGTCTCCGTGAGCGGTCCGTCGGTCGGACACAGCTGGTCCAAGTAGACGCAACGCTCGACGGGCGGTCGCGGCGGGGGACTTCTTGTTCTGGGGTGGACTTCCTGGTTGTGTTGCCGAACAGATTCACTAGACGGACTATGGCCTTGGTGATGTTGCCCATTTCTTGCAGTTCTACGTGCATCTTGCGAAGAAAGTTTCTCACCAGCGGCAGCCGTGCCGTGGTCGTGGTCTTCGTTTTGCCTCAGATAACTCTTGTTCGCATCATCTTCATCTGCAGCTTTCTCGACGTGCTTTCGCGCGTCGCTCTTTTGGGTATCTTCCAACAGACCGCAAGTTTCGTTCTTCGACGAACTACTATCAATGTCGTGCGAGTCAAACAGCTGCAGACTCCTCAACCCCGCCGAGATTTCGGCGACTGACGGATGATCTTCACCGGAAGCTGGTACCGCAGTTGATGATGCGGTTGCGATTGGAGGTTCCCTCGCATCTTCATGCTCGTCCAAATCTCTTGTTCGCTGCCTCGCGCCAACAAGTGCCTCAAGCTCGCCTGCTCTTTTCTCTACTGAAACACCAGGACGATTTTCTCGCCCTCCGCGGGCCCCAGGCCGTGCTGGGCTTCCTCCTTCCCCCGCGGGAAAAGATGTTCTTGCGCCAGCACCTGCTAAAGCCACTTCCTCTTTCAAATCTTCATAGGGATCGTCGGGAAAAGAATTCTCGGCGTCCTCCTCCTCGCCCATGTGGTCATCGTCGACTTCTACTGCATCAGCCTCGTTTATTCCTGATGAACGACCACGCGGTGTTGATTCAGCGGCAGCGGATTCGGACTCGTCGCCCAGTGGAGTTGATACCCTCTTGGGAAAAATGCTGTTCTTTTCCATTTTCCCTCCCCCGCGAGGATCACGACCCTGCTCGTCGTGCTGATCATTGTTCCTGTTTCCGTCTAGTGGCTGTATGGCTCTGGTCGGGATCCAATCCAAGTAGACGTAAGTGCCCGGCGGAACGGTGGTCGGCGAGATCTCCCGGCCCTTGTTGTGGGCCACATATCAAAAGGAAAAATCCCCCCTCCCCATATTGACAAGCTACGTGCTCGAAGATTTGCGTTGCTGATTTGTGACCACAGGTCGTCTCTGTGTTGCATGAAGGCAACTCCACAGGCTCCGCCGCATCCTACAGGCGGCTTGTCATGCTTATGTTCCTACAGCGTAGAAGTCTGTCATGCTACGCGCCTAGGCCAAAACCTGTCTTCTCAGGCTTGATATGGGCCTGCAGTCCTCGCCAGCAAGGCAATTTGTGTACGCAAACACAGCATCAGAAACTTCGTTTTGATATGGGGAGGGGGGTTTTTTCATTCTGATACCACGGCTTCCAAGTTTTCGTCGACATCGTGCTTGAACCGCACGATGACCGGCAGTCCGACGGAGACCACTTCGGGGTTGACTACTTGTCCGTATTTCGGGATGTGCATGCCGAACAAAGACGCGTCCTCCGGGTAGCGGAACTTCTCGTCTTCCAGAAATTCAGCAAACGAAAATGAACCCCCACCGGCAGAAGACTTGGTCGTCGTGCTCTTCGTTGATGATGTTGATGACGCTGCAGCGTCTGCGGAATTTTTCGCTTTTTCGGTTCTTACACGATTTGCTCTGGCAGCGGCTCGCTTATTGATTTTTTCCTGTTGGTGAATGTCGTACGAGGACTTTGCCGTTGCTTTGAGATCCTCTCTGCTCATCCAACCCGTTCCTTCTTTTATTCCTTCTTGACCAGCATTTTGAAGGTTTTGTTCTTGCTGCTTCGCCTTGAGAAGCGACCTCGCTTTGTTCTGCTCCTTCTTCCTTCTAATCTCCACCAAGCGCTTCTTTTCTGCCTGCACGTCCGCCTCTTTCGCAAGCAGCAAGCTCATTTCCGGCAGGTCCAACAGTCTCCGGCGCTGGAGTTGCGGACGGATTTCCCCCCGGGAAAACGTGTTCCACGACCCCGTTGCGCCTTCCTCTCCGCCGCCCACTTCTGTTCCACCCCTGGCCGCACTCATTTTCAGCGCGGCCCGCAAGTTCTTTAACCGCGACCGCTTCTCCTCTGGCGAGCTAGCTGTGTTGGCAGTCCGGCAGTAGATCCGTCCCAAGGGCGCGGCGCCGGCGATAGACAACCGGACCGCGTTCGGATCCTGCGCGTTATGAAATGTAAAAGTGTCTGGGTCTGGAAGAGTCATGCTGTTTTTGCATGACACAGAAGGTCTGGCATGGAAGCTCTAGCATCACAGGCTTCGAGAAGCTTCCGCAATGCCAAATCAGCATGACAAATCCCCCATTTTGGTGACAGAAAGTGGGCAGCTTTTGCTACCTATGCATGAGAGATTTTTGTGTGTTGTGAAATGCGCATCACAAGTTGCATCCTTCCAGACCCAGACATTTTTGCATTTGATACGCGTACCACTCCCGCAAAAACTGGTGCGTGCACAGCAGGGCGTCGATGTCAGGCGTCCACATGGACACGACACTATCAGCCGGCCGGCCGAAGTAACTGGTGCTGCCGGGTGATGATGAAAAAGGTTGTTGAACCACAGAAGATACTAGGGCATTGAACCAGGACACGACTCCTGATGCAGGAGCGCTATCGGTACTAGTACTACTGCCCGATGTCGGTCTCGTCGTGTCGCTGCTTGGCTGCTCGGTTTTACTCGGGTCGAACCTGAGGGGCAAGAGGAAGGGCTCCGCGCCTAGACACGCGAAACTCACCAGCGCCATGCGACAGGCCCGCCGCAGTCTCTTGGTGTTGGTTCGCCGCGCGCGCTCGAGTTCCAGGTCCTCCGACTGCTGCTTGGCCATATCAACTGCAAAAGTGTCCGGGTGTGGAAGATTGCAACCTGTCATGCTGTCTTTGGATTCTAAAAAAATTTGTATTGCATGACCAGCAAGAGGGGTACAGTATTTGCTACACTGACAGGGTATTTCTCATGCGGAAGGTGCCTCAGGAAGCCTTCCAAAAGTCTGCGATGCTAGGTCAAGCATTACAGGCATCATCGGTCATGAGATATACGCATGACAAATCTTGCATTCTTCCAGACCCAGACATTTTTGCATTTGATACGCCAGTTTCTTGCGCGATTTCTGTTCGGCCTTCTTCACCGCCGCCCGAAAGTTTTTCTTCGCCTGGCTCGACGGCTTGGCAAACTTCTTTGGTGAAGATGTACTTCCTGGGGGTTCTGATAAAGCAAGCTGCCCAGGAGCTGCAAGTGTTCCACCTCCTCGCGGCTGGTGGGTGGCTGCTACAGACGCCACGGGTGAAACCATGTCTCCGGTTGGCCGCTCCTGTGACAAACCAGTTTTAGCTGTCGGCGCAGCTGCTGCTGCTCCTGGCAACTTCGGCGGCCCCACGCGCCCTCCAGCAGTTCTGTTCTGAGTTCCTCGGCCCTCCCTGCTGCGCACACGACGCGAAGAAGAGGGCGGCGGCCTAGTGGAGCAGCTTTTTGCGGCACGGACACCGACCTGATGCGCCCCTACCTCTTCGGGAGACGGTCTTAGAAGTACTTCTTCATCTGCTGGCGCAGAAGCAGAATGAAGTTCAATACCACTAATTGAAGCTGCCGCTGTATCCCCTGCCCAAGGAGCCCCTCCTGCGCATGAGGTGCTAGAGGTCTCATCTCGTATTTTTCGACTCTCTAGTTTATTTGTCCGTCGCCGAAACGGCGTCTGTGCGCGACCTCGCGATGTCTGCAGCAGAACTCGTTCTCCCTCTCGCTCTCGTCCCGGCCGCCTTGCCAAAGTAGTATAATGATCCTCATCTTTTGATGTTTCAACTCCCGGTCTGCCACCTCCTCTTGGTATTAACACCAAGGACTCATCTGCGTCATCAGAATTCGCCTTCGTCCTTTTACGTAGTGCTTGTGCTTCGGAATGACCTGCTGCTCCAGCCGACGCAGATGAACTACTACTTCTACACCCACCCGTGGTCTTCAGCTGCGCAGGACAACCCAGCTCCTGGTCCAAAAGTTGCTCGCTATTTTTTCCATTAAGAAAGCAAGAAGAGAAAACCATGGGCGAAAGCTCTCCTTCCGGCTGCTCCAGGTCGCTTGGCGATAGCAGGTGGCCGCCTGGTGTACTACTAGTAGCATGATGCAGCTGGTCGTGCTGCCCGGACTCGCTTTTCATCCAAGGAGTACTAAGCGTAGTCGCACTCCCGAAGTACATTCGTGCACACGACTGGCTAGTACAACCGGTGTACGTTGTCGGGGAGGTGGATTTTGGACAATTCATCTTCTTTTCTGGACTGCAAATAGAAGGCGAAGCACCATGATCCATGTCGACGTCGTCGTCCCTCGATGCAGTCACAGTCTCCATCCCGGCCGGGTTACTAAAGATATTGTGTGATGTTGTACAAGAACTACTACCACACTGCGCGATTTGATGCACGATCCCGCTCCGTCGTGCTTCACCGTCGTGTCCTTCATGTAGACCCTGTAGACCATCATGACGTTCCTCGTCGTCGTCCTCCTGACTCGCTATTGTTTCGTCATCCTCGTCCGAGCTCGTGCCTGTAGTGGAACTTTCTTCATCGGTAAAGCCGCCGTCGTCGTCCTGACTAAGTGCTGGCTCACCTTTGGAGATTTGACCCTTCGCTGTCTTGCTCTCCTCGTCGTCTCCAACGATACGGAAAAGTGGTCCCAGCAGCACATGGTCACTGTACCACGACGGACACGACTCGTAAGCTGCACTCACGAGCGGAGTCGCCCAGGATATGTGCAGCTTCGCCTTGTTCGTAGAAGGTGTACGCCTATCGCTCTCGTTTCCTGCTGGTGATGTGGTTGTGCCCGTGGAAGACGAGGAGTTGACCACGGCAGGGGAACCACGCAGAAGTATTTTCCCCTTGACGAGGTTCTGTGCTGCTGACCGTGCTCGGAGTACTACAGCACAGGCTGCAATAAGAATGTTGACAAAGACACTAGTAGCACTAGCACCCCGACGCTGCATATTTTTGTTCTTCACCGCTTGTCGCCGACATCTTGATCGTCCCGCCTTGCGAAGCATTTTATTTTTATATATTTCTCGACAAAATTGCCCCCGGCCAGCCGCGAAATCGTAGACCAGGAGCCGCAAAATCCAAATCGACGTAGCACTTCTTGTTGACGCAAAAGTCGCTTCGATCTTCTTCTTTATTCGCAGAGCCGCGAGACGAATCGACGCTGAGACGACACAAAGCGTCGCAGATGAAAAAAGCGTATTAAGTACGTCTAATACTCGGAGATACTTGTGCCTCGGATACAGCCCTCATTATGTGTTGATGATTCTCATTTTATGCACGAGCTCAAAGTTGTAAGGTTTAAGTGGAGACACATATGCAGGTCCAGCAAAAATATCAAGATACAAACTGTGCACAGGCTCGAGCAGCACGCAGCGGAATTCATACGGACGTTCTTGCGCGGCTCGATCTACACGACCAGGTCAAGTGAAAATGTGTGTGAAAATGTAAGAAAGTACACGCAAAAAACGACAGGCTTACGGAATGACGATGAAAATGAATACCAAAACTAACTCTACCTGGACTGCGTTGCACTTGCAATGTAAAAATTTTCACGACCGGAACCTGACCCGGAGGACACGATCGAAAAATTTTAGCAAGAATTGATTCATTCAGCACGACAAAAAAAATCTCAGCGACATTCATCGAGAACGAGAAAACCGGAAAAAAAAGAACGCTGCAAGATCCGCGCTAGGTCGTTGAACAATGTCAGGAAGGGGATCTTCAGCACCGGTGGAAAGGAAACTGGTTCAAATAAATCTATCATGTAGCGGTGGAAATGATCGATTCAAACCGTCACCGCAACAGATGACAAGCGAATACAATCGCATCGAGCTGAGCCATCTTCTAGATCAACTGCACTCCACGAGGAGGATAACTGACATTGATGATCTTTAGATCGCTTCTACAAAAAGAGGAACCCAAGAACTTCATCAAGGTCCTCCACATTTAGACGATAAGTAGTACAAAAGGCTCTTCACGTGTGTGGTTCTTGCATCTGATCCGGCCTACATTCGTCAACCTCCTGACTTCGTCATAGAACACATCGTCGAAAACGCTATCGGCTACAACAAAACAAGCGGCCAGACGGGAAGCAATTGCACCTGGTGCAGCTGCGTTTCCGGTTTCCGGTTTCCGGGTCCCGCTCCGCGTAGTAGTAGCTTCCGGCGTCAAAATCTGTTTCCATTTGTCCTCAAACTTTTGTTTCTGGGCAAAGCAAAAAATTCCGTGCTGCTGCTGTTCTCTCCCCTTTGCTTCTTCTTCTATATTCAATTTCATTTTCACCGTTCTAAATCAGTAAATCTTCTATACATAAATAATACATACATAGATACTCATGAGACGACTCGTGGTGCTTGAAATATTTTACAGCATACTAGTTTCAAAGTCGTCAACATTAGCTGTCAAAATGGCAATAAAGTTAGCGCTAGCTAGCCCTAGCGTCGATCACCAGTGTGATACTTTCAATAACTCGATGTCTTCGCCTCATCGTCGTGCTGCTGACACTACCTACACCCCTACCGCAGGTCACCAACACAATAGAGAATTGCAAGTGAGGACGGAAACTGGCGTCAAGTTGTAAGATACAGATCTATAGAAATTGTGATCATCAGAAAAGGAAAACAGGTTTAGTCAAACGTTGAAATCAAGTAGAATAATTCGCGAAATGTATTGATGAAACAAGTGTAAAGCAAGCTGTAACAGAGAAAACGTAACCCTAGGTGTCATGCGTCACCAGTGGTTTCAAATAATGTGCTCATTTAGTCATTTTGTCATTGTTCATTCAATCTGAGACGAGAAGACGTTTCTGAACGCCAGTCATTCATCTCATGGACAAAAATCTCAGGCGGCAAAAAGGTCAACAGCAGAAGACAGAAGATCGATCCGGCGCGAAGTAGTGGACCGATCCTCTTTCTTGGTGAGCCTGAGTAAGTACATCTAGATCAAGATCGTCCCCAAGCAGCTGTAAAAATGTTTATTCATCAAAAAAATCAAAAATACCTTTCGTTCATGCATCAAAATTGCAGGTTCGCGCACGCCGGGTCGAGAACTACATCTATTCTCCGGCAACGGCGCAGGTTTCTTCTAATATGCGTTGTTCCAACTTCTCCACCAGGATCTTCATGCGTTCCATCTCAAACAGTCCTGCATTTGGTCCTCATTTCTTCGCAGACTCTTTCCAACTCCTCCACTTTCTGCAGCTGATTGCAGGTATCCGGAAACAACCAGCCCTCGTTATTCTGTGTAAAAATGTCCCCACCCCAGAGTTGTCATGCAGATTTCGATTTGCGATTCTATAGGAACATTTGCAATGCGCTGACCCAAGAAAGGCATTTTCAATCGTGTTTTGTTATTTGTAATGCTGAAAACAGGATCAGCAGATAGATTTGTGATGCGATCTCCGTTGCCGACCTGCACTACACTACGGACTGCAACTTGTCATGCGTGGCTCCCAAAACTTCTGGAGTTGTGTTGCTAAGTTCCCAACTTGACTATCGGGCGAAGACGCTTTTACATATGATACTCGCCCGCAGCGGCACGGGCCCACGCCTCCGAGTACCCGGTATCAACTGTAAAAATGTCTGGGTCTGGAAGAATACAAACTTGTGATGCGCATTTCAGCACACAGAAAAATCTCTCATGCATAGGTAGCAAAAGCTGCCCAGTTTCTGTCACCAAAGTGGGGGATGTGTCATGCGGATTCGGCATTGCGGAAGCTTCTCGAAACCAGTGATGCTAGATATTCCATGCCAGACCTTCTGTGTCATGCAAAAACAGCATGACTGTTCCAGACCCAGACATTTTTACATTTGATACCCGGCGAACGTCAGCGACACGCCACGGAAACAGTGGTCGCACCGAGAGAGGTGGTGGCTGTCGTCGTGTTGAGCAGCGCCAGGCGTCGTAGAAGTTTCTGTTGCAGACGTGGTACCAGGAGTAAGTAGCACGCGACCTGGTGTAGAAGTCGTGGTCCCCGGCTGTTGTTGTACCAAAGTCACTTCTGCTCGGGACGTCGACCCGTGCACGACACTACTCTGTCCTCCGTGGTGCTGCGGCACCTCGTGAAGCTGCAAATTCCAGGCCTGTGGCAATAATAAAGCAGGGAATGATGATCATGGCGGGCATTGTAGCGATTCACAAGCTCCAAAAATATTACATAAGAACTTCCCTTGATCTCGTCCCACTATGCATGTCCAGAACAAAACGGCCGCACGACAGGCAAATCAGAGTATTATACAGTACCTTCTGCAACTCCGCAGCCTTGTTGCAGTAGCCACGCAACATTTTCAGGCTACAGCAGACCCCGCAGGAAGCGTATCATGGAGAAAAGTACCCACATAGTTGTACAACCAGAAAAAAACGAATACGAATTTGTATATGTTGAAGTGGCCGCACGTCGCTGTCATTCAGAGAAAAGAAATATGGAGACGCTCATTTGTGGTCATGCAAAACGCAAATGCGAGAAGCCACAGCGAATGACAAAATCAAAAATGAAGCCAAAAAATAAACTGCTTCTGGACAAACAATAGGCACTGTGTCTGTGATGCCAAAAATTTCACGAGGACAAATACTTAGTCTTCTGATATGGCACCAAGCCTACAGCTGGGTGTAACAGTAAGTACTTTCCTGTTTGATATCGCGCCGACGCCGACCATTCCCTCGCGCACCGCCCTCGCCGCGGCAGCGGTGCGACGGGATTCTGCGCAGAAATCCGCTGCGGCGGCCTCTGCGCAGCCCGGCTGCAGGGCGCAGGCCGGGCCGCAGTGGTAGGGGATGTAGCAGGACACGCAGCAGCACAGCAGGCAGGCTCGCACGCGGCCGTCGCACACGTTGCGCTCCACGGCGGAAAACGGCTTCGGGTTCCAGTTGTCCTCGCACAGACACGGCTCGCACAGTCCCTGCTCGCAACACCCCAACCCGCGCGCGCGCCCGACCGTCATCACGCAACAGGGGTCGCACGTGGGTCCCACCGGGGTGTGCGCGCGACCGGTTTCTTTATTAGTGGTATCGTCCACGAGGATGCAGCTGGCAGGATCAGACCGCCGTTGATTCTGTAGTTCCCGTCTTTGCCGTCGCAACAGCGGCTGCGTGTGTCCGCGCGGAAAGTGCGGCATGGAGGTGTGGTCCACGTCGCGGCTAATCCTAGCGCTCAACATCATCTCCTCTTGCTGTGGTCGCGGTACGAAGTGCGTCGTCGTCGAGGAAGCTAGTCCTATCACCTCCGGCTCCGGGCAAGGAGGTGGCTCTACTGTCATGATGCTTGTTCTTTGCTGGAGGTGGTCGACGTTTTCATCATTTTCCTTTGAACCTGTTTCACCGGCAACTACAACATCTTCAACCGCAGCAGCTCCACCGCCGGCAACCGCGATCCGTTTTTCCAGTGTGCGTAAGTAGGGACGCAGCACTTTCAAAAATTGCCGCAGTTTTTCTTGCGAAACGAGTACTGGATGCTCTTGATGTTCGTGTGCTGGTTGTATTTCCACATCCGCATCCGCTGGTGTAGCAGTAGCTCTCTTGTTTTCCGCAAGGTGCCCCCGTGCCTCTTGAGCCACCACATGGTCCTGCTCCGGGTCCGCACGAAGGATGTCAACTAAGAAATCAAACGCGTCCTCCTCCGCACTTCCGTCTACTTCTTCGTCTCGCGCAAGAGGAACAACAGCGGAGGCTGCACTAGTGGCAGGTGGGGACTGTTCATGCTCTTCTGCAAGGAGATGATCCTTGCGAGTTGTTGCGCAGGAGCTCTCGTTTAGAATTTCGATACAATTATTTTCAGCGTCTTCTGGTTCAGCGCCAGCGCCAGGTGTTCTAGGGGATTAATTTGTTCCGTGCATCAAGAAGATCTTCGGGACGACGAGTTTTATCCACAGATGATACTCGTTGTTCATTTTCATCTCCCTGCTTCAATATTAACCCTGCGCGCTTGAGCAGCCGAGCCTCGACACTGAGGTTGCTCGTTTTCGTGATGATGTCCTTGCTTTCTCTTCTTGTTGCAGCCTGTAGCTGCTCGAGACTCTGGCCCGCAAATGCATCGGCGGGAACGCTCGTTCTGTTCTTTTGCTTGCGCGCCTTGCACGCCTTCACGCCGCCCATCTATCATATCCGGGCCCTAAACTGCTGACTAGCTTTATCCTGTGTGCACAGTTTCCCGACGTGGCTCGCGACGTGAGCGCCGCACGAAGAGGCAGTGCGGGAAAACTCACACAGGATACGGCGTGGCTGCGTGGGGATCCGGAGCCGCTCCAGCTCAATGGCTATCCTTTGCAAAAGTATCGCACTCGTATAAAAATCAATGCAGTTCTTGCATTAAAAATCTTTCTGCGAAGTCAAATCCGCACTACAAAAGCCCGGGGGCCAATGTTCCTGTTACCTTTTGTGGCATTTGCGGGGTTTATTCCGGCGTTCCGGCAGAAGTTGCTGAGCGCTGTTGCCGCTGCCGCTTTGGTAGAAGACGCTGCAGCCCGGGCGCCAGGTCGGTGGAGGCTGTTGTTTTTTGGGTGCTGTTTTGCTGCTGTCTGGTTGTTGTCTGTCGGGTTGGTGTCTGTCTGCTTGTTGTTTTCCGCGTCAAGGCAAAGAACGCGGCGGGCAGAGTAGTCAAACGCCCGCACCTATTCCGTTAAAAAAGCCGACAGACCACCCAAAATTGTCATGCAGGACAGTCGTGGTTTTTGTTCTCAGACAGCGCGTCTTGAGATGGCTGCGGGCTTTTTCGCTGTAATAACTCCTTCTCCTTCTGTAGGTTCTGGCCCTTCTCCGACGACCGCAACCAAACTTCACGACGGAGGCGGCCGGGGTAGTGAACGTACAGACTCTTGCTCATTGTGATGGGTGACAACGTCGTGCATTTGACTAACTACGAGCACGGGCCCGGCCGTGGGATGTTTTCGGCCGGCCTTGGGAGGGGGTGCGTTACGGGAGTAACACTGAGGTTGCTCGTTTTCGTGATGATGTCCTTGCTTTCTGTTTCTCCTCATGTCCTTGCTTTCTGGCAAAAGTATCGCACTCGCTACTCTTGCGCGCAATTCGCGCATAAAGAGACTCCGACGAGTGCGATGCTCTTGCAGTGCATACCTGATGGCTGTGTGCGGGAACGAGTGCGCTTAGGGTTCGGTGCATTTTTATGCAATGCAAATGTGTTTGGGTCTGGAAGACGAAGATTTGCACGCTCAGGCTTCTTATGCAGAAGAAAGCAGGTTTCACATCCTTCCAGACTCGAACATATTTGCACTTGATAACTCTTCAGAGCTTACAACGCCTTGCTGCCGGACCAACAGGAACGTCTTATGCTCACACACAACAAGAATGCGAGTCGCGTCCTGCCCAGCCGCGTGGCAGAACGGGAGCCGGCACCGCAAAAGAACGCTTCTTACACCTACGACGCCCAGGCGTTTCCTCCAGCCGAAATACTTGGGCAGAACTATGATAAAACTTTTGCTTGCGGGCCGCGCGCCACACGCTGGCGCCCTTCTTTTGGTTGCCCCATGCCCTGTCGCTGTCCCCCTGCGCTTCCCGTTGCCCGGATGGCGCGCTAGGTAAGAGGCTGCGCCCCCGGCGCGTTGCTGGGCGCGGCCCTTTCCAACATCAAGAAAAAAACACAGCGAGGGCGAAAGGGCGCGCGAAGTTCCGTCGCCATTTGTTGCTGTAGTAGGGGACTGCGCGGCGCGTTAAAGCAGTGGGCCCACTTGGGGCGTGGCATAGGCAGAAGGAAAAACGCTGCCAGATTGTAACGCGGCACGCATGCCGCGCCGGCGGCACTACGACGCCCCGTGTGTCACATGCCCCCAACTTCGCGGCGCCGCGAGCTGCTTCCGCTTCGGAGGCGGCGCTAGGAAAGATGCGGCCAGATACCCAGGCGGCACGCGCGCAGCGCCGGTGGTACTGCGACCCCCCATGTGTCACATGCGCCGCGCCGCCTTCCAACTTCGCGGCGCCGCGAATTTGGTGCCCAGAATACCATGCGGCACGCGCGCAGCCCCGGGGGCATGGCAGCACACAAATGGCCAAAATTGGCCTTCTTTGTCTCTTTTGGACCCGGCCGACTGGCCGAATCCCGACGGTATGGCCCAACTTCCCGCGCCAAAGTCTGAGGTCCGGCCGCCTCGCCAAAGTCAGACGCAAGACTTTCAAAAGACTTCGAAAAGACTTTGAAAAGACTTTGGAAAAGACTTCGAAAAGACTTTGAAAAGACTTTGAAAAGCGTTCCCGTTTTTGCATGGCCAAAATTGGCCATACCATCGGGCGAAGCTTTCAAAAAGCGCGCACTTCTGGGCGCTTTTCCCAAAGTCTTTCCAAAGTTTTTTCAAAGTCTTTTCAAAGTCTTTTGAGCAGGAAAACTCGCGACTTTTCTGGCCGCAGGCAGAATCGGGCCAGGGAATTGACTGTGTTTTTAACACGTTCCCCGAGCGGATTCGGGCACTTTGGCCGTCCCGAACACCGCGCCATTTGGGCGAACCAACTCCCACCGTGCCCCCGGTGCGAGGCGCGTGCCGCATGGTATTCTCTACGCAATTTTTCCGTTTCATTCATACACGGCTTCCAAACGCAGCCGCTTACAAACGGATCCCGCGATGCCGGTCGCCCATAATGGGCGGCCGGACCCGGGGCCGGCCCCGTTTCGCGCCGTAACTGTGGCGCTTGATATTGCGAAAAGCCGCCAAGCGTAGCTGCAACAAATTTCGCCAGACCACTGCCGCAGCCGTGCCATTTTTTTCGCCGAGTTACTACCGGGCGACGCCTTTCTTTTTTTGGAAGGGGACAGGGGGACTTTGCATGAAGTGCTCCCCACCAAATGTGTGCGATTTCTGTCGCGCCCATGAAGCGCAGAGCAGTCCTTTTGCTATGAGGCCAAAGAGCAAAAAAAGAAAACCCAGACGCAGCCTCCTCCTGCTGCTTTTTTTTTGGGTCTGCGCGTCGTTTCCGACTTTTTTTTTCCTGCCACATACTGCCAAGAGGCGATTTTTTTTTTCCAAGCCGGCGGGCAACTTTCTGCGTTTTTTTTTCATGTGGGCGACCAAGAAAGTTTGAAATTTTCAAAGTTTTTTGAAAGTCCTTTAAAAGTATTGCGACGCCTGAATTTCACCCGCCGTCGTAGGGGTAAGCTTCAGTTATCAAATGCAAAAATGTCCGGGGCTGGAAGAATGCAAGTTTGTCATGCTTGTCTGGCATGACTCTTAAATCTGTCATGCAGAAACGTAGTCTGTCATGCAAAATAGGCAACACCTAGAAGCTCAGAAACTTTTCATGCTGAGCCAGCAATTGTCGCCTCCTCATGATACGCCGCACAGCATCACAAGTTCCCAGACGCAGACATTTTGACATTTGATATCAGTAGCTGCAGCACCGAATACGAGTAAATTGTACGAACAACTAAAAGCGGGCAACATCGTTTCGAACCGAGCGGAGGTGCTCGCCGCCAAAAACCCCCGCGCTTTTTTGGAGCCGCTGCATTCTGCAATATGTTTTATACTGCAGAACTCCTGCAATATAGCGGTACTCTATTTGTTTACTTTTTTATGCTATTTGCGTACTTTGTTTAGGTTGTTTTCTTCTTTTGGCAATGCTTCTCTCTTTTTGCGTGCATTTCTTTCGACACAGACTGTCAAAAAGTAAGCCCATCGATTACTCAACTCGAAGCCCATCGATTACTCAGGTGAATTTAGAGCATGTGAGATGTGCAACATGCAACGCCTGGAAGTTTATCTATTGCAATATGTCTGGAGGCTGGTCATGCAAAGGGGTTGTCATGCTCATGTCTTGCGTTTGAAACTCAATCTGTTCAAAATTTAGCGCGTCGTCCTATTGTCGTCCTGTCCAAAATCTAAATCGCACGTGTAGGCCCCGACATATTTTGCCTCTTCATAGCCGTGCGCTCGGGTACACTCCACCTCCATGGAGAGCCGGAGTTTTGTGTCCATGGTTCTTTTTGTTCCTGTCGATGAAACTTTTCCAGTTTGTATCCTGTTTCTTTTCTGTATTGAAGCATGCTCTTTTCTGTATTGCAAGCATGTCTCTTTTCTGTATTGAGCACATGTTTTTCATGTCTCTTTTCTGTATTGAACGCATGTTTTTCATGTCTCTTTTCTGTATTGAACACATGTTTTTCATGTCTCTTTTCTGTATTGAAAACATGTTTGAGCATAGCTTTCGCTCGCCTTGTTCCCTTTAGAAACTGAATCTTTTTTGTGGAAGCTTTGTTGTGGAAACTTGTTCCCTTTAGAAACTGAATACATTGACTCTTTGTTGCCGCTGCTTTCCAACTATGGCAGACGACGGACCGCCAGCGCCGCCTCCCCCGCGCGCGGGAACGGGCACCCCGGACGATCCCATTGTGTTGTTATCCACACCCAGCGTATGGATCTGGCAGATTGTTTTCCATCTGAGAGCCAGCGAGTGCAGTTGAAGTCGTTCTTTCCCCGGTGCTGTGCCACTGTTTTGAACAGACGCTTTGCATTCCACCAGATCCCAACGCTTTTGCATTTCATCCCTTGAGTCGGACACGGAGTCCGACGTGGAGCTGGAGGACGACTCTGACACGGAAAACCCTGAAGACTTAGACGGCAACTGACATAGAAAACCCTGAGGAGCAACGCCACACCCTGAGGAACAGCCTGGAGCTAATTAGGTCGCGAGCCTGCCCTTCATTATCAACCTGAGAAAGACGGCTCCAACTGGTCTTCATGATCAGCCTTTGGATAGATGACTACGATTGACCGCTTGTTCCATCATCCGCCTCCCCGGGCGGGGTAAAAGTTCGGGCGTAGTTTATCGCCCCAGTCGTTTCATCGTCACCGTCGCCGTTTCAAAATCGTCACCATCGCCGTTTCAAAGTCGTGAGAATCGCTTTCGTCAAGGTTACAGTGTCGCCGCCTCCCCGGGCGGGGTAAAAATGCGGAGCGCGTTTGTTGCTCAACCAATGAAAGCGTGCTGTTATTGTTTTCTTCTTTTTTTTAAAAAGCGTTTCGTCTTTTCATATCTCGAAAACTGTATTTTTGGCAAGTTCCTCCGCAGCAATTTTCATTCGCAGTTTCGTAATCTCGTCGGAATCCTTTCGGAGTTTTTTCATTTGTGAGCAAGGGGGTGCGTTATGGGAGTAACACTGAGGTTGCTCGTTTTCGTGATGATGTCCTTGCTTTCTGTTTCTCCCGTCTTCTTCTTCGCTGCTCGTTGTAGAGGTGGACAACAACGAGTACTAGTGGGTCTTGCAGCATTTCGGTCGACCGCCCCAAGGTCCTCGTTGTTCTCGCCCCGCACTGCTGGCAGCATCCACGCGTTTCCCAAGGCCATATTCGCCTGCGCGCGCTTTTCGATCAAGGCATTGGCCTCGAGAACAGCCCGGGTTTTCTCGACCAGGGTGAGCGAGGCCCAGTGGGCGTGTATCTCCTTCTGCCAATCGACACAACTTGGTGCCGGGGGGCGTGCGCCGCCCCCGGGGGCAGCTGTGGCTGCTGCCGCAGCACCAGCAGCTTCTTGCGACCGTGATTTTTCTGCTGCTCCACTTGCCGCAGAGAGCGTCGTCGATAATTTTGCTCCTCGCAAAGAAGAACAAGAGCCGCTGCATGAATCATCCGCGAAAAAAAGCTGCACAGGATGATGTGCGACATCTTCCGCAGCACAAGAAGCAGCTGCAAAAAGATCGCCTGCGCCTACTGGTTCTACTTCTACTTTATTCCTTCCAAGACGTAGCCCACCCGCATCCGCTGAGGCTGTGGGATGGTGCGCCTGGTCGTGGTTCAACGACCCCGTTTGTGTAGCCGGGTGTTCTTGCACATCTCCTGCACCAGCAGAAAACGACTCGGCGTTTCCCCGTGTTGTAGTACTATCCGCGCCTTCATCCGCTGCGTCCACACCGGGTGGATGCGGAATGGTGGGAAATTCAAACACAGACGAGGCACTTCTAGCGAAAATGGTTGATGTGGGTAAGCTGAGCCCACCGTCTATTTGTTCACTGTTGGCCGTCAATGCGCCTTGCGAAAACTCTTGCGTAGAAGTGTCCCCGACCGCGTAGGGGACATGATCAGCGGACAGGTGCGAGGATGCTGGCGCGCTGTGCAAAAATGTGGTCATGCTCTGCTGCGCCGGCGGCGTTACAGCTACGGCGTTGATGTCGGTGCTCTCGCCGGGGTTCATACAGCTTGTCCTCGTCGTGTTCATCGTATTTGCTATATTTCCCAGTGCTGGGTTTATTTCCATCTTCGCACGATCTCGATTCATTTCCATCTCCCTTGGCACTATACCAATTTCAGCTCCAGTAGAATCTTCGAAGCTAGTACTACGGGAACCGGCGCGAGCATTTCTTTTCTGCAAGTAGTAGCTTTCGCGCTGCAGGTAAGGGAGATTTTGTTTATCCACGCTTCTGAGAATGCGGTCGTACACGCGGTCTTTCGTGCGGAGGGTAGATGTAGATGTAAAAGTGCTTTTTCTACAGGATAGTACTCCCACACCTCCTCCAACACTGTCGGAGGACATCTTCAAAGGCGCAGATTTATTTTCTCGTGAACTACGTTCTCCGACGCGAGCAGCTGCCGCTGGTGCTTCATCTTGCTGCTTGTGAGGTGGACCCAGCAGCATTTCTTGTTGCAGTGGAGCACTACAACGAGGTCCCGGTACTCCACCACCTCTGCCAATCTCTACTATCGCGGCTCCTGTCGGGTCTCGCTCGCCTAGAAATTCAAGTTGAAAGCGGCGCTGTAGGAATTCCTCGAAGGACTTCAGCTTGTTTCTCGTTCTTATCCTGAGCAAAAAAGTCCCCGCCCCATAGTTCTCGTCCTGCAGATTTGCAAATTATTATTTTACAGGAACTACACTTGTAATGCGCGGCATCCCCATGGGAAGCACTTTCAGTTCTCGTTTTTTGGAATCTGTAATGCTGTAAACAGGATGTTGAGGAGATCGCTTTCTGATCCGGTTGCGGTTGTCCTTCTTGCAGCGAACCTTCACTTACAACAAAACAGCCAATAACTTGTCCTGTGGGAGTCCCAAAGCTTCTGGCTTATTTGTGTAGCCACGTGGTCCCTATACTTGAGTACTATGGCGCACGGAGAGCGTGGTTTTCACTCAGGATACAACTCGTCCCCAATGGCTCATGATCGGGAGAAGGGTCGTGGCCGGGTGATCTCGTTCTCGATTCGTCTTTGTCCTCTATTCCGTTTATTTTCCGTCCTGCTCTTTGTCGTAGTTCCACCTCGTCGCTGTCCGTCAGCAATTTTTTCCGTAACGCCCACGCTTTCGGGGCGAACTCGCGGGCCTGGGCGCCGAGGGCGGTGGCCTCCACGCAAGTGTTCTGTGCGGCCATCACGCCTGCCAAGCACGGACCGGTCATCTTGTAGCCCCCGCACGGGAGGACACAATTCTGGGCGTGCAGTGCGGCAGCGGTGGCCGGGCACGTGGCCTGCGTGCATCCCCAGGCGGGGCAGGCGTGTGCCAGCGGGACCAGGCCCAGAGCGCACAGTGGTGCCGCGAGAATCTTCCCGGCGAGGATGGTTGCGTGTTTGCACCAAAATTTCCTGTCACGACCCACCTCTGTGGTTGGTCTACTTGTGGCCGCGGGGGAAGCAGATGTTCTTGTAGCTGGCTGGGATCCTGCAACTCCATGTCGTAGCTCCTTGCATGATTTGTCGTCCTCCAACATGGACTTCTTGCTCTCCGAACCATGACAAGTACTAGTAACGTGCTCAAGAGGAGGTGGGCCAGTATTTGCACTTTTGTCCAAACTAAAAGCATCCAAATTATAAAAGGATATCCCCGGCGCCCGTCCCTGATCTTCTTCACCCTCCATTGCCAGCAAGTAACTCAGCTGCGCCACCAAAGCTTCTTTGGACTCGAAACGAAGCGTCGAGTCGTCGGCAGGACCGACGAGGCGACAACCACCGTCCTCCAGATCATTCGGAGTGTGACCTCTCAGTGCTCCGCCGTTCATCTTCCCTTCGTCGACCACTGGCACTCGCACTCCCCGCGCGGTGAAGATCTCCCAAGGTAGAATGGCAAGCAGGTAGGATTTTTGTACTAAGAACGCGAGCCATACTAATTGTGCCGGAGTTCTTCTAGCTGTACGGTGGGAGCCGCGTGGTGGACGTTGGTGAAGGTGCTGCATCATCATGAATTTCTTTTTCTTAAATTATATATACGTATAACTACACGGCTGCAGTAATGTTTGCGTTTCACAATCAAGCCACAAAAACCGAAACGGAAATCTAGACGACGTCTTCAACTTCAATCATAGATTGAAAAATAAAGTCCCGGAGGTCTTGTATATCCAAAACAAGCAGCAGCTGCACGAAGTTGTAAACGAGTAGTTTAGTAGAAAAAAAGTATAGTTGCGGGGCGGATTGTTATTCTGCATTTTTGCTATCCTCTGCGTCCTCGCTCTACTTCTGCATGAATATAGTACCCAGGTGGAGCTGCGGGTAGATCTATTTCACAATATGCAGCTACACCCGTTGGTTAGTATCCATAGAAGTTGTCCCCTCTCTTGCGGCAAAAAAGTGGCACGCCAAGAAAGAGCTAAAGGTATGGGGAACGAAGAAGATAGATCGACATCAATAGTCGTGGGTGCAACAATAGTACAGCCACAATTCATAAAGAGCGATTGGCAGCAGCTCCGATGTCTTTGTCTTCGTCAAGATCATCATGTAAGTATGATAATGATTTCTTGTCGGGCAACACTACACATCCAAAAGTCAAATATGGGAATTCTGGGATGGAACTGAAACGGCCCGTCTTACTTATTTCACGACAACGTGTACGGGAAAAGGAACGCAGCCGTTTTTTTTTTTAAGTTCCAGAAGAACATCAAGGGTCATCAGAAGCGATTCTCGACCTTTGAAGGCAATGAAACATGGAGCCTGTAAAAGTTGCTCCTCGTGGCGATGATCTTCCACCGTTGCACGATGAAACTGCAGTACTTAGCTGCTGTGGTCTAACTAGGAATGATTTGGGGGATCAATATCACTTCCAGCAACATGGGGAATGCTTCATTGCATAAATTCGTGAATAGAAACCGGGGACCATCTCCAGCATTGTCGATTCGCATCTATTTCGCCTGCCTGGGTGGAGCTATTTGTATTTTCAGTCAAGCGATCATGCTTAATAGGCATCTTAAGAGGTACTTGACATTCAAAGCACACACGACACATCACTATCACACAACAGAAATATGTAGAATCGATCAATTACAGACATTGTTTGCCATGCAGTTCAAGGTGTGCTTGTGCTATCCAAAAATCGTCGATCGGGTCGTAGTCTACTTCGAGGACGAAGTTCCTGTTCCTCCGTTTGCAACGAGTCCAAATGACAGCCGTCGACGTTGAGTCGCCGATAAGGATAACAGATTGAACAAATTTGCTTTGCAAATAAAATTTTTTGGGTAGGCAAATTATATGAACGCAGCACTACTAGGAACCTACTTACTCCTCGTCTACTTCTTCCTCCTCCGCGAGCGCTGCTTGCAGCGGGTTCGCTTCCGCCTCCGGCTCCTGCGTGGTTGGCCCTGTTTGAACTTCTTCGCCGTTCTCATTCTGTAGTTCCTCCTCGCCCGAGGTTGTCGCCTGCACCGTACTGGCCGCGCCCAACCGTATTAGGCTGCGGGTTCGCTGGATCGCGCCCCGCCAAGACTTTCGGTTGTTCACGCTCTTGGAGACTCGCTCCCGCATCTTCAGCACTGTGGCTCGCTGCTCCTTGTCCTTGGAGAAGTCAAACTGCACGGGCCGAATGGACCCAGCCAGGGTGGAATATCCTGAGTAAAAACGTACCCACACCAGAGTTGTAATGCAGATTTGCGAAGACAGGCAGACTTGTAATGCGCATCCCCATCATGAGAGCCAATCCCATCGTGTTTATTTGGAATTTGTGATGCTGTGAACAGGATGAGCAGATGAATCTGTGATGCGGCTGCACTTGCTAACCTGCACTACGCTGCATAGTGCAACTTGTCATGCGTGACTCACAAAACTCCTAGGTTTGTGTTGCAAAATCCCCATCCTGACTCTGGTGTGGGTACGTTTTTACTCAGGATATGGAAACCTCCGTCTTTCCGCCATCTTTGCTGACGGTGCGTCGGTGCTGGGTCGTGGGAACGGAGAGTCGGGTGGACGGGGCGCTACTCACGGGGGATGATGCTGCACCTGCGTCATTTGGTATTGTTGTTCCTTGTTTCAGCGCCGATGATGTCGTGCTGGTGCCCCCGACCGCTTCCGCTCCCGCTTGTTCCCGCCCGCGCTGCTCGAAAGCAGCTCTAGAACTGCTTTCCCGGTCTATCACAGTGAAAAGTGCCCCCCACCCCTAAATTGCAAAAATTTGTGATGCGAAGTTTCCAAATGAAAACTTTTTGTCATGCATGAAAGGAGTATGAATCTTTCTGATGCAGAATGTAGGCGTGTATCGCATAGCTTGCATGGCAAGTGCCGCTCTTACTGGGGTCTTTTGCAATACAAATTTTTGCTATTCACGACTGAAAACCTGTGATGCTGATAGATGCAAGAGGGCGAATGTTTCATTTGGAAAGGTTTGCAACACAAATGCTCCCAAGTTCGGGGGTGGGGGCATTTTTCATTGTAATACGGTCGAGGTGCAGAATATGGTCCAAGTGGTCCAGGTTGCTGTAGGCTTCCAGATGGTCCAGCACCAGGTGAAACACGTTGGCGTCGAGTATTACAATGAAAAATGCCCCCCCCCCCGAACTTGAAAGCATTTGTATTGCAAACCTTTCCAAATGAAGCATTCGCTTTCTTGCATGTATCAGCATCACAGATTTCCGATCGTGAATAGCAAAAATTTGTATTGCAAAAGATCCCAGCAAGAGCGGTGCTTGTCATGTAAGCGATGCGAAACACGACTAGAATCTGCATCAGAAAGATTCATACTCCTTTCATGCATGACAAAAAGTTTTCATTTGGAAACTTCGCATCACAAATTTTTGCAACTTTGGGGTGGGGGGCACTTTTCACTGTAATATCGAGCAAGCCGAGTTCTTGGGCGGTCAACAGGCCGGAGTCCTTGCACATTTCCAGCTGGTGCCACATGTCTTCCGCGATGCCCTGCGCGGCCAGCGAGTGCAGCCACACGCGGCTCACCTTGGGGTACTTCCCGATCTATCCTATGTAAAAACGTACCCACCCCATAGTCAAGATGGGGAATCGGCTAGACAAATCCACAAGTTTTGGCTGTTTCGCATGACAAATTTGGACGCGTAGTGTAGTGCTGTTTGAGCTAGTTCAGCAGCATTACAGATCTAGTCTCTCATGCTGGTTGGAGCATGACAAATTTCAAAACACCATTAGAAAATGCTTCTCATGGGGCTCCGCATGACAAACATTTTAAGCATGCAGATTTGCATGACAACTATGGTGTGGGGACGTTTTTACAAAGGATACGATCCAGTTCTTGATCACGCAGCTGCGCGCGGCGAACAGCACCCGCTTCAGACTCACGTCCAGCTTCTCCACGGCGAGGTCCAGCGTCTCACTGACAATTTTCGTGGTTTCCTTCTCCTCCTGGAGCTTCGCAGTCGCCTGCCGCAGCAACCCCGACGCGGGCAACCGGTGCCTCCCCTCGGTCTGAATCGTACTACTATTTATGTTGTTCTCTTCGCTGTTGTCGGTGAGGTTCCCGCGGTCCTGCGAAGTGCGGTCTACTTTCGGAGCCGACGTGCCTTCTCCACCAACAAGCTCCTCCTCGTCCAGCACATCAACACCCTCGGCGGGTGAAATTTTGTTCTTTCCGGGGGGAGGTGGTGCAACTGCGGAAGCACCACCAGATCCTCCCGTGCTGGTTCCACTTCTTTTGCGGGAAAACAACTCGGAAAACACTCTGCCGCCCAACACCAGCGCCCCCGCGGAACCAGAGTTGTCACCAGAACTTGTACTTTGTGCCGTCCGCCGGGAGTCTATCGATCCGCGCGTCGCGCCGTCGTTGTATCTACCATTTATCCCGCTGTTCCTCGACTCGGAGGCGCGTTTGCTCGCTTCCGCTGCGTAGTCGTTGGAGACCACGGGCTGCAGCAGCGCCCGCGCGTTCTCCAGTACGAGGCAGAAAAACAGCATCGACCGTGCCCCGGCCTCCTGCTTTTTCAACTTGCTCAGACTGGTCATCGGTGGCGAGGCATTATAACGACTGCTGCTCGTACTACTCTCGTGGTCCACCACCTCCGAAGGGTCGAACCCGGCACCGTAGATGTCTGCGTACAGCCGGCAGAACGCCACCTCCAGGGCCCACTCCGCTTGGGTTTGCGCGGACTGCTTCCAGATCTCTGGGGGCATGTCGGGGAAATAGTTTACGATCACTTTCGCCGTCGGCTTCAGGCAGGGGTCCGCCCGCACGATGCCCTCCATGGCCTCCTTCGCGAAGATCAGGGCCTCCCCGATCTGCGCCCCCGGCCACGTGCCCATGCGGTACCGCTGCTTCCTCAGGCGGTCCAGCCCGGCGTGGACCGCGTTCAGAAAAGCGGTCAGCAGCGTGCGCAGCGACTTGCTGGCGTACTCCGCCGTGAGCCAGTTGGAGGCGTGCGCCTGCCGCGCAATGAAGGACTCATCCAGGCCGGGCACCAGGAAGCAGGTCAACCCCCGCCACTTCTCGTAGTCGTAGCTGTGCTCCTCCTATCAACTGCAAAAATGTCTGGGTCTGGAAGAGTCATGCTGTTTTTGCATGACACAAAAGGTCTGGAATGGAAGCTCTAGCGTCACAGGTTTCGAGAAGCTTCCACAATGCCGAATCCGCATGACAAATCCCCCAATTTGGTGACAGAAAGTGGGCAGCTTTTGCTACGTATGCATGAGAAATTTTTCTGTATTCTGAAATGCGCATCACAAGTTTGTATTCTTCCAGACCCAGACATATTTGCAACCCATACCTCCCACTCCTTGACGATGGTTGCGAACACCGACTCGTAGTGCTCCGGCGCGTGAAACTCGTCATGCGCTTGCTGCAGCACCACCTCCACGATGGTTTTGGGGCGGAGCAAGCTGACCGACTTGGCCCCCTCGCGGGCGGTGGACTTGGCGTCCAAGGTTTTGCGGGCCGCGGTCATGGTGGACACCTTGCCCGCCTGCGCCCGCCGCTTCTCGAAGGCCCTCTTCGCGGCGAGCTGGGCCTTGCTGAAGGTCTGCTGCCGCTTCAGCTCCGCGATCGACGCGGACGAGGTTGCGGCGCTGCCCGTGGTCGTGGGTACAAACGCGGTGGTCACGATGCTGCGCGCCACCTCGTGCTGCTCGAGAACCGTGGACTTGGCTTCCTGTTCGAGCATATCGGAGACGCGCGGGGTGAGCCTTAGCACGGCGTCCGCGTCCAGGTTGCTGAAGAGCCAGTGGTGCCGCATTTCCGTCACGTGCTCGTACGCCACCGCCTCGGCCAGCAGGGCCGACTTCTGCATCAGCAGCTGGTTCGGTTGCTCCGCGGGCGGGTAGATCTTCAGCTTGTCGTAGATTTTTCCGAACAGCACCCCGTTGATCGACAGTGTGAGGAGCGCGATGCCGCTCACGTGGAACCCGATGCGCAGGCGGATCTCGAGGGGGAGCGGATCTTCCGACTGGTCCAGCTCCACCAGCAGGGCCATGGCCAGCCCCACCGCGCCGCGCAGCCCCCCGACCACGCACACCAGGGCCTCCTTCAGCGAGACGCTGTAGCCGCCGATGTTGAGCACGGGCAGCAGGACCAGGATGGCGAGGCCGCGGCAGCAGTGGCAGAGCACGTATAGAAGGCCAAGCTCCAGCCAGTCCTGCACCCGCATGTCCGAGAAAAAAATGTACCGGGCCATCACGACGCCGGCGATGAAGAAAATGAAGTCGTTGGCCACCCCGGCCAGGAAGGACACCACCTGGTGGTGCGCGTGCGTCAGGTGCTCCCCGCCGTTCGCCGCAATCAGGTCCTTGCCCACCGCCGCGTACCAAAACGCGAAGGCCACCACCGCGAGCACCCCGGACACGTGGATCTCGTGCATCTCGGACACGAAGAAGAGGCCAAACACGATGATCGCGATCAGGAACAAGAACACCTGGGCGTCGATGTGTTTCACCCGCGACAGCACAAAGTAGGCCACCAGCATCCCCACGACCGCAATCACCGGGCCGCCCAGGGCGAGCCGGGAGAAGGTGAGCAGGCTGTACCCGATCGTGAAGTCCTTGACGCCCCGGGCGATGTCGAAAAACAGGAGGAAAAACACCACCGCCGTGGTATCAACTGCAAATAAAGTGTCTGGGTCTGGAAGATTTCTAGATTTGTCATGCATATTTTCCATGAGCCATGATGTCTGTGATATTTGACGTAGCATCACAGATTTTTGGAGGGCTTTGTGATACTTCTACCGCATGAGAAATGCTCTCCCCGTGTAGCACAAATAACTGGACGCCTTTTGCTAGTCATGCAATACAGATTCTTTTGGAATCCAAAGACAGCATCACAAGCTGCAACCTTCCAGACCCAGATCGATTTTTGCACTTGATACGTGGCGTCGTTCATCAACGCCTCCCCGGCGATCAGCAGCGTGAGCCGCGCGGGCGCGCCCAGCACCTTGTATCAAATGCAAAAATGTCTGGGTCTGGAAGAGTGCGCGATTTGTCATGCAGCTTTGCCATGACCCATGAGGTCTGGAATGCAGGACCTAGCATGACAGATTCTGTGCGATCTCTCTTATGCTTATCCTGCATGAGAAACTCCCTCCCGACTTGGTCAAAACTGAACGACTTTTGGTAATCATGCAACACAGATTATTCCATGCTTCAGATTCAGCATGACAAGTTGCATTTGATACCTTGAGCGCGCCCACGACGGCGACCGGGTCCGTGGCGGACAGAATCACGGCCAGCAACAAACAGGACTCCAACGTCCACCCGTCGTCTCCCGGGGGGTCGCTGAACAACAGCTTGATGCACCCGCCCAGGAGGAGAAAGGAGATGAGCACCCCGGGCACCGCGAGCGTGACGGCGTTCGAGAACACCGGTTTCAGCACGCGCCAGTCTGCGGAGGACCCGTCCTCGTACAGCAGGAAAGGCAGCATATGCATCGCAAAAATCGCTGGATCTGGAAGGATACAACTTGTATGTAATGCTACGTCTGGACTCTACATAAAGACTGTATTGCGTGAAGAGCAAAATAAGCCCGGTTTTTGCTACGCGGAGAGGGCATTTCTCATGCGGTATGAGCATCAGAAAGCCCTCGCAGAATCTGTGATGCTAGGGCATGCATCACAGACATCGTGGGTGATGGAAAATATGCATGACAAACCTGGCAATCTTCCAGACCCAGACATTTTTGCGGTTGATACAGCAGCACCCAAAACAAGACGTGCGGGTCGATGTGGCTGACGGCGTGGATCATCTCCGCAAAGTGCCCGTGCGGCGGCGCGAGGTGGCCCAGGACGTTGGTCAGCATCCCCACCAGCACCAGCAGCAGGGACTGCGGCAAGAAGTGGTGGAAGACGAACTTGTCGAGCGCGGTGACGAGCAGCGAGCCCTATCAACTGTAAAAATGTCTGGCTCTGGAAGATTGCGAGATTCGTCATGCACGTTTTGCATGAGCCATGATGTCTGTGATGCATACCCTAGCATCACAGATTTTTTGAGAGCTTCTTGATGCCTATTCCGCATGACAAATGCCTTATCAGCGTAGCAAAAGCATGCATTCCCTTTGGTACTCATGCAATACAGACTTTTTATTTTTTGGAATCCAAATGCAGCATCACAAGTTGCATTCTTCCAGACCCAGACATTTTTACATTTGATAAGCCCAGAATGGCGACCAAAACGAAGGCGAGCAGGATATCCTGAGTAAAAACGTACCCACGCCAGAGTTGTAATGCAGATTTGCAAAGACAGGAAGACTTGTAATGCGCATCCCTATGAGAGCCATTTCCAGTCGTGTTTTGGAATTTGTGATGCTGTAAACAGGATGAGCAGATGAATCTGTGATGCGACTGCACTTGCTAACCTGCACTACGCTGCAGAGTGCAAGTTGTCACGCGTGACTCACAAAACTCCTAGGTTTGTGTTGCAAAATCCCCATCCTGACTCTGGTGTGGGTACGTTTTTACTCAGGATACAGGAAATACAGAGCGGGGACGTGGTGCCCCCCGTGGCCACCTCCGTCCTCAGACTTGCACAAAAGGAGGTAGTCCCCGTGGTTCGCGCTGGTATCCCGCTTGTCTCCCTCCTCTTTCCAGACCAGCAACTTGGTCCCCTGGTCATACCAGCAGTATCCTGAGTAAAAACGTACCCACACCAGAGTCAGGATGGGGAATCTGCTAGACAAATTAGCCAGCTTTGGTTGTTTGGCATGACAAGTTTGTCCGCGTAGTGTAGTGCTGTTTGAGCTAGTTTAGCAGCATTACAGATCTAGTATCTCGTGCTGATTGGAGCATGACAAATTTCAAAACCGCATTAGAAAATGCTTCTCATGGGGCTCCGCATGAGAAACATTTTAGTCATGCAGAGTTGCATGACAACTATGGTGTGGGTACGTTTTTACTCAGGATAAGCAGCCGGCCCGGTTCATGGTTTTCAGCGGTTGCCACTCTTTATCAAATGTAAAAATGTCTGGGTCTGGAAGAATGCAACTTGTAATGCATATTTCAGAACACAGAAAAGTCTCTCATGCATACGTAGCAGAAGCTGCCCATTTTCTCTCAGCAAAATAGGGGATTTGTCATGCGGATTCGGCATTGCGGAAGCTTTTCGAAACCTGTGATGCTAGAGCTTTCATGCCAGGCCTTCCGTGTCATGCAAAAACAGCATGACTCTTCCAGACCCAGACATTTTTACATTTGATACTCTTTGCTCGCGATGTAGAGGCTCGGCGTGTTTACCGCCGACGGGTTCCAGTTCAGCAACTTAGTCGCCGCCTGCTCGCATTGCTCCCGGTTCTCCAGCTGCTGGTCGTATTTGCACAGTGATTCGGATAAAAAGTACCGCGTGGAGGAGGCATTTGCCGCGGTAGGAGATGTTGCAGTCACACCAAAAACCGGTCGTGGGAGTTGTACATGTACTAGAGCGAGAAGTGTAGAAGTCGTTGTTGCGCAGTAGAAATTCCGAAGTACGACTAGAGCACCAGCCCAACAAAGTTTTATTCCTCCTCCTCGTCTTGAGTTCTTCACCTCCGTCGCGGCCCGGTGTTCGTGATACCGGCTCCGGAAGGAAGATGACGACGGGTTTCTTTTCCCGGCGCTGTTGTGAAGGTCGACGCAAGGCCGTTGTGGAGCATCGCCCTGGAACGGCGAACGACCTCCGCACTCGTCGGGAAGGGCGGTTGAGCTTCCCATCTTAGCTTTTCTTCGGACAAATGCAACTATTTCTGAGAAGGAGCGCTTGCACTTAATGTTATCTCGTAGAATTAGTCATTTTTTCTTTGCAGTATTTTCATATTGCAGTAAAATCATGACAACTACCTATGAGAATCGTCTACTGTGCGCAACGCTTGTTCGACGGTCCGTCTCCGTAAAAATATCATGCTTGCTGCGTGATGGCAACAGTGCGAGGAGCGTGTGGTGCCGATCACGATCAGGGGAGAATGCGCACGACCATGCGCAGATCATGCAGTATATAAAGGTGAGGAGATATATAATATTGTTGACGGGGTGTTGCTAGAATATAGTGCCTGTCGAAAACAAAAAATGCGAACTGGTCGTATAATCCTCTATTGTTATCTAATACGATTTTTGATGCACCGTGTGAAGATGTTCAAACCCAAAGGGGTCATGCTAATGCTCCAAAGGACAAAAGACGAACGACTACGTGGACGAGCGCTTCCATTTCTTCGTGCACGAGTGAGTAGTGGTTGAACGAAAAGAATGAATGACTGGACGACAGGTGGTTTAAAACGATAATACAACGACAAAAGCAAAACATAACCGATAAAAACGCGACGAGAACTGCAAGAAAAAGTGATACAGAAATACCGACTCAAAATATAGCACAGGACAGATATTGGAAACCGCAACGAAAGTGTCAAAGTTGACCGAACGAAGAGCAAATTTTTCTAGTTAATATAGCCTTCCACAGGCTTTGGTGTGGCGCTTCAAACGCACGATCACAGACACGGATGAACGGAACCGACGCCGTTAATAATGGAGATGGAGAAAAATCCCTGCGAGGAGTATACTACATCATACGAGCTGGAGCTTGTCGCTTGTAACCGCATTGTCAGGATAGAGGGGATACTACCAGCAACACCGCGCGAAGTACTTAAAAAGTGGCGCCAGAGAGCAATTTGACTCTTCAAGAGATGGACGGGAAAAAGAAAAACACATCGCGGTCGTACTCAGTAAGTTCATGTTGCTCTCCTGAAGACGACGAGCAGTGACTTCTATGTGATCATGTAGTTCGTACTGTAGTCTTTGAATGGTCGTGATGCTTGTTCGTTCGCCGCTCATGCTCAAACTAATTTGCATAATCCATATTTTTCATTGAATCTGCAAGAAACGTCTTGCGCCGGCTGCGTGAAATATTAAACCATGAGTTGTACTGTCCGCGCGGGCGCGCAAGAGTTCTTCTTCTTGTTGTATATAATTTCGCCTTCTCTGCGCAATTCACCCATAGAGTGAACGCGCGCGCAACCAACGGAAGCGAATGACGTGCAGAAGCGCGTCGCAGTGATAGTCGCAAGACCTCGAGCGACAGTCACAATGGCAGCCAAGAGAGAACCCGGCCGGCACAACGAGCTACGGGTAGCAGGCCATGCAAGCCAGGCTCTCGACCCCCACAGAGCCATGCCCCGGACATAGAAGAGGTGGCCCAAGCCGCGAGGCGCGACTGGGACCGCCGAATGTCTTCCCCAAATGCGACTAAACAAAGGGGGCAGCCCGCACTGTCGGGGACAGAGAGCAGGGCGCACGGGGCGGCGTAGCAAAGTAGCGAGGCTTGTGGAATCGTGCCGGGACATATCCCCGCGACACAACCCGGGAACCGGGTGAGGATAGTGGGGGCGTGCTCCCAAATGTGACTAGATAAGTAAGGCCCGGGAGGGTTCCGCGGACTCGTCTCGTGGCGGAAGCAGCACAAAGCACTGCGCGACCGACCACGCGTCTCGGTAAGTAGACATTATCTGTCGCGTCTGTGATTGCTTTAAGTTTCGCAAAGGCCACAAAAGCGTCCCCAGGCCCGTTGGATGAGTCAGGATCTCCTGGGAGACCCCGAAGCAGGAGAAGAACGAACCTGTTCACAGAAGCAAAAGAGCATCTATGCAGCGCTCCCTCTCGCCCCCACACCAACCGCTGAACCCCTCGACTGCGTCGACTGCATTCAAGCAATCAACACCGGCGGACCGACGCCGAGGAGCGAAGGACGGAGTCGCGAAGCCGATAGGCCACGCTCCTCAGCTCTCCTTCCGTGTCAGCACTCCTGATACTTCCACACGAAGTGCTACCTACAACATGCCCTGCAAGATGCAAGCAAGCATCCATGTGGAAGCTGCAACGAAGTCGTCACGAGCTCCGAAGAGCAGCAACAACGACGTCGCGGACGCCCAACCCCTCCCCAGCACCCGCAGGCGACGTCATCGAAGTCACACGCGCAGGCGAAGGCACACACCAGTAATAACCTATATGCGCCGGCTGCGTGAAATAAACCATGAGTTGTACTGTCCGCGCGGGCGCGCAAGAGTTCTTGTATAGATTTTTCCACGCTACCGTCACCATCTCATCGCCCCCTGTCCCTGCTTCGGGACCTCTCCTTGTTCCTTCCGCCTTTGTAAAGTCGCGCCAGCGCGGCCTTGGCCTTCTCGCTCTTTGCGGGTTGCTTTTTTTTCGTGGTTTTTTTACGCTATGCATGGCAAATGTGTCTGGGTGGTCTGAAAAAGTGCGGACTTTGTGATGCTGTTTTTGCACGACATTACTGGTCACAATTTTGCGAAGCTTTCTTAATGCTGATCCCGCATGAGACGTTCTTCCGGATTTTGATGACAGGAAGCGCCGGGCCATTTTTTTAAGTATTCGTATTGCCTTCCATGCATGACAGATTCATGTGTGATCCAAAATGCGCATCACAAGTTTCAATCTTCCAAATCAAGACATATTTGCGGTGGATATACGCCCATAGTCGTCAAATTCCTCCTCGTCGGAATCGTGTTGCTTTCGGTCCTATGAAATGCAAATATCCCTGGATGTCTGGAAACTTGTGTTGCTGATACTTGCATTGCAGACGGGCTCCTTGTAGTTGTACGGAATAACAGCATGACAAGTTAATATCCTCAGCTTATATTTTGCGGATTCATTCGTCGGAAGCATTACAAATAACTGAGTTTCACAGCATGACACAGAAACTGGCCAATCGTATTTATGCATCGCAAATCCATATTGTCCTTGATGTCTTGCATTACAAATCCAGACCCAGACGCAGACATATTTGCAATGCATAGGTCCTCAGGGTCTTGCCGGTCGAAATAGCCGCCCGCACGCCCGCCCTCCCGCTTCTCCTGGAGCTCGGGTTTCAGACTTATTGAAAAGAAAAATCCCCCCTCCCCATATTGAAAAGGTATGTCTCCGAAAATTTGCGTTGCTGATTTGAGGTCACAAATCACATTTGTCTTGCAAGAAGGCTACTCTACAGTCTCCGCCGCACTATGCGGGCGGTTTGTGATGCTGCCTGGGCTACAGCATAGGCATTTGTGATACTAAGCGTCCACGTCAGCAGCTCTGTACTCAGGCACGGCATATGCCTCCAAGCATATACTGCAAGACAGCCGTGATTTGTGTACGGAAATCCAGCATCAGAAACTTCGTTTTGATATGGGGAGGGGGGATTTTTCTTCACAATAAGACTCTGGCAAAGGTTGCACCGTGTACGCCAGTCCCAGTTCACATTGGCACAGGTATCATCTTGGAAACATCAAGAGCTACTTCCTGGAAGCGGCTATTTCCTTACTTGTTTACCGGTCATTTTTCTATTGTGCTTCTCTTGTACGAAGTGAACAAAAATCCCACACAAATGCAAATCATTGATCAGAGAATATGATGAATGCATGGACGAGCCCCTTCTATCAGGATCGATTGCATAGAAAGAATTGAGGACGATAGTACGCCCCGGAGCAGCTCTTATTTATTTCCGTTTGATACCAGGAAGAGCAGGTCCAATCTCCAGGCTTGAACCTGTGTATTTTGTAGTACGATATGAATATGTGGTTGATTATTATTCTTTGGTCTTCACAAGTGTACTACAGCAAGATGATTGCGCAACCTGCCATGACTATGATAACTGCAGATGTACTCAACTATCGTGGATTGCCAAAACCAAATAACGATTTGCTAGACACAAAAAAAAAACATCTATCGTCCTCTATACAGTCCTGGCGGTGCGCTCATAGTCATGGGCATCTCGGCATCGTTCCGCACCGGTTTTGACTTTCCGCACTTCTCGCAATTATTCAACCGTTTGGAATTGATGGTTCCGCACGCTTTCACCGGGCACTGCCAGTCGCCGCCCGGCAGCAGGAAAGCCTTTTGATTGATCTCGCGTAGATCCGGCTTGGGCGGCAGGGGGGCGACCTGTGGTGCTGCCGCGAGGGGGTTCGGGTGAACAATCGGATTCCCCTGCAGGAGCTGCTGCTGTTGCGGGGGCACGACCAGAGCGGGATGATATGCGGGAGGTTGTAGCTGCATCTGTAGCTGTTGCTGCGCTTGTGGTCCACCACTTGACGAGGACGACGATGCGGCGCCGCCAGCGGTCCGCCCAGTAGATTGAAGCGTAGAGGCCGTGGCAGGAATTATTCCGCTGTTGTTCGCAGCGGGAGTTTGGGTTGTAAACAATCCTGGCACGACCCCCGCAGTAGAACTGGATGATGTACTACCGCCAGCAGCTGCAGAGGGTGACGCGGCTAGCAGCTGTGCACTACCCGAACTGGGAATTGCAACGGTCGTAGGTGGAGCCGTACTAGCTTGCTCTCCTGGTGGGTGGGTGGCCACTGGAGGCAACGGCCCGGGCGTTGGTGCAGCTGCAGGTCCTGAGGGAGATAAAAGTGAACAATTTTCTATAAACAATGTTTCATTTCTGATGAAATAAACTACCGTAATATACAAACTTGGTTCACCAGGAGCCCGTGCTGGCACGAGCCACCAGCTGCTGTGAATCATGATGAAAAGCAAGTCGTTCTAGTTCTGCGCACCTGGGCGTGAAGATTTTTAGGATTACCCTATTAGCACATCTGTTTCTCTGCATAGTAAGTATGTAAAATGATAGATCTCAAGGATAGATGTACCCACCGGGGTGGCCGTGTGTAGGAGATCAGCCGCATTGGACGTAGCTTGAAGTGGCGGCTGTTGCTTTGCCGTGCCTTGAGGTAGATTATGAGGCACTACTTCTGAGGACGCGCCGGCGTCTGTTTCATCATTTCCGGCTAGCCCCGCAGCCGCACCCGTAAGTGGTACCCCGGGAGCAGCTCCACCTGGAGCCGCGGATAAAGCGGGTGCAGTTGGCGCGCCCCCGCCTTTGTTCCCTGTCGTGCCAGGTGTGGCGATAGCAGCACCTCCGGGCGGAACCACAACCTGCGACATGTTGGGTATCGTTGGCAACAGTTGCTGGACCGGTTGCTGCTGGTTCATCATGTTGTTCCCTATTGTAGAAGTTCCTGGAGGAACTACTGCTCCGGCGCCTGGCAGTTGTGGCAGCTGCATGTTGATCTGCGGTAACATCGTACTTGTTCCCGGTTGTAGTTGCTGACCCTGCTGCTGCTGCTGCTGCTGTGCCGCCATGGCGTTTGCCATCAGTTGCTGCTGTTGCAGCAGCATGCTCATCTGCATCTGCATCAAGAAGGCGGGATCCATTTTTTTTACTACACTTTTTTCGGAATGAGTACTATTCGGTGAAATTGCTGTCGCCGTCTTCTGAGGTCCTCGTGCAGAAGTAAGTTCTTGAGGATTAAGTTCCGTACTCCATTTGTTTCGTAATTTTGGTGTGGCAGAAAGCTCGTCGCTTCCACTTCTTTCAGAGGGGCAGGGAAGCAGTTTCGCACATTATGTTGCTGAAGAGTAATAAGTATTTCTACGCGGCTTTAGGTTTAGCCGCGGCCCGGTTTCGCTTTTGCTTGTTCCTTCCGTTCCTATTCTTATGCTGCCTGCGCAAGAACAGAAAAGCGCGACTAAAGATCTTTCTAAAAGTAGAAAAATGGTTGAGAGAATTCGTGTTCTTAAATACAGATAAGATGCGACGTTATAACTTTCAAATAATCGCATCACCCTTCTACAACGCAGCCTGATAAATGTGAAGTGAACTCTTCAGATAACTTACTTAGAATGAAACAAAAAGCAAAAAAAAACCGTTCCATGATGATGGAGCAAAGGACAAATTAGGTACAATTCTTCTTGTGCAATGACTTTGCTTTTGATTTTGGATCAGCAAATTCGCAATTTGAAGCAAGAGAGTATCAATTTCCACACGCGCAAATAAAAGAAAAGCACGACAACATTATGTGTACTGTGGAAGAGAATTCCGGTCGTGTTTACCTACGTGTGGTCTAGACGACCTGGACAAGTAGATCCTACGAACAACATTGGCGGGAGCGGCGGGTCGCTCTTCTTCTTCGGGCCTCATGTTCCGTGTATTTTACTTCATACCGTGCTCGACAGAAAAACCGCCTTTCTGCCTCGCATCAAACGCCGAATTGATACCGTTCAAACAAAGTTATTCCCCCGGAAAATGTCGATATTTCACATCGTATAAAGGTTTCTGGTGTGAACTACGCCAGGCGCTGCGTGGTTCCATTCGTTCATGGGGGTTCGTCGGTCGCTTTGTACTTCTTAGTTGTAATCTTGAAAATGAACCAAAGAGACACCTGCTTCTGCTGGTCATGGTCGTTTTTACAAAGGTGCTTCTGTCGTTAGGTATGGTGCGTATCATGCTTTTTCGTGTGATGATAAGTTAAGTAACTGCGCGCAGTCGTGGCTTTTTCGTGTGTTTTGTCACCACCAGAGACATCGAAGACATCCAATTCAGGAGCCCCTGCTCGTCCGGTTGTAAGTACTCGGGGAGTTCTGTGTTGGTACTATGTTGGGCAAAATTCAATAGCGGGTAGGTGCCCGTGCCACTACAAGTATAGAATTTAGAACGAAGAACAGTTGTTGTACAGATGTGGAGGATGACGTGTACAGCATTGGATGTGGGTTTCTTGGTACAACCATCGACGTCTGCTACTAAGTACGACGTAGTTGTGCGTATGCCTTCTATGTGGAAAAAGAGGCTAGCAGAGCCATCTACGATAGCAAGGAGATTTTCGAGTGGGAAGAAGAGCGACAAATTTGGGGGGAGCTTTCCCGGGTCGAGATCGTGGAGCTGCCAGAGGAGTGCTACGCGGAAAATTCGCCGGAACACCCGTCTTTCTTTCTGTTCTACGGGTCGGCGAGGCGGGAATCCGTGCAGGGGGGGACGTTTCCGGCGCACTGGCTGACGAACACGTTTCAGGAATCGTGGTTGCACGGGTACAATTACCACTTAAAGGAGGGCTACGATGTCTACGACCATTTGGAAAGCACGGCGGAGCTGATTTACCAGCAGAACAAGACTACAGGTGGACAACCACCCGGCGCTCCACCAGCAGGTGTACAACCCGGAAGTGGAGGACCACCGCAAGGTACTACGAGTACTGCGCAATTCATTCACACCTCGGTTTCGGGAACCGGAGCGCTGAAGAGCCAAGGAGCTCCTGTAGCTGCTACGGCAGGAGCAACAGACAGTGCTGGTACAAGCAACACAGATTTGGCTACCACGCAAGAAGGCAACGATAAAAATACTGTGTCGATAGACGGCGCCGCGAGCTCGACGAATACTTCCACCGCCACGCCCGACGCTCCCCTGCCCGCCGGCGTGGGGAAGATTATGCACAACCCAATAAATTTCTTCGTCTCTGCGTATGACGAACAAGATGCCCAGTACCAAGAATTCTTTTTCCGCGCGGAGGACCGGACAAACGCCGTCGGGCTCGGCAAACACACAGACCGGTGGGCGCCGAGAGAGTTGGTTGCGCGGCTGGAGCAGAGAAGGCGGGAGCTGCAGGAGATTGTTAATGGTGGAAGTGCTCCTGGTCCTGACACGGCAACTTCTAGAGGAGAGGAAGCTCCTTTCATCCGACAGATCAAAGCGTTGCGGGAGGAGGAGAGCACCATATCCCAGTTTGAAACGCAGTATTACAAACATCTCTTCGATAGTACTGCCGCAAAAGAGCAACAGGAACAGCTATTAAAGGAACAACAGGAGCAAGCGACAGCCGTCGCAGCAGCGGAACTAGCAACTGCTGATGGAGGTAATTCCACTAACGGTAAAAACGCCACCCACCCCCTCGCCGGTGTCGATGTGTCCCCTCGCGGCGCCGCTGTGATCGCAGAATCGTACAAGGCGCAGTCGGGGCAGGACCCGATAATTCTCCGGCGCATGGGCTACATCCGGAACATTTACAGGGGGGCAATCTACCAGAAATTCTCCAGAAATTTGACCCAAATCGCGCAGGAGTTTCACGAGTCCTTGGCGGACTTGGTACTGGATGAAGAGGAGAAGGCACAGCTTTATCCTCGGGTACCCTGAGTAGTCCTTCTGTAGGTACTCGGGGATATCCTTCTGTAGGTACTCGGGGCCGTGAAAAAGGAAGCGGGGGCGTACATCTTTATCATCCACGAAAAAGAAATCGACTTTACATACCTTTGTCACGCATCGTAGAGGATCCTTCAAATCGAAATGCTGATGCTTTGGCTTTCTTTCGTCTACTTTATTCGCTAAATAAATAACGTGCGATGTTCTGCACGACCTAACTTCCATTCCTGTTGTGTCGCGTGTCGGGTCGAGACCTTCGTTGGAACAAAAGGAAATTGTTCTCTACGTACGATTTGAATATGAGTTGTAAGTATCACGCTACCATGAAAACATAAACATCTTCCCGACTATCAAGTTAGTAGATAAAACGGCTCGTCTAGAGCTCCTCCTTTCTGCCCCCCTTCTTGCTGCGTTTCTTCTTCCCCGGCACCGTCTCCACCCAGGCTTTGTAGAGTTTCTCGTCATGCTTGATCAGGTCCATCTCGGCCTTTAGCTGCGGCGTATTCAGCACTTCGATCTCATTCGGTTTCTCGAGCTTCACATTGGCTCCGGACTCGGGAAATTCCACATTGAACCGCACCACCAAGTCGCCACGCCCCCCGTATCGAAAGGAAAAATCCCCCCTCCCCACATCGAAAAGGCATGTTTCCGGAAGTTTGCGCTGCTGATTTGAGGTCACAAATCACATCTGTCTTGCAAGAAGACAAGGCCAGAAGCTTCGCCCCCATTATGGACGCGATTTGTCATGTTGTTGGGCCTAAAGGGGAGCCGTTTGCGATGCTGAGCAACTAGACCGATACACCCCTACCTAGGCTGGGGATCTAGCCGGAATGCCTTCCCGCAATACAAAGCTGATTCGTGTACACAAATCCAGCATCAGAAATCCCGTTTCGATATGGGGAGGGGGAGTTTTTCCTTTCAATACCCCGTACGCATTGTACATACCTCGATTTGGTGTCAAACATCTTCGTATCTTCATGCAGTCACGCTCACGCTAATTGTCAATGGAAGAATTATGGGCCTTAGTGTCAAAGCGCTGCTCTGATCATGGGTTAATATAATGGGACGTCTACAAGAGCACATATCATGGTAATGGAAATGGTATACACAAGAGAATGAAAATAAAAAATTCCTTGAAACCTTTCCCCTTGATTCGCATGATTTCGTTTGGTTGCGTGGTTTTGCCCGCCTTGTCGATGAAGACGTACTCGTGGTCTTTCAATACGCGCCACTTTCCTTGGAACCCGTACAAGGCTTGTGAGAGGGAAATGGTCAGCACCGTGTAGAGATCATCGTCCATTGAAAAATATCTGCGAATTTGTCATCGATTCAGACACTTGCAGCTGTGCATCCAATTCTTGTAAGTCTGTCATGCATGGCTGGTTCCAACCTCCTTCCAAATCCAATCCTGGATCAGCTTGTCAAAAGAAATCATATTTGCGCCTCTGAAAAAAGAAAATACGTGTCGTGGGGTTCCCTCTTGACGACAAAGCGCACGTTGCCGGGCAAGCGACCGGGCGTCTGATGGCTCATGCCCCGCATGGACCGCATCTTGGTCCCGTCGGCAGCGTTAGCAGTGACCCGCAGATTTCGGATCTCGACCGGCTGCTCGCGACACCGTTCGCGGGATTCCACTATGCATTGCAAATATCGACCTGGGTCTGGAGACTTGTGATCCTAGTTTGTGAATGGTCGTGGGAGGACACTGCAATTATCCGGAACCACGCATCTTCACAAGCTTCTGGGCTCCTTTGTGGTTCTTCGATTTCCGCATGGAAAACTGCACTCTTGCATGACAGGCAAGAGGCTGCCTCTTAGGCATTTATTTTCCTGGTCACGTCGCATTGTACAGATTCAAGAGTCACGCGCAACAAGCATGACAAACTTCTTGCGTCCTTGAACCAGACCCAGATCGATATTTGCAATGCGTATCTACTTCTACCGTCTTGGAGCCGACCATGAAGGGGCCCTGCATTTTGGGGATCTGCCGCACCTCCGGGGGGCAGCGTCCGCATTCCTTGCATTGCTCGCTCGGTATCAGAGAGAACAAGTAACTAGCATGATATTGATGTCGCATTCTTATTTTCATTGCATTTTATCATGCAAACGAAAAGACACAGGAAACTCAAGAAAAGCTGCCATGCGCGACCACGAGCTCATAGCATACAACTGTTTCGCATCATAGTACTGCTGCTGGAGAGGTTCTTTGTGGAACGAATATTTTTCGTATTTTTGCAAATATGCAGCCATGCTAACTTTTTCTCTCGCATACTGCTGGGATTGGCGCGGCAGCCCCGGCAAATTGTTAGACGGGGGAAGGAGTAGGATTTCTGATTTGATTTGTTTCATCCGCGATTTGTGCTTGAAAGAGAACGCCACGCATCTTGATGCGGCCCGAAATTTCTTTCTGGATGTGCAAGAAGCTATCAGTTTATTTACTGTCCTGTACAAAACAAGCCTGAGCCTGTCACTGTCAATCCTACTGTACCTAGTAGCACATTGTGGTCACTATATCAAAAATACGGTATACCGATTCCGTTCCGGCAAAAAGTTCCTCCAGGGACACGGGGACGTCTACGGAGACATCCTCCTGTCGCAAGCGCTGCTCGACCTGCTGCTTCATTTGCGCCTTGTTGGGCTGCTGCGCCTTGATCTGCGCTTCGGCTTGGGCCCGCATGGGGTGGTTCTTCGGAATCTGCTGGTCCAGCTGCGCCATTTGCTGCGCGACCTGATGTACATTATTAAAGTGAAAGCATCTTCATGGTCGCGTGGTGTCCATTTCGCCTCATTTATCTCCTTGCGGTTATGGTTAATACCGCATCTTACAATGCAAGTAAGCGTCTGACTGTCAGTCGGAGCTTTTATTGCCCCGCACAAGCAGGACATCTGAAGACTCTTTTGATCCTTAACCGTGAAGATCTTCTACTGCGCGTAGTTAACCCCCACGACCACGCCTTCTATCTTCTACTTCTACCATCAGTTATAAGTTTTCTGTCAATATTTATACCTGTCCTTCCATTTCTTTCGTGAAGGTTTCCACATTTTTCACCAGTAGTGCACCGCCAGCAATGTACTGCTCTTTCTTCTCTGGCTCGGACAAAATTTCGTACGCCTGACGGATCTTCTCAAACAGGGCGGGATCCCCTCCCTTGTCTGGGTGGTGTGTCACGGACTTCTTGCGGTATGAAATGCAAATATGTCTGGGTCTGCAAACCTGTAATGCTGAATGGTCATGAGTGAGTGCGCCTCTAAGTGCAGTGTTACATGACAAATTTTTCAAACGCTTTCTCATGCTTAATGCGCATGGCAAACTGCGCTCTTTCATGACGACATCGTGGCGCTTTTGTTGCTTTTATGCAATACAAATTTTTCGGGAGTCCTGGACACGCAATACAAGTTCAACCTTTTCAGACCCAGACACTTTTGCATTTGATATGCGATAGGATTTCTTGATTTCAGACGGCGATGACTCCTCCGTCACGTCGAGCACCGCGAAGGCATCCTCTGCTAAAACTGTAGTAGGTTGAAGAGACGGAATTTGAATTATTAATTCATTTCATACGTTGCGCAAAAATTTACTGCAGATGCGGCGTTGTAAGAACGAGTTCCGGCACGGCATCCTTGATCATAGGTGTGAAAAAACAAGATTCAAAGTGAGGCATATGTTGGGTTTCTATAACCAAAAACTCGAGCGTTGCTCTTCTCGCGAATCACTTTTCAACCAATCGTTGGTCCAACGATCGTGGTTGAGCACATAACAGAAAATATAGCAAAAATTCTATGACTCTACAACAATCTACGTGATGTACATACACCTTTACCTCATCATTCCTTTACAACATCATTTCGACGGTAGAAAAATCAATCAATATTACGTGAGTCCTCTTCGCCACTTGCTGCGATTTTGACGAAAGTGATCACACTCGGCTTGCCGGTTCCCCGGGCTGCTTTTGCGGTCTCTAATCTCGTTGCCTTCAGCTCCTCCTCGTTGTGCGCGTCCAGCCGTGCTTTCGCCTCAGCACTCTTGCTTTCGTACGCCTGGGAACCTGTAGTTAGAAAGATAGAAGGTGTTGTAGCTATCATCTTCTTCTTTACCTTTTCATCTGGAGGCCTGGTACTATCTAAAACTTGGTGTGCTGCTGGTGCTGCTGTTGCAGTTGCTCATGCTGAAGATTCGCTTTATTTCATGTCGCTTTTTGAAATCGAAATTCCATAAATATTCTTCGAAAAAATGAAACAAAAACCCCACTAGAGAAGAACCAACGCCATCAATACATCTGTTTTTTCTAAAAATAAGTACCTCGGACAACTAATTTCAGCACCGACTCCGGCGTCTTCTGCGTGTCGGGCGTGTTCAGGTAGACGTGCGTCTTCGTGGCGCTCCACTTACAGATCCCCTCCTGGCGAGCGCAGGACTTTACCGTCCCCCCGAGCTCCCCGTCGCGGTTGAAAATGTAGGAGCCTGCCTTACCCGCCTATGAGGATGCGCAAGAACGAGACCCCGTGTCATAATAATTGCCCCGACCCGCCCCATAATTTGCGTTCTTGCATGATCTACAGCAACCGAAGCATTCATCAGCAGCTGGAACCACGTGCTGGGAGCAGCTTTTTGTGCAAGACAAACCATTTAGATCTTCGAGGTCATCTACCTCTGTACTTACTACTTAGCGCCGTCCGGTGCTGTGCGCTACGCGGTTTCAGATCCTCACCAAAGAGCTTGTCATGCGGGAATAGTCAAACTTGAAATTGAATTCAAGGATTAGAATAGGATCGTGTTCTCCTGCATGAAATCAAATGTCGCGGCAATAGACGAGGAGGAGTTCTTCTTGTGCACGCGGATACCGCCCACTCCGTGTTCACAAGCCACTCGAACGACGGATCCACCTTCTGCGTCACGCCTGCCGGCCACGGGAGTTCCCGGGGACCCTGCGCTTGCACTGTTTTATTTGTAGTCATGTAATATTTGCAGATGATACAGACAGTAATGAAAATGAACGGGTGTTGAACAAGAAAACAAACAACAACCATGCAAGATGATCTTCGTGCTGCACAGAGGATCGCTTCCATTTCGATTTCCTATTTCTTTCATAATAAATTGAACCCTTTCAAAAAAAACTCACTTCCTCCGCCCATCATGGCGCCCTCCGAAAACTATGCTCCCACCCACCCCGCGAGAGGTGTCGTCGCTGGGTAATCGTATACCCCCCAGAAGCGCCAGGCCCCAAAGACACCGCAACCCCGGCCCTTTCCGGTATAAACCGGCGGGCGCCCTCCGCGCCCGGCAAGTACTTTGCGCCAGGGCCTTGCCGCTGGGCTACCGAGCCGGCCCCCCCCTCGCGCGGAGGGCCGACTCCGCCCGGCAAGCTTTATGGCCAAAATCCCACCCGGTCGGCCCTGCGCCTCCTCAACCGAACCCCCTTACTTTCTGTGGAGGGCCCGATAAAACCACGGCAGCGCGGATGCGCGCCAAGCTTCTGCGCCTGCCGCTGCTTGCCGATGCCCTCCGCTAGCCTGTTCCCCTCCCGAAACCCACCGGCCGGGGACCAGGAGAAGGCCGACCGGCCCCAGCCCTCCCTTCGCGGCCAGTCGCAATTCCGCTTGATGGGCATCCCTACTCGCAGATCCGGCCAAGAGGCCGCGCGCCCGGGTTTTCCATCTTGCCAACAACGCGCCACGGGCAGACGGGCTACCTCGACGTCCGGCGCCGGCCGGAGGTGGACCGACAAAAACCGAAAGGGGCGAACAAGAGCCTGCCTGGCTTCCGCGCTTCCGCTTTCCAAGCCCCGGCCGGCCCTGCTAGGGCGGCGGGCGGGGGCGGGCACACACCGGCGGCCACACAACGCAGACACCCGCGCAGCCCGGATACACTGCTCGCGCGCCGGGCCAATGCCCAGGGGGCGCAACGCCGGCCGGCTGCGCCCCGGCGCTGTTTCTTTTGCTTGGCGCGCATGTGTCTTCAAAAAAAAACTCACTTCCTCCGCCCATCATGGCGCCCAAAATGTCGCCAAGCTCCAAGAACCAAAATGGCGCCCAAAATGGCGCTAACGCGACGGACTAGAACAGCCAAGCACCAAGCTGGCCTCCCACTGTGGCACTCAAATCCCATGCGATCCAAGAGTAGCAGATTAAACAGACTAACGTCAGGAAAGCACAAAAAGCCTTCTCGACCACCCCCGGTAGCTATCCTAGCCTAGCCGACCCGACAAGACAAGCGGGTCATCCCAAACGAGGCTTCCGCTAAAAAACCAGCACAGCGAGGTATCCGGCCCCGACAGGGCTTCCCAAACGAGGCTTCGGAGCCTCCTGCCCTTACTCGGAGTAGTAGCTAGTAAGCTGAAAAACCCGCAACATATCGAAGGGCGAGCAAAACCCGCCTTGCACCCTGAGCAGCACCATAATGCTCCCCAGCACTGCCGCATATTCCCTAGAAACGCGAACAAAAACAAACTCCAGCCAGCCCATCTAGGACCCCGAGCTTGAGGGCCAGAGCTCGGAATGAAACATCCTGCCCTAACGAGGAGCGAAAACAAAGAACAGCCCATATCCCCACGGGCTCGAAAAACAGAAATATCCATGAGTAGGCATCTTGGTACATCGACCTCCTGATCCACTTACTAGTTGTAAAAACCGCAAAACCATCCTGAAACCCATCCTCCCCGCTGGGAAGCGCCCTCAGTGGCGGAATGGCACTGCGGTGCACTCTGAGCACATGAGCTACCATCCATTAAAGCGAAAACTTCCTAAATAACCCTTCCCCGCTGGGAAACGCCCTCAGTGGCGGAATGGCACTGCGGTGCACTCTGAGCACATGAGCTACCATTCATTAGAACGCGACCTTCCTAAATCACCCTTCCCCGCTGGGAAACGCCCTCAATGGCGGAATGGCGCTGCGGTGCACTCTGAGCACATGAGCTACCATTCATTAGAACGCGAGAACGATGTGAATCCATCACAAAGCAACCTATCCAGCGAAATCTGCGGACTACGTCCGCGTTGGCTCCTTCCCCGACCCCACTCAGAGGGGTGGAAGACCAACAACTCCAGGCATTAGCTTCTAGGGATCTGCCAGCCCATATACAAAAACGGACGGGGGGAAACTCCCTCCAGTCACTCCACGAAAAGGCTCTACCAGGGTAGATGTGTCTTCAAAAAAAAACTCACTTCCTCCGCCCATCATGGCGCCCAAAATGTCGCCGAGGCCCCCATATCAAATGTAAAAATGTCTGGGTCTGGAAGAATGGAAGGCTTGTCATGCTTGTCTGGCATGATCCATGATGCTTGTAATGCATGACCCAGCAGCACAGATTTATGGGAAGCTTCCTGATGCCATTTCCGCATGACAAATGCCCTCCTCGCGTAGCACAAATGTGGCTCCTCTTGCTGGTCATGCAATACAGATTTTTTTAGAGTCTAAAGTTAGCATCACAAGTTCCAACTTTCCAGACCCAGACATTTTTACATTTGATACCCCACCGCCTCCCCCCATCTGGAAGGTAAACGTTTGCGCCGACACTTGTTCTGGACCGTAATTGCATCCGATCAGCAAATATCAAATGCAAAAATGTCTGGGTCTGGAAGTGAAGAGTCATGCTGCTTTTGCATGACACAGAAGGTCTGGCATGGAAGCTCTAGCATCACAGGTTTCGAGAAGCTTCCGCAATGCCGAATCTGCATCACAGATGCCTGATTTTGGTGACAGAAAGTAGGCAGCTTTTGCTGCCTATGCATGAGAGATTCTTATGCGTTGTGAAATGCGCATCACAAGTTTGCATTCTTCCAGACCCAGACATATTTGCAATGCATAGCAAACCGGCAGCCGAGGACAGAGCTCTCATGGTATCCTGAGTAAAAACGTACCCACACCATAGTTGTCATGCAAATCTGCATGCTTAAAATGTTTCTCATGCGGAGCCCGATGAGAAGCATTTTCTAATGGTGTTTTGAAATTTGTCATGCTCCAATCAGCATGAGAGACTAGATCTGTAATGCTGCTGAAATAGCTCAAACAGTACTACACTACGCGTCCAAATTTGTCATGCGAAACAGCCAAAGCTCGTGGATTTGTCTAGCCGATTCCCCATCTTGACTATGGGGTGGGTACGTTTTTACATAAGATACATGGTTGTGGTTGTCCTTCCTCCTCGTCCTCCTCGCAAAGTAGCACTAGAACATGCCCCCGGTGCTTGTTGTTGACGCTGTTTTCTTCTCAAAGATGAGTTGTTGTCGGTCGATCCCTGGTGTCGCTGCGAGCAAGTGACTGCAGGTCGCGGTGCCGTCCTTTGCTCCGACGCCGCCGACATCATCGCTATTATATTGCCCTGATCGTCTGGAATGAAATATTTGATTATTGAAATCTATCTTCGCTGCTACTGGGAGGTTACAACTATCTTCTTGTGAAGTAGGCAAGTTGCAGCCTACTAAAAATTTACACCTACTTAAGTATGTACCTACAAGATAGAGAATGAGAATCAAGACCTTCAACTCCAACCGTCGTTCGTGACGCGGAGCCTTTTGGAGATTCTTGCCACCTCAATGCTTTATGACCAGGAGGTGTGGACGAAAGCGAAACAAATGTCGTGATCGACGCGTCGCCGTCATAAAAAAAAACTCAACAGAAAAAGTAATTAAGAATCTTCAAAAACAAATAGAAAAGAAACTTTTTGTTTTTCTAGACCACCAGGGTTGTAAAAGTGGGTGTTTTGTGCTTGTCGCGGATGATCTACTTGGTCGCAAACATAACTACGGTAGGCACTTGTCAGCAACTCTGCCGACGTAGTATTTTCATCAAAGTAGCACAACAAGTTGTGCCAGGGGTTGGATTGACAGATTTGCCGACGACTACGGGATCCGGCCACCTGTGTCCAGATCTCTACTCAAGCGTTGTAGCGTTCTAGAACCGCTTTTAGTGACGAAGTTTATTTTTATTCTATTTCATGTACTATACGTGAAAATTGCCTAGTTATTTATTGTGAAAAGAAATAAAAAATGTAGAAAACGCCGGCGCTTCGCTGCTGCAGGGTGAAAGATTACAAACATATTGACTTCTGCATCCAAGAAGAACTATACAGATCGCCTTCTGCATCAACACAACTTGTGTAAAGTACTATCACTATTCCACTACAATCCAGACACCATCGGTAGTTCTCGACCTTCTTCGAAGAGCTACTTCTCTTGAGGATATTACAGTTGTAGAAACCAACATCGCCATCGGTGTATTGATCTTCTACTTCTTCTAACGGATCCGAGGAAATGTCAGGTAACAGAGTCGTGCTTGTCCACGGATCTATTTGGATCTTCGTTCCAGCGCTGGTTGCTACTGCATCTTTGCAGTTATCAGCTCTTGCATTGGGATCCTTTCGGGCGGTGAGCGTGAGTGCGCGAAAAACATCCTATGAGAAGTGTTTTACCACCAATGGGTTGTTCTTCCACTTTGATGCGCGCAGCTAGTTTTGTGCATTGAAGCTCGTAGACATTACCATAAAAAATCTTCCCGCCTTCATTATCATCCCTGTTCTTCGAACAATGCCGAGCTTTTATTCCAAGGGCTTGCGGCATCACGTCCAGGTCGCGGTATGATATACTCGCAAAGACGAGAAGTCAACTTTTATTTGCATCCCCCTCGTTCACTCATTTCGCATCTTTTTTAATAGTGGTTTTTCCGCCGTTAGTTGCCGCGGTGGTGCGAGTTCTAGGTAGATGGTGTCATCGCTTCGCGGCCTCCGCCTGCTTGTACCTACTAGTACCTTCCGAAAAATTCGTGATTGGTATCCTTGCAAAACCGCATCGTCATTGGTATCCTTGCATGCGCTTTCCGAATAGCTGCTCCAGATTCGTGTTCCGTATTGAAGTAGGGCGGTTATAATTCCCCCCCGCGGAGGCAGGTCCTCCGCCCCCACTGCCTCCATTGCCGTTCTGCCGAATAAAGTCCCGATCGCCGGCGCGCGACGGCGGTGCTGGGTCGCCCCGACGGTATCCTGAGTAAAAAAAACGTCCCCAACCGATATTAGCCAAGATGAGAATACTGCAAGACACGTCGTGGGCTCTTATTGGGACTCACGCACGACATCATCTTGAAGTTTGGCTAGAGAACAAACATCCCAAGGATACAAGATGCAAATTGGCGTCACAACTCTGGCGGGTTGGGGACGTTTTTACTGAGGATAGTCTGATGGAGATGTTCAGCTTCGCGCCCGACCGGTCTTCCCGGGTGAGAAATTCCTATTTGAAACATTCAAACAGTTTTACAGTAGTTTCGTTTTGAAGTTGAATCGCGACAAAGTAGGTGATGAATTATTTTCATTTTATAGCATCGCGAATCTTCCTGTCGTGCAGCTTCCTCGAGGTAGCGCTGAGGAAGACCGGACAGCATTCAAAATAATGTCAGGCGTCGATCAACTCAAACAGCATTTAAAATAATTGAGTTTAATGTACTTAAGTAGACTACAATAAAGAACCTTGATCCCGTTCACGTTCCAAAAGGGGTGCAGATATATCCTGTGCAAAAGTATCTTACTCGTAGTAATCGCATTTCTGCATCACAAAGCTACTTGTTAAGGCAAATCCGCATATACAAATTTTTTGACTTGTAATGCTGAGCCAATTATTTGTATTGATGCGATTTAAACTTCTAGTACGATACTTTTGCAATGCATAAGATACTCCTCCAAGCAGTAGATTTTCCACATCCCAACGCTCTCCGCGACCTGAACCCATCGGAATCGGAGCGTCGCGACCTGCACAAAGCAGAGGACATCCGCCTCACCCGAACCGCCGCCGCCCCCGCGGGCACCATCTGCTCCGTGACGCTTCCAGGGCGGGACAACACTAGAAGTGCTCGAAGATGAACTTGTTTTCACGAAGGACGCAAGCCACTTCACGGTGGCCTGTTTTTTCTCGAAGTCGAAAACCATGTCCTCTTCCTCGTGCTGTTTCCTACGCAAAAACGTCCCCATCCCATAGCTGTAATGCAACTCTGCATGCTGATAAGGCTTCTCATGCGGAGCCCTATGAGAAGCTTTCTCTAGTGGTGTTTTGAGATTTCTATATACTCATCTCAGCAGGATAAACTGGATCCGTAATGCTGCTGCACTAGCTAAACGCGACTACAGCACGAGCCCAAATTTGTCATGCGCAACAGCCAAAGCTTGTTGCTTCGTCTTGCAGAGTTCCCAACTTGACTATGGAGTGCGGACGTTTTTCCTGAGAATATGCTGGAACTCGATGTCGCTCTCGTTCTGGCAGATCTGCTTCTTCCAGTAGTGCCGAATCTTATGGCGGTCTCAACCGTTACATACCCAACTGTTACATGAATTTGTCATGCAGAATGACCATGAGCCGCCAGTCGATCGAGCTGCTTCGCATGACAAATAATCGAAGGGCTAAACAGCATCTAACTCTGCGCCAAATTTGTGACGCACGACTCGCAAGCTTGCCGCTATCCCTATTGCTGCTTTTGCATCACAAATTCGTGTAACACTTGAGAGTGTAACAGTTGAGAACGCCATAAATCTCCTCCGCTCCGTGCATGCACCGACCGGGTTTCTCCTTGTACATCCCGTTTGCCGTGAAAAGCTGCACCATATTGAGAGGAAAAATCCCCCCTCCCCATATCGAAAATGAAATTTGTGTTGCTGTATTTGAGTACACAAATCACATTTGTCTTGCAGTAAAGGACTGCACGCAGCTCGTAAGCCTAAGGGCGGGCCTCTTGGTGTAGGGGCCTGGCATGGCAGACGTCTGCCCTGTAGGCCTTGCAGCATTACAAATCGTCTGCATATCGTGGCGGAGTCTCTGAGATTGCCCTCTTGCAAGACAGACAGGATTTGTGGTCACAAATCTGCATCACAAATTTTCAGAAGCATACCTTTTCGATATGGGGAGGGGGGATATTTCCTCACAATACACCAGCTGGTCGCTGTCTTGCTCGACCCACGCCTTCCCGTAGGCGGTCACAACCGCCTTCACGTAGTCCCGCGAGAAGGGTTTTTGCAGCAGTCGGGTGAAGTTCAGATTCTTGTTTTTTTCTACAACTTCCGCATCTTCAATATCGACGGCTGAAACGTTTTGACCACTTGAAAAAGGCGAAGATGTCGGTGGCTTCTTCGAGGCGCGGTTGTCTTCGATCAGCAGCTTGTGATTGGGGTTTATTTTTGTCCTACCACTACTTCGGTAGAAATGGTTGTCTTTCTCTAGTAGTACTTCGCTGTGCTCCTGCATTATATCATCTCTACTTCTATCTGCGTCGCTTGTCTTTTGCACCTTTTGGATGATCAACGGAAGAGATGCTGTTGCGTCCTCGACGAGTGTTGGAGGTGTTGCAAAAACGGGGATAGTAGTAGTGGTACTAGTAGCCCACGACAATTGCGCAGGGCAAGTGGAGGAGGAGGACATCACGACCGCGGGATCATTTCTAGGCACAGCCGCAGGCTGGACTCGCTGCTGCTCCTGTTTTTCATTCTCAAGATGAACATCCGGATCGTCTTTACATGAAAGGAACAGGACTGGCGGCCCGTCTTCTGGCGTGGTTTTTGACGCAGCACCGAGAGTGGTACGAGCTGGATCTGCAGCTGTGTCATCCTTGAATTTGACCTCGTCCTCATTTATCACTCCCGTTTCTTGCTCTTGTTGCCTCCGACTGCGTGTTGATGTCTTCCAAATCCGTTTCTCGTCCCCCCCGGCAACGTCGCGCTCTTCGTCTTTCTCTGCACCTCCGCGTCCTCTCAGCATCATGCAGGCGGCCGTCGCGTCGCGAAGTGTGGTGCGCGTTGGTATTGGTATTGCAGCGGTCTCTTGTGAATAAACAAGCGCAGGCTGTTGATGGAAACAATTACGCTGCAACGCCCCCTCTTCCTCTGGTTGGTGCGTCACGCGGCTGACGACACACAACAAATGAGAAACTCGACGATGACCTCTTCATATCGTCGTCCAACAGAAAAATTAAAATTCCAAAGAACTGGTTTATACTTTCGATCTCGTTGAACTGAATTTCTATTGGTAAAAATGCTGAACGCTCTCGGGCTTTTCTTCCCCAAAACCAGTGGCGGAAGAAGAAGAAAAGAGAAAACACCGACTGCGATCCAACCTTGAGGACGCAATCAAAATCATGATCATCTCATCTTTTGCTGGAAATAATAGCGACCTCAAAGTGGACCGAAGCGGAGACTTCTGCGAAGGAACTTCAATGCGCCTGAGGTGAGGGGTTTTAGAAAAAGAACCCAGTCAGAACCAGTGACGCGTCACAGTTAGCACCTCTTTTTTGGATCGGTGGATCGGTAATATTGCGTGGTGTTCTTGATCTATCATGCCGCACAGATCATCGCCACGCATCTTCTCGCTCCGACGCGGTAAAGAAACAACCAACGGACCACCCCGATCTGCCTACCGATCAAGGATCGATGAATCACGTGGCGCCTCTTCAAAAGAATCAGTGCAAGAGTTGTACATGCAACACCAGCAGGGGGACAAAAATACTAAAAGCGTCATCAGCCACGACGAATGTAATGAAACAAATAAAATCTACCACAAAACAACCCTCGACACAGGAACACAACTACAGGCGCACACATGTCGTTGTTCGTTCACCATCATGAGCAGCCTGACCTTGACGTAGACCGCAGCAGGCCCTTGAAATTGAGATGTGATGTCATGCAGCGTCAGAAATTGAATCTTCAGAGCTTCCTCAAGGTAAAAAGAGAGTTCCTTTTAGTAGAAGTTGTTTCCTTTTTCCCTCCAATATCAAGGCACGTGAGAACGAGAGCACCGAAGCTCACGATTCTTTAGACACTCTCCCCGAGTTGCAGGCCTCCCCCGAAACCAGCAGCCCCACCAGACGAGGACCGGACCTGTTCCCATCCACCGTCCAAGCTCCGTTCAAAGATGGCAAACTGACCGCGATCACCGAAACTGATATGAAAGTGGACAACCCCAACTATTGAGTCTTGACTTAGCTGACGTTTTAGTTTGCATGACAAGTTCCGGCAAAAACCTCAAACAGAAGTGGCGACGCCACAAGTTTTTTATTCCGGACGTCATAGGTTGGATGTCATGCAGAAGATATATTCCTGAACTTGAAAGCGAGAATGAGATAGTTGTCCAGCCGCATAACTGACGCGCAGGTCGCCGAAAACCCCGAACTCCAGACTCCAGATAGGAAGATGAGCCCGCGCCTGCGATCCTGAGTAAAAACTTACGCACCCTAGCTTTGTCATGTACTTCGGAATTTTTCTCGACGTCACTCCTGAGGAGCATTTCAACACTGCTGCGAAATTTACATCAGACAGCCCTTAGAAAGTTGTCATGCGTGACAACCAAGACCTCTCATGTCTACGTCCTTACTCAGGATAGCGTCTGGTCCTCTGGTGCAAAACCCTTTTGCTCCTGCTCCATCTTCGTTGTTTTTCCGTGTAGTAGTTCCTGATCCAATAAAGCGCCCTCGTCAGGACGAGCCGTGTCTTGGACAAAATGCCACCCCTTCTCTGCGTTGAAGGCCAGAAATCGGAGTTTTCCGCCGTACCCTCCGACGGCCACACATATGAAATGTAAAAATGTCTGGGTCTGGAAGATTGCGAGATTTGTCATGCATATTTCGGATCACGCAAATGGCGTATGATGCAGGCAAAAGCATCACAGGTTTTGAGCACGCCTCATGATGCCTGTCCCGCATGAGAAACTTCCTACTTGTGTGCCAAGAAATGGACAGCTTTTGGCGCTCATGCAACACAAATTTTTGTGTCCTCCAGAGTTTGCATCACAAGTTCTAACCATGCCAGACCCAGACATTTTTACATTTGATAACACAGTCATCCGCCCCAAACCGGTGCCACGCCACAGCGAGCAGCGTGCGATGGTGCCGACTTTGCTGGGAGTTGCTGCCTACAACTTGGGAGGGGGAGGTTTTTGCAGCTGTGCTCATGGGATCGTTCTCGTTGTCATCCACAAGTTCCTGCACATACGCCAGCTGGTGTTGCGGCTCAAACTTTATTCCTTGTATGCATTGCAAACTGACATGACATGATTCTTGGGACGTTCTGAAGATCAAAGTTGTCCTGCGAAAAAGAAAAAGACCACACGCAGTCGCATGGCATTGGCGATGGCGCCAGGTCATCATTACATCAACAAGTCTTGCAGTCTTTTTTCAGAACACTTCTACCCAGACCGATGTCTATATTGGATACCTTGTTGCAGACCGGAAACGGACGGAGCACCCGCAAAGCCGCCCGGTGCTGCTACCACGCCGGTTGGCCTGGAAGAAGAAAAGGTTTTTTTTCAATCAGCACGAGAAATGCGGTAGTACTATGTGGGTATGTTGACCGAGGCGTTTTTCTTCGCAGATGTGAGTACTATACTATCTGAATGTTCCTGATGGCAAAGGAAAAAATGCGAAGTTGTCTTACCTCCATATTCTGACCTTCCCGTCAAACCCCACGGTCGCTAGCCTCTCCAGCGGGCCAAAAAATTGCGCCATCTGTAGTTCGGCTACCAAGTGCAAATACGACTGTGTCTGGAACAAGATTTTTGCGAGATTTGTAATGCTGGACTCGCATAGTACTCCCAAACTCTGTATATGTGTGTTGCGGAATAGCAGTGATGTTTCTGTGTCATGATGAAAAAGCGCAGTTGCTCATGAGTGTTACGCACCACAAGACCGCTCAAAAATCTGTCATGCTTGGCTGCGTACTCTAGTCATTGTGTCATTCATGTATTACTTAGCATGACAAGTGTCCAGACATGTTTGCACTTAGCATGGGACCCAGACATGTTTGCACTTGATATCGGTGGTGGCGCTTGTGGTCGTCGTCCCACTTTCCTCGGGGCAAAACGCGATCCCGGAGACGGGTTGCACGTGCGCGTCGAACACCGCGAGGCGACACGCTTATGCATTGCAAATATGTCTGGGTCTGGAAAGACGCAAACTTGTCATGCAGTTGGTACATGACGCATGAGGTCTAGAATGCAGAACCTACCACCTCGCATGACAGATCCTATGAGACCTCTGGCTCTGTCATGCCTATTCTGCATGAGAAACCCCATGTCAACTTGGTCAAAAGTGGCCAGCTTTTGGTAATCCTGCAACACAGATTTTTCGCATGATCCAGATCTGGCATGACCAGTTGCCATGTTCCAGACCCAGACATATTTCTTGCATTTGATAACCCTCGGGCGATGTCGATAACCGACACCCGGCCCCAGCTGTCTCCCACAGCTACCGATTCGGAACCGGCCGCAAGCGAGGTGCAGTACAGCGAGCGAAATCGTTGGTGCAACTTGTTAGTACCACCTGCGGAAAATCTTGATGCACCACCCGCTCCCAGGGTAGTTCCGGCCACAGGATCCTGGCGACCAGGAGCGGACTCCTGCTGTGCCAGTCTCACACTCCACACGGGTCGCAGCGAAATTGTGGACGCGCAGCGGGGAGGGTAGTTCCGGTGCACAGCACTGCTAGTTCTGGTGGAAGAAAGCTCTTCGACTCCCATGCCGCGCCGCCCGATCTCCCGGCGACCGCCCGCATCATATCGCCGTAGCCTGTCCAGTACCTTTCCCAGCGACCACGCCTTTACCGCACCGCCGCCCGTCGTAACGAGCAGCGGCGCGCTGCTCTGATGTTCTTGACCAAAAAAGTCCGCCGATGCAGTTGTTCCTAACGAAGTTGCTCCCGTAGCCGCTACGGCGTCGTGCCAGCAGCACCGAACCGGATTGTCCCATGCGTTGCCCGTATGGAGGGAGTGCATAATCCATTTTACCGTTCGAGCACAAGATAAAGATTCGAACCGAAACTTGTAAATTAATGGCAAAACTACTAACCAACTTTTCGATTCATTCTTTCGTTCGTTTCACTTCTGCCTGCATGACGAGAGGCGATCGTCTTCTTCTGGAATCAATATCAAACAGCACCAGCCTCGCAGTTGTGTGTGGATTTATAACTTAAAATCGTGCAGGTGGAGAAGCATTTCGCTTGCCCGAAATGGTGTGGTGCTTTATTTCTTTTCGCAGATCATAGAAATTATATCGTAATTTATGTTATGAGGAAGAGAGAAAAAGCCGCCCGAGGTCTTGTGCACTTCTCTCCCATAATCTTCGTGTGCCTTCCATTGCACCCCTATTCCCGCTGCGGAAGAATCCCTTCCAGCGTGGTTCCGCGGCGCCAGAGTGACCGCCACTTTTCCCTCGGCATACGCGGTCGCGAGGAGGTTGCTTTCGGCAGGATGCAGGGCCAGATCCGTCACGACGCTGCCCCGCTCGGCGGAGAGCAACAAAGACGGGGGAGCAACAACGCAATCAGAAGGCATGGCGTGGTGATGTTGTTTCTTTTTCTTCGACGATTGAATTCAAAAAGAATATGGGTATGGCTACTTCTACATGTTGTGCTTATGCTGGTCAACAACTTTTTCTTAATTTACATAATATATTTTTCCGACGTGGACATTGCGGATTTTTTCTCGGCGCCACTGGTCCTATCCTTTCCGACCACGACATGGATGTTAACGGCGGCCTCGTGTTATTGCTCAAATTCTGCTCGCATCATCAATTTTTGAGATGAAGTGCATTTCTTATCATGCGGACCAAGAATTTTTTTTCTGACAGCTTCTGCCAACAAAGAGGGTCGTAAGAAGTTTTTCGTAGAACACACAGTGTGTTTCCTCCACACAAGCGAAAACACCAAACCTAGAAAACAACCGTGCCACCTGGTCTCTGGGATTTCCGCGAAAAATTGCGTTATTTCCGTCCGATACTCTTCTCTTGTTTCTGGTTGTTAATGTCGTGCGCTAGCTTCGGCCTACTTTGTTCTTCTAGTGCCTGTGGGATACACAGGAAAAGATTGACGTCCACCACAAAGTCACGTGGGCTACACGGGATTCTTTTGGTGATGGCCACCTTTCGGAACGGAAAACTTGTCGGGAAAAGATGAATTGTTAGTAGTGTAGGTTACAACAAATAAGAATTTTTGGAACCAAAATACGACTCCGTCATGATATATCACGGCACCACATCAGAAAGAAAGTTAGTTGTCGCACCGTGTCCCTTGCGTGCAAGTATTTTTAAGTTTTGGTAGTATTTCCTGCAATAACGTGACCACGATGGGTGAATTTCAAACCACACCGGAATCGTAAATGTTTATGTGTATGCAAAAGAAAATGCCTTGCGGTTGCACTCCAGGTTGGGCGTGCTCAAAAATTATTGCTGAAGAAAGGATCTTCTTCTTGTTTCCAGGCTTGCACTCTCACCCAAGCATCTTGGTTTTACTTTTAATTGCACCAGCTGCCCTGTACTTGCTCTTGCAGCTGCGTAGTTACAACTATGTATAACTTTCCCTTCATTACAGCTGCGCCCTTATGCGGAAGGCCTCGGAGCGCTTCACCTGGCGCCAGCAATCGACGCGGGCTCCCTCGATGCCCTTCAGCAGGGCGACCATATCGAGGTCCATTTTCTCCGCAAAGTGGTAGGCGTTGCGCCGCTTAAAATCGCAGACGTGCAACAAATCGTTGCCCCCGAAGTGGAGCAAGAGTCTTGTCATCAGTTCGTCGCGGTTCTTCAGGGCGTACAGCAGGCACAGTATCGCAGAGAAAAAAGCTAGCACATTTGTATATGCAAAAACAATCTGTCTTGCATAAAACCCGACTCAAGCACCCTAGTACATCGATGCCTGTGCATTTGTTTTCACATGTGATACGCTAGCTTTTTTCTGTGTGATACACATCCGAGTGCACTTCCCACCCCACTTGCTCCAGATGATCGGCTTCCCCCCCACGCGCTCGCTGCTATCCAAGAAAAAAAATGTGTCACAACTTGTCATACCAAGCCACACCAATGATAGCGCTACCCTAACCGTTCGCGCATAGCACTTTTCATATAGAGAACGATTAATATTGGTCGCTGTCGCAGAATGATTCATATTACTAGTACCGATGCATGTTGAAGACAAGACGAGTCTTCATCTCATCACGTCGTGAAGACGCTGTAAGAACAACGAGTCCACGCCACCAAGAGGAGCGACACACTAAGTACAAGTTGGATATTTTTTTCCAGCATAGCAGCAGTCCAGCACCCAGAGCAGGTCGCCGTCAATGACCCGGTTGACAAATTCCGTCTCAATCTCTCCGGCCCTGTACTCACTTAAACGCTTGAATTCCCAACCGGTGGCCGGCCGTTCCTCCGCGGCGCCGTGCTCATACTGTGACTCGTATCAATTGCAAATATGTCTGGTGCTCTGAAAGAACATTAAAATGGTTTATCGTCATGCAGCTTGCTTGTGCATGATCTAGGAGGTCTGCAGGAATGCAATAGGTACTTACTTAGCTTGTTTGTCGCTCATGCAATACAGATTTCTCTGTCGTCATCGTCCTGAGGGACGAGCTGGCATCTTCAGAATAACCTCGCAGTTTTCCAGGCCCAGACTAGTACATACTTTCAATCCCTAACTCGTCATCGTGATCGATTCCCGCGTGCATGCTGGCTAGCAGCGCCGCCCGGTGCTCGAGCGCCCGTTCAATCTGCTGCACTGGTAGACCTGTCATCGAAATGCGAGGCTTATTGCTCTCATCTTCATTCGGATTCGTTCCTCCCACATCAGAACTGTTCTCCACCACCTCGTTACTCGTTTTTTCGCTTTCACTGGTAGTCGTTTTGTTCTCCACACCAGTCTGCTGCCCAGCAGGAGGACCTGTTCCGCGTTGTACTATAGAAGTACCAGTACTGGTGCCCGGCGTGGCCCTACTGTTCGGCCCCTTGTTCGTCATCTGCTGTAGTTGCGAAGACGTCACTGTGGGAGCAGCTGCACTGGTGTTCTTCCGCATTGATGTGGAAGTTCTACCTGAATAAACAGCACCGCCGCGCTCATTGCCACTGCTCGACGCGGCGGATGAGCTGGCGCCCTTGTCGGTGGACAGCACGGATTGGGTGGAGACGGATTCGGCATCGGAGCCGTTCGTGTGCTTGTTCGTCCCAAGCTTTCTCGACTCCTCTTTGTCGGCCAGTCGCTCCGCCAGCCGCTCTATCAAATGCAAATATGTCTGGGTCTGGCAGATCGCCGTGTTTGTCATGCATATTTTGCGTGACCCATGAGGTCTGTAATGCAGGCCCTGGCATCACAGATTTCTAGAGGGCTTCCTGATGCCTATTCCGCAGGAGAAATGCCGTCCCTGCGTAGCACAAACTGGACGCCTCTCGCTGGTCATGCAATACAGATTTTTTTGGAATCCAAAAACAGCATCACAAGTTGCAACCTTCCAGACCCAGACATTTTTGCTTTTGATACGCTCGGCGTCGGCAAGCGTCGCCACGGCGTACGAACTCAGGAAGGTGGTGGACGCCATTTTTTGATGCTGCTTGTTCTATAGGTGAGAGAAGATGAGTACGCGCAGGGTTGCTGCTGCACTCGTAGAAGGAGGAGCTATAGGTGGTGAATGAAACAGACGTGTAGGTCGTGGGTTGACTGTTGTTGAGGGAAAATAAAGTTTACGGTTAAGCGTAGTTAGTGGGATCGAATCTGATGTGAAGTAAGTAGGCTGCTTTGTCAACCAGAAGAACGATGATGAACGACCAATAGGGGTGACGAGGGGGAACAAGAACGAAAACGAACGACAACAGATGGACGACGACGGAACGCATTTCGACGGAACTAGTAAAACAGAAAGCGAGGGTGAACGACACGAGCAAAGATGAGCCTTATGATTTTGAAGTAGATTCGCGAGACTTTTTGAAGCAAGGCAGGATAGCGCTCATAGCGCGAATCCGTCAATCAGCCATGTGCGTTCTTCTAAAAAACGCGTTCTTTTAAAAAACGCACGCGGAGGTCAATCAGCCACGCGTGCTCTTTTTAATTCAGAGCGTACTCAGTGGCATAGTTCTCGCCCTGAGATTTGTCGAGAAGCTCGGGGCTGTGCGCACATTGTTATTAGTTTTCTCTTCTGTGTCCGAGGGCAGACTCCCGCTATGTATCTGACTAAGCAAGAGTGTTTCAAAAGATTCCCAAGCAAAGTGCTCTAACCAAGCAAGAGTGTTCCAAAAAAAAAATCAATCATTCTACTATGCACGGCCTTATACTATAACACGAAAGAAAACTTGCGAAATCTCTCATGCTAACAACGCGAATCCGTGTGAGAGCCCGACATAACAATCAAACGCTTCAGCTTATCCTAGTGCGCTAATTCTCGTGTTAAGATTTTCCGAGAACCTCGTAGCTGTGCGTGCATTGTTCTCAATTTCTTTCCTGTGTCCGGGGGCTGGCTCCCTTTATCTGACCAAAAACGTTCCACCAGATTCCCGCTGGAACCAGACACCCCCTCTACTTTCACCTCTTCCTTGCCCGAATTTCCGCAGAAGAACGTCTCAACGACCTGGAAAACTGTCTGCGGATCTTCTTGGAGCCAGACCCAATAAGCTGTTGTATATACATTCACCCTATCAGTGAAGCTTCTGACATACTTACTGCGAGGCTACTCACGAGCATAATCAGGGGCCAGATGTTCGTGGCTCGTGTTTTAGTGTTGTCATTCTTGGCGTAGGACGTCATCACCTTACTAGGTCCTTGCTCGCTCTCATCATCATCATCATCATCATCATCATCATCATCATCATCATCATCATCATGAATTGCTAATTTTATATATACCGCACTTTATTCCAGAAAGCGGTCACGAACCGGTCTTTGAGGACGCCAGTTGGGTAAGTCAAGTCGTCCGGATCCTGCAGATTGTCAGGATCCTGCAGAGCGCCTTCGATTTCTGTCCACGCTGCCTTGACGATTGCGATGTAATCTTTGCCATTGGCAATCGTAATCTCTCTCATTTCTTCCGGAGCGTTTGCAACCTGATTGAATGCTGTGTCCAACCTATTTAGTGCCTTTTCCAGCAACTTTTTGCTCTCCGGGGAAAAGCGATCGCTTGCCAATTCAGCCCCGATGATGTCATACATCTCAATCCACTCCAGCTCCTCTTGCGACGGCGGGTCAACTGTTTCAGAATCTTGTCCAGCAGCTTCTTCAAGAAACGCGTACTTGTCGCCATCGACGTCGGTTGCCATGCTGTGAGAAGCGCCCCCAAGGGTCTCCCGACTTCCACGGCGGTTGCCACTCTTGGATTTGCGCGCCTGCTGCACGACTCCCGCAACCCGTGATCCGCATGTAGCGACGCGCAGCGCGAGAAAGGCCTTCGCCAAGAGAGACAAGCGATACATTTTTGAATATGATTTAAGGATCCTGGTGCAGCAAGAGTCGCTTAGTCGTCGATGCGGTAGTCTTGTCTTAAGTGTAGTAATCAGGTTCAGGGCGGGGGCTTGATTTATAGCAATGTGTTTGTCGGTCCTCTTCGACTTCTTTGATTCAAAGTTTCAAGGGGCTAGTGTGCTCTTGATGGTTTTTAGCCGGTACTTTTTGCGTACGCAGGGTTACTGCTTCAGTAGATACTGTTGACACAGATGATAATGAATTCTTGTAAAGATACAGAAATAACTTCTGTTGAGCGGAGATAATTTCTAGGGTTATACATACTGATACTTTACCAGTACTGGATGAATCTACGCTGTGTGGTCAAGAACCAGGAGAACGAAGACGACCGACCAGATGAACGAACACGAAGACGACCGACAACCTATCTTCCTCGCATTAACATGGACGACGACCGAATGCATAATTTGTACTTACTTTTTAAAACAGATAGCAAGGGTCGTGTACGACAAAAGCAACGACGAGTCAGATTTTGAAGAAGACTCACGAAAATTTTATGTGAAGCAAGGCAGCATAGAAGTACGCCTAGAAGTACAACGAGAAGAAAAGGTGGACCTGGAGTATCCTATCCATCGGAACCAGCGGAGGGCGCCCCGCACTAAATTGTGCCCACACGAACGGCAAAGCTAGTTGTACACCTCCAGAGAGATGATTTACAGAAGGTTTTCCCAATTTTAGTGGCCTGCGCTGTCGTTTGAAACTCCAGAAAATTTCATTCTGCTTCCTTATATCGTTTTAGTCATTCGAAGAACGCTCTCTATTGAAGTGAACTGAACAATAATTTTGCTGCTGCTTCGACTTCGACACCTTCGGTCCTACAACTTCACTGGCGTCCCCGTCACTAATGCCATCACCTGCTGCCGAAGCACGTCAATCTGCGCCGATTGCGTAGTCACCTGCAGGGTCAGATCGGTGATGGCCTGCTGCATCTCCAAAATGTCAATGCCGTACTCCGCTTTCAGCTCGTTTAGCTTCCCCTGTTATGCATTGCAAATATGTCTGGGTCTGGAAGAGTGTAACTTGTCATGCCACATCTGGATCGTGGAAAAATTTGTGTTGCGGAATTACTAAAAGAGGTCCACTTTTGAACAAGTTTAGAGGCAGTTTCTCATGCAGGAACGGCATGATAGAGATCTCGCAGAACCTGTCATGCTAGGCCGTGCATGGCACACCGTGTGGGTCATGGAAAACCCACATGACAAACCTACCAGTCTTCCAGATCCAGACATTTTTGCATTTGATACCTGTCGCCGCTTCTGGTCCTCTAACTTCTGTACGGCCTCGCGCCGGCGCTGCTCGAACTCCTGGTGGTTGGGTTTCAGCGACCCGCTACCCCCGCTGTTCGCAGCTGCTTTTGGGTCCAACCCGGCCTGGGCTATCCATTGAAAAACATTATTGTGCGACTATTGTAGGTGGTCGTAAGTTCTCTGGACCTTGACCTAGCACCGGCATCACAATTTTATGTTTGTTCTACCTGGCCACAACAATAACTCGTCAATGTCGAGAGCGGCTAGACGTCTGCGTGAATAGAACCACGTGCGAACATGGCCTCTGCTGGCGTATGATATCCGGCCGAATCATGTCATGTCTGCAACAGTTACAGTACTCCTACTCTTGCATCACATTAGTTGCAGTTTTTCTCCTGGATAGTGGCCTCGATCAAATCATTGATTCCAGTGGTCATTACCGCGCACTTCTCCAGAATCTTAAACCTCGGGTACCGTGTATGCACTGCAAAAACATCGCACCCACTGCCCTTACACTCTGAATGGCAATTTCCATTTTTTTCGAGAAAAAGCAAACATGAGAAGGTTCTTATTTGTCTTACGACTTATTATGCAGCAGGTTGTACAGTACTTTGCCGAGTGTGGAGGAGGTGCTTAAGTTTATCTTCATTTGCACTTGGTAGCGGAGATCTTCTAGCAAACTCACAACTTCCGCCTCGTCCCGCGCACCGCCCTCGGTGGGGTAGAAGAGATCGAAATAGTGCTTCTTCTTCATCCGAATGGGACTGCCGTCCCGCCGCTTGTTTTTGTGGTCGAAGTCCGAGGTCCAAAAGTGGAACAGAATCGCTTTTTCCACCGATGGACCGTGCCAACCCTCGGCACACAAGTAGCTCTGCTCGACGTCCAGAAGACCGTACCTAAATTTTATTTGCATTAATATGTACATCTACATTACATTAACATGGCTACATCCATTCAAAAGTGCGATAGTACGGTCAATTTCTTTCTACACGACAAAACAAGCTAAAATATCGAGCAGCACGATCATGTCATCTAGGAAGGCTCCTGCAACATCTTCACTATGTATCGATCTGTAAATAAGTAAGTACGTTATGGCCGGAAGTTTTGCTGGCACGTAGCTGTCGGCGCAGGAGTGCCTCAGAAAGGCGTCAAACCCGTTCTGATTATCGGCAAACACGTGCTCGTACTGCCAGCGCAGGAATTCCAGAAAAAATTCCAGCGTTTTGGCATTGCTGCGGACGAAAAAGACGCCAGAGTTGAGGCACAGAGCGTCGTAGTGCTCGGTGACATAGATATCCGGGAGCAGCTCGGACGACGAGGGTCCTTTTTCCTGCACTGCTTGCGAGGCCCACGAGGACCAGGTACTAGTCACTCCTCCGGTGGCGTCCGTGGCCGGATCCCTGAGGGGCACGTACTGCGGTGCGGACCGAATTTCGCGGTAAATCTTCTTCACATTGGCCCGCGAATACTGCTTCTCCAGATCGGGGCTGCGGGGCCGCACCTCCACCGGTTTGTCCAGGTCCTCTATGGAAGGAGCGTCTTCAGGTTGGATACTCGCCGCAAAAGGGAATAAATAGTCTGCGATCTGCATCAAACGCGACGAAAGAAGTGCGTGTAAGTATTGCGGCAGTAGAGAGAGCAAGGGAGGCGGAGGATTCTTGTAAGTAGTCCTGATTAAGTAGTTGTACTGAGGTCAAGAGAAGGGCAGCAGCAGGAACTGAACAGGAGGTGATGACTTGCATGACATGAGGACACTTCTTTGCCCTAAGCGGCATTATTGGCAGATCCGCTTTATGGCGTCAGGAAAATTTGTCACGTTGCGCCGACTAGAAACCCTGGGTCGAGCATGACAGATTATTTCACTTCTGACGATTTCCAACCTGGGTTCATCTCGTGATATCTTCCACCGAATCGGTATCAAACCCGATCGGCTCGTCCGGGTGATGCGACGTCTCGGGCACGTTTGCAAAGGTCAGTGGTAGGTTCCTCCGCTTTTTCTTTTCGAAGTCCAGCACGCCCTTGAGCTCCGGATCGGGCACCAGGGTTTTGATGTGCTTCACGGGGTCTTGAAACAGGTAGATATCGAAGTCTAGCCAAAGGACATCCAGATTATGCACTGGAAATATTTCATCTGAGTCTGGAAACAAGTCGTAAAATGCTAGTCTGTGACGAATTGTGGGCGGCGCCATGTAAGGCGCAACGAAGGAGCGCAGCAATGTTTTGTCGTTGACGAGCTGCTATGTATGTGTTCTTGCGAATCAGAATTCCGCAAGTCAGACGGCGTTTGTGCATGACAGGCAAGAATATCTTTTTGCGCCCACGACGGCAAATCACCGAGCTCAAAGTCACTGCAGGCAAGCATGGCCAGAAACCTTGCAATGTTGACTCTTCCCGACCCAGACATATTTGCAAAAATGCGTACAGATTCATGCTGAGCAAAACCGGTATCCACCGATGCTTGTTGTAAATCACGTGCCCTTGTTGCGAGTCCAGACAAAGAAAAGTGGCATACGGGTCTTCGGCAGTTGTCGCGCCGGACGCGGAGGAGAATCTGAAGGAGTTACTTTGATGTGTTTGTTGGAATTTTGTTTTTGAAGCATATGCATCATGACGCAACATCATACAATAAAAAAAAACTTCAAAATTCGTTGTGTACATCATCAAGAACTTTATGCAGTTTATTCTCCTCGCCACTTGCATCTTCGTGCAGGAGGCTCGCTTGCCAACGAGGGAGAGCTGACGAATCACAAAAACCAAGAGTGGAATCGGAAAAAAAAAGCAAGCAGTGGTATAGTACCTCCTCTTTTCCGCCTGACAGGCCGCCAACCCGTCTTCGTCCAGACAGGCTAGAATCAGCCCCTTCAACTTCAACTCCAAAAAAAACCGGCGCACGATATTGCGTTGTCAAACGTTACACCCTCAACTGTTGCGTGGTTTTGTCATGCAAAATTGCCACCAGCCTCCACACGATCAAGGTGCTTCGCATGACAAACTGTCGAAGGCGGGCCAAGCAGCATGACAATCCGTTCCAAATTTGTGATGGAAACTGGCGCACACTTCCCACTTTTCTTTCATTTTTGCTGTTCTTGCATCACAGATTCGTGTACTTAACAGTTGAGAATGTAACGTTTGAGAGCGCCATACACGAAGCCGCTCACGTACGGCTGCATCATTTTCCCGCCCACCGCGGACAGGTAAACGTAGGGGTTAGAAGTACTAAAATCAGTACTTTGACTTTCCATTTTTCCCGGTCCCGGAACATCAAACAAGGGCAGCAGCGCCTCCTTGACCCACTTGTACAAATCGTAGTTCTGTGGCAGGGCAGGCAACAGCCGATTCTCGGGCGTTTTCGCGTCTGCACCGGTCGAGAATTTGCGGCCCGGGTTGGTCATGTATTGAGAGGAAAAATCCCCCCTCCCCATATTGAAACGGAAACTCCTGTTGCTGGATTTGTGTACACAAACCTGTCTTGCAGTGAGGCACTACAGGCAAAGCCTCAGTCTGCGTAGGGGTGTTTTGTTGTAGGCGCTTAGCATAGCAGAGGCCTGCCATGTAGCAGGTGAAACGGCCTTACAAATCGCCTCCATAAGGCGGCAGATTCTTTGGAGTTGCCTTCTTGCAAGAGAGACAGGATTTGTGGTCACAAATCAGCATCACAAATTTTTAGAAACATACCTTTTCAATATGGAGAGGGGGGATTTTTCTTCGCAATATCACGTCCACAAACTTCACGCGGGCGTCCAATAACGCACTCAAGTCCCGCTGCTTCCCGAGTGTGTCAAACTCGGCGCCCGACCGCAGGACGGGAATTTTGGTCACATCTGTGATTGTAGTTGCATCAGGCTCAATAGGAAATAAACCTCCCGGACTGACAACCCAACTGTGAGTGCAGTTTTCCGCACTAGAAACGCGGAATTGCAGCGCCGATGTTCTTGTTCCACCCGTGTTAGTACCGGCTAAGGGCGGCAGCGTGAAAGACGAAAAAATGGGCGTTTTCTCCAGGACCAGTTCCTCGAAGTGGAAGCCCAGGTCGAAGGACCGCAGCCGGAACGTTCCCTATCCTGATTAAAAACGTCCCCACACCATAGTCAAAATGCGAAATCTGCTAGACAAATCAACCAGCTTTGGTTGTTTGGCATGACAAATTTGTCCTCGTAGTGTAATCCTGTTTAGCTAGTGCAGAAGCATCACAGATCTAGCATAGCGTGCTGATTCTAGCATTACAAATACCAAAACACGACTAGAAAATGCTTCTCATTATAGGGCTCCGCATGAGAAACTTTTTTGGCTTTTCCTTTTGGCATGCAGAATTGCATGACAACTGTGGTGTGGGGACGTTTTTACACGGGATATTCCCAAGGCGTGCATCATGCAGAAGACCTTCCAGTCTTGGGTCTCCTTCTGGATCAGAACCTTCGCATCCACTTGAAAAACTCTGAGATTACCGTAGACCATGACGGGCACGAATGATCTATCATGATGCTGGCATTCGTTTTATTTCACATTGCATGCCAAACAAGCTTTTCGCTCTTCCCCGTCACGAGCAGTTGCAGTTGCAGTCAACACATTCTGCATGACAAGTCTCAATCATGTTTCGGGCTCTTTGTGAAGATGCATTTTGCCCGTCGTGTGGTTGCACGGTAGATTTGTTTTCTTGCGTATCCCATCTGCACGTCGAACAACATCTGAACGATCCGCTCGAATTTTTCGAATAGCACCGGCGAAGCCATCAGGGCAAGAATGCAGTATCCTATGGAAAAACGTCCCCGCCGCCCAGCGTTTCTCATTGCAAATTTGCATGCCCAATCCAACTATGCGGAGCATCCTCTAAATAATGGTAAAATATGTTTTGGAACTCGATGTCAAGCGCATGGGCATGCTATCACGATCACGAAGATAAGGCGCTCGATTTCTGACGAGGCTACACTAGCTGAACGCGACTACTTGCACTGCGAGCAGCCCAAGCTCGTCATCATGATGCATCACGGCCAATATTGAAACTGGTTGACTTGTGCACTAACTAGCAAGGTAGTAGTCCCCATGATAGTCACTTTCCGCTCGTGGGGGCGTTTCAAGTACTGTGGATATGCAGCTCACGGTCGCGATGCTGAGGGCGCCGGAGGGGCAGGATGTGAGGAAAACGGTGCCGAACTCCCGGGGGTCCTTCATGATGCCGTAGATCATGGGATCTAGCTCCTTCAGAAACTATCGCAAGAAAAAACTGTTTCACTGTAAACCCGTAATGCAGAAAATGCATCATTGAAGTGTTTGTCTTGCTCCACATGCAAGACAAGTGATTTTTAGCGGTGTTTTCCCTTAGGATCCTCGCATGGCAAGTTTTCGTTGTAATGTGTAGTGAACTTGTAATGTAAAACTTGCAAAATCTTTACAGTGAAGCAGTTTTTTCTTACGATAGAAACTTGGCCGCTTGCAGTCCCTTGTTCTCAGCGTAAGACGTGAAGGAATTGATCGCGTCCATCCTGAGCAAAACCGTCGCTCCCCACCCCAGAGTCACAAGTTGGGATCTTAGCGACACAAATCAAGAAGTTTCGGGAGTTGTCACGCTTGTTGACAAGCTCCTCTTTGTTTTATGGTGCAGTTTAGCAAGCACCGCCGCATCACAGAGCCGTCTCCTTATCCTGTTTACAACACTACAAATGTTCCATTCCATTCCTGCAACAGCAAACTTGCATGACAACTCTGGGAGTGGGATGGAGACGTTTTTGCTCCTGATAGTGTCGAGGATAAACTGGCTCGGATACCCAGACACGCTGAGCTCGCCGCACTGCTGCGGGCCGTTGTTCTCGTCCAACGCCTGCAGGGCCTGGTCAAAGTTATCAAATGTAAAAATGTCTGGGACTGGAAGATTGCCAGGTTTGTCATGCACATTTTGCATGACTCCTGATGTCTGTGATGCATGCCCTAGCATCACAGATTTTGTGAGGGCTTCCTGATGCCTATACCGCAGGACAAATGCTCTTTCCGTGTAGCAAAACTTGGACTCTCTTTGCTGCTCATGCAATACAGATTTTTTTAGGATCCAAAATCAGCATGACAAGTTGAATCCTTCCAGACCCAGACATTTTTACAGTTGATAAAAGTTCAGGTGGCACAAAATCTTGAACAGGGGCCACTCGGTCGTGATCAAGACACGGAAATTCACCAAACGGAGCAGCTCCACCACGTCGCGGCCGACTAGCTCCAGGATAAGGGTATGAGAGTGCACAACTGCAACTTCTCGCCTAAGTTTGTGAAACATGATGAACAGCAACACAAGCGTCGGCAAGAAGAATGCTAGATATTTAAATTTATGCAAGTTTCGCATGACAAATTTGCGCAGGAGTGTAGTGCTACTTGGGAAGATGTTGCAACGAGTACGAGAACCTGTCATGCATGATAGTGACAGGAGGGAAGCTGTGGAGATGGAGTTGGTGTTTTGCATGAGAAATGAGAACGAAGGGGAGTGGTTGTCGTGCACTTTCGTAGGGGGTCTGCAGGAAGTACAGGGGAAATTCTTCCACCAGATTCGCCTCGACCGGCTGCCCATCCTGAGTAAAAACGTCCCCACCCCAGGTTTGTCACGCTACTCGCCTTGACTGGAATGTGTCTCAACAGGCGCAGCCACAACATGCGAAGTGCTTTCTCATGCTACTATTCGGGAGTTTGCCATGCTAGCCGCAGGATCTTCATGGAGCGGTCGATGTGTGGCACAGCTAGACCTAGAGCTACCCGCCTAGCTAAACAAGATTTTTACACAACTGCGACCCCAATGTAGGTAGCTTTCATGCGCGACAGCCGAACCTTGTTGGTTTGTGTAGGCACGTTTTTCCACAGGATATCACCGATTCTGCTGCCAGGCGGCGGCCAGCGTCGAGGACGCGATGGTGCCCAGCGGACACTCCTGCAGCGCCAGGGAGAAGTTTTTCAGCACGAAAATCCAGTTTTTCTGGAAGTCCGACGGCAGGCGCAACAAGCGCAGGTCGTGCACGTCCTTGATGGCATCGAAGATTTGCCGTCGGTAGAGCTCCCAGTCGATCAGCTTGTTTTTGCTCCAGCAGTCTGGATCGCTCGTTTCGAAGTACGTCAGCCACGGCTGCAGTTCCTGCTCTGGTTCGGATGGATAACTCGCTCCTACGGGCAGCACGGTGGACGAGGACCACGGCGAGAGCGAGGACATGAGCAACATCTTGCTTGTGGTCCCTGTCAGCACCTCCACGCTTCTGGCCACAGCAGCTCCGCCTGTTGCAAAAATGTGGAACAAGAACAACGACCTTCTGCTTGTTATCAGTCTTTTCGCCCCGGTGGAAAAAGAAACTTTCCCACCCGGTCGCCGTGAAGAGGCAGTCGTGGCAGATGACGTTTTCCTCGACGGTTGCAGTTCTTGCGCGTGCTGTAGAAGTGCCCCTACGTGAAGATCATGTGGTCCTCTTGTTCCTACACATGTTGTGGCTCTTGTAGAACTTCCCCCGGGGGAACGAACTTTTCCACCGCTTCTGGCGCTCTTGATCACAGCTGCTGCTGGACGGCGAGTCTTTTTACCACACGAAGAAGATGCTGTTGCAGTGGCACCGACATCCAAACAAGGCCCCGTGGTTGTACTAGTAGTACTGCTTCGGGAGTAGAACAGCCCATTGGAGCAGGTTCCGACGTCCATCTGCTGCGCATCTGCATCCTGCTCCAGATCCGGTGGATATGGGCAGGACCTTCTTGTCGCACACAGCACGGTGGGTGCGCTGTCACCTCGGGCTGTTACATGCGCACCACTTCTCGGACGCAAAGCGACGTTAGTGAGAATCATGCTATGCTCCAAGACAAAGGAGTCACCGGACGAGCGAAAGGACCTCTTGCTGCCAGCGCAAGACGCCTTCTGCAGTTGAAGCTGCAGCTCCATACTGTACTATCGTTGTACCGAGCACCGTTTATGATTTTTCACGAAACAAAACTAACCTTAATGTTGATGAAGTTGCCCAGAACTAACAGCAAGTAGAATCAGAATGTCGACGGGAACAAGCGTCAAAAAAAGAAACGTAGCGCAGCACTTTGTTGAAAGAACGAGTCAGTGAGCTTAGACGAAGTTGTTGTGATCATGATGTGCTAGGATTTCTAGTACCATTCCCGAATGGGTCGTGGACAAGCAACAAGGATCGGCAAAAAAAAACTTTGTGCGAATGAGTGGAACGAATCGGCGTTGTGATCGACGATCTTGATGCTGGCGCTACAACTACAGTAGATGTAGAACAGAAAGCAGTACGACTTCAACTACGGTGCAAGGTTGTAACAAAATTGCCATACAAAGCATCATCCTCGTGATCGGCTGACTCATAGTCTTGACGGAGCGATAAAAAAACATTCGAGACAGATCGGGAAGATCTTGTGAGCAAAATCCAAATGAGCTGAACTTCGCACTACTTCTTTCAAGATAAAGCAGCGAGCAGAGGACATTTTTCGAAAGCGGACCGAGGCAGCGAAGGCTCCTTTCTTCGGGATTCCTCTCCGAGAACAACTATCACTTACACCGCAGGCAGAGCAAGACCAAGATCTCTTTATCTTTCTTGATGCCAAACACATAGCCCTGTAATGGACACTTCTTCACATGGCACAAGTATTGTTTCATCCAAATTTCAGCCGAAGACACTTCCTACGCATCAGCAACATTGATTCGCTGGTCCTTGTGAAGATTCAGTCAGATTTATTTTCCGGCGGCATGCGACGCATGTGGTCTTCGCAGATGTAGAACCGCCGGTTCTTCCCAAGTCATTGGCTTCCGAATTTCATCTCTTAAAGGACGCAAAGCGGTCGGTACACGATGAAGGACCACGACGTGCTGTTATCTACTAACTACCTTGCCAACTATGACATCTTCAAGCACTCCCCTCATTCTCCTTCTCGATGCCTAAACGATGTCCGGCGCCGCTAAAAGGCAAGAAAGTAGTACTGCGAGTTGGCGGCATGGCACCATCCGGGGACGCCGAGCTGCTGATGTTTCCAGAAGGCGCGGAAGGGCTCGCTGTTCCCGTACTATCCGTATTAAATACCCCTGGATTCATGCCACTCGCCATCTCTACCTCCTGGTGGAAAATTTGCGGCGCGAACGGATCTGCAGCATAGTTGCCAGATACTTCACCCTGATACCGAAACCCGTCTTGGTGGTCCCCATCCAGTCCCTGCAGGAGCAGTGCGCGGGACCGAGACCGCGCTAAAAAACCAATCACGCAGTACTGCAAGATAGCGCACAGCAGGATCACGTCCCCACCGAATCCGTGTAACGAGTAGACGCAAGTAGTACTTGAGTTCTGTACTTCTTCTATTTGTCCCGATGGAGCAGTAGAAGAAGATGTGCCGGAGACTAGGACTACCTCCGAATCACTGGAGGTGCCAGGCGGCTGCGGTAGTATCGTCGCCGTGAAGGTCCTCGTTCCGTCTGTAGCCACTGCTCCCTGTCCACCTTCCGGTGAACTGGCGGACGAAAGATCATGAGCTACTAAAGGCAGAGTACTAGAGCCGTCTCCACGACCTCGCCCGTCGTTGATTGAACTTGCGGCATGGCGTTCTCAACTGTTACACTCTCAGCTGTTACATGGATTTGTGAAGATGCAAGAATGGCAAAAGTGAAAGGGGTGACCTTGGCCTTGCGCATCTTGCATGACAGACTTGGCGCAGACTTTTAGCCTGTTTGGCTCTTCGAGAATTTATCACGCGAAGCAGCTTGATCGCGTCGATTCTGGTTGTAATTTTGCATGACAGATCACGTAACAGTTAAGAATGTAACATTTGAGAACGCCATATGCGGACGAAGGGCGTTGGTGTCGCTGCACCTGCTTGTCCGCCGACATCAGAGGACCAGCGGGGGCAGCACTCTTGGTCGTGTAGTAGTCTGGCACGAGATTCTTAATTGTTTTTCTGCCCAGATCAACATGGCCTTCGCCAGCCCCAGCGGCTACTGGCGGTACAACTGCGACGTCCGCAGCTCCGGGGGAAGAACCCCCTGGAGGAGATGAGCCGGAGGCTGCTGCGTGCGAAAGCGAAGCTGCACTCTTGCTGCGAAGAGGTTCTTGTGGATCGTTCGCATCTACCTCCCCAACTATGTTGGTACTTGCACCAGTAGGAGCAGTCCCTGCACGGAACGGGAACGGCCCCGGTCCGGTTGATGCTGCACCACTAAATAAGGCTGCGCCCGAGGGAGGTTCTCCTCCTTTTCTAGTAGCCAGTACGGTTGATGTACTACAGTCTGGTTTCAGAAACTGTTCCCAAGACCGTTGATGCGGCTCGGGACCAAAACGAACGAGCAGCGCGACCGCGTGGAAAAGGACCGCGAAAAACGCCATCACCTGCAACAGCCTCACGCACAGAGGGTTGCGCGTCTCGGGGCTCGCTATTGAATGCAAGAACTATGTCCTCCGGGTCAGAAATTTTTCAGGAAGTAGCGGTATTGAGACACCTCCTCAAAACTACGACCTGTGATGGTGCTGCTACTTTTCCTTGTTCATCGTAATGCTATGCAGTAGAAACTACAGCATGACCACAACGTCCGCACTTTATAATTTCCAGACCAAGACATAGGTGAGATGCACATGCATACTCGCGAAGAAGGTGCAATAGCCCGTGAGAAACGTAATGGAATCGACGAAGAGCAGCTGCGGAACGCCACAGACCAGCTTCAGCAAAGCCACAATCGGAATGGCCCCGACGAAACACTCGAGGATTGTCGTACAGAGACAAGCACAAGACTGGACCACCGCGGCGCCGAAGAAACTACGGGCGAAACCGTCCCACTTGTCTTGCCAGAAGGTTTTTATGCAAGGAAGAAGCGGCTTTGAGCCCTCCCCAACACCAGTAGATCATGTCAGTTTCTTTGGCAGCGAACAAGCAAAAACAATCATGCACTAGCTCCTACAAAAATGCAACAAGATCTGCCACGCAGCATGGTCAAGCGGGGTGACGTCAAACAAACGTCTCATGAATGAATGTTGTCCACCAAATTCTTGCAAATGCAAGAATAAGTACTAAACAGTCGTGCACTAGTACAACTTGCACCTTTATTGAACTCTGCGTCGTCCACCTCTACGGATCATGTTGAACAAGACAAATCTACCATGGGCTGTCGAGGAACACAAACTACTTCTCGAAGTTTTTCGCTTCTATTGCATAAAAGTGCAAGCACCACTCCCATTTCCGCAGCCCAGAACGTCGTAACACGCGCTGCACAAGAAGGAGAAGAACCCAGCAGAGGAGTTGGAATAATTAGAAGTACTAGTACCAGCGTCCGCGGCAACGTGGTCAGTGCCGGGAAGATGAGCGGTTGCGCCCGGATGATCTTCTCGCAAATGTTGATCTGGTTGTTCAACTCGATCCCGAACATGCTGTGGTTCTTCTTCTTCGGACTGCTCCTCGTGGTCACCATAGCGATCATTTACAACTTCCTCTTCTCGGGGTCCCACAACTTGTTCCCCTTGACGCCTGCTTCTGTCGTGTTCGACGTTGCGAGCAGCTGGATGTGGCACCACGTCGGGGCAGCTGTGCTCGTATGTAAAGGTCTCGTCATCTTCTGCAGCCATTGTGTCAGTGTCGACGTGTACAATTACGAGTTCACAGGAAAAGTAGCAGCTGATACCAGTACTACTCAGCGAACAGCCAATGTAAATTTAAAAGTGCACATAAAGAATAGTGCACAACATTGTAAGTATCGAAGATGATTCGGATCAAATTTTCTGTGCTGCGATGACATTGTCCTTTGGTCGTTGTGACACCAAAGAACGTCGTAAGAAATTCACGATCACCTCAATAGAACCGCCAACGATAACAAGTAGCAGTTCTCATTTTCAGGCCCTTCCTTGACAGGAGAGACCGTGTCAGTGAAGAAGATGGACGAAGACGATGCAACACGAAAGAATCGAAGAACTTCTTATCTCCGATCATGATACGGAGATTTTAGACTACTATGTATCCTAGAGCTTATCTCCGATAGGATAGTACTAAGTAGACGAGAGAAAGCCACGATTTCCGAAGAATGAGCAGGCCTGACGATCACGCTACCAGAGACCAGTCGACAATTTTCTCAGATCACATCCCACAACCAAACAGGTGCAAAATTGACCTTGCCTTTGCTTTTCTACCAACTTTATTTCCCGATGAACAACTTGCGAGTTGCAGCAAGAGGCCATCTCGGAATCTATCCGTCTAGAAGTACCTCCTTTCACAAAGTAAAGTAAAATCTTCACAACAATATCCTAGGCCTGTCAATTTCCGTGCTTGCGTTTGCGGCGGGCAAATGACATCAAATTGAAATCTGGTAATTCGGCGAAATTTTGCACCGCATAGTGAAGCGGCAGAGGAGTCGACACGCCCGTCAATAAGAAGTATATCACCGTGGCCAATGCCACGCTTCTTCGTTTTTTCTCTACCGCTCACGCAGCATGAGTAGAAAATAAAAAAGTTTTCAGTAAAAAAATGGTAATATTTTTCGTGATTTCTGTTGCAGCCAAGGATTGCTCATAGTTCGTCGTCAACAGAGTGGTCCATAAGACTTCGCCCAAGTCTGACCACATCAACGTTGTCGAATATTTCTTTTTCTAGGAGCTTGCAGTTCCTGTCCTCGGTAACGGTATTAACGTCATTATAGAAGTTATCCCACAAAAAAACTGCTTCACTGTGACAATTTTGCAAGATCTGCATCACAAGTTTGTTACACATGACTCTGAAAACTTGCTCTGCGCGCTTCCCAAGGGAAAGCACGCCTGAAAATCCAATGCCTTGCTGCGGGTGTAGCAAGACAAATAGTTCTGTGTTGCTGCATCACAAGTTCACAGTGAAACAGTTTTTTCTTGCGATAGAAGTGTTGTAAATTGCTACTTAATTTCTTCGAAGAGGTGGGTCTGGGTCTGCCACTTGTTTCTACCTGCTAGGTGAAGCTGCTAAATTCTGTGAATAAATCGAAATCTTCCGTAGTAAAACAGGGCGCCAAAAACTTGAATTTGAAATAGCTGTACTTATTTTGCGATGAACGGAGGTAGATTAATATTATACTGAGGTTAATCAGTACAACTGGAGTCCCTTAATAGTTTGTTCTTGAAAATCGTAGTTGTGTCAAAACCGCTGAACTGTTCTTCATCCCAAAAAAGGTGAGAAGCTAACGTGCTCGAAGAAGAAACAGGAATATGCTGTTTCGGTTTCTTAATCTCTCCCCTTGCCAGCGATCCGTTCTTATACATACTATGATGGAGTGCGACTATGAACGGGGGCGGAGTTCTTGTCCACTATCATAGAGACGAAGTGCGACGTGAAAGTGCTCCAGCTGAATCGTCTATCCCAAGGAGAACTGAACTGTCCCTGGCTCAAAAAAATCTGTGCAGCCGACTCTGCGCTCCTCATGACAGACAAAAACTGGGATGCGCCAGACGCAAGAGAAAAGGAGATAAACACGTGTGAAAGTAGGAGCAGAGCGCCAGCGCGCGCACACCTGCTATTGCAGCGTCAAGCGGTTTCCGCATTACAAGTTGAGACGGAGACAGTTTCTTCTCGCGATATCATCCTACTCGTCGTCATCGTCGTCGCCACCCTTCTTTTTTCCCCTATCCTGTGCAAAAACGCATCTGCTATCCCATCGTCAGGTTACTAAATTCTAAATGCAAACTGCTATACAAATCAAAAGCGCTTGGCTACTGCGCATGACAAGCACAAGTTCTTCGGGTACCTACAGCAAAGGCGTGGTTAGCGCTAGCTGCACATGAGGAAGCGACTTTCTCATCCTGATTAGAGCAGGACGGAACAAAACTCCCAACCACCACTGTTGAAAGAAACGGAAACCTGTTAGGAAATACTACAAATGCGAAACTTAAGCTAACGCAGGCTTTGCCATCCAGACTTGGATGACAAGTCTGGCGTGTTGAAGTTGATGGGAAGTACGTGTTTACTTTGGATATCCCTTGCCCTTTCCTTTGCCCTTCTTGCCCTTACCTGAAGTCGCGTGCAGGTCGTCTTACTTCCATAGTACTGGATAGTATTTATTCGTCAGCAGCGCAAGAAAATGTTAAACTAAACTCCAGTTTTTCTTGCTGCATTTGCACGGAATTCGACTACGAACAGAATCTGTTGCTGCTCACCAGGTAGATCATACAGGAAAACAGAAACGTGTATTTTACCACCATTTAAATCTATGCAACTCCGCCACAACAAGTAGAAGTAGTACCTTTGCCCTTGCCGTCACCTCCCTTCTTGCCTTTTCCCTTGCCCTCGGTATTGAGGAGAAACAACAGTGTTCACTAGTGATGTCTCTACTGGTTTTTTCCACTTAGTGTTAGTTAGTCGTCCACTACGGAGGATCAGCATCACAAATTTGTCTTGTACGACGAGTCGCTTCGAGCTAGTACCACTACCACGTGAAACAAGCACAGCGCAAGATAGCCATCGCTGCAGAATTATCTAGCATGGAGAAGGTTTGAGATGTGTACTTCATCTTCACCATCAGCGTCATCATCATCATCTTCTAGGTGGTCTTTATTGCAAAGAAAGAATTAGAAGGCTATGAAACACAGATTTTTTTCTCCCCATACTTGGGGCGGGGATCGCAATCGCTGCCGTCCGGACCGGTGGCCTTATCCTGTGTAAACAAAACGTCCCCACCACGGCGACCACCCTGAGGTCGTTGTCTTTTTTATGCAAAGAAATTTGCCATTCCTGACTTGAACGTGGCTCCTGCAGTACAAGTTGAACCGCAACGCTTGGTACTATTCACCGTCGCGCACCCGCCCCCTACAACTACTTCTTCACCGTCGCTTCCTAGTAGTTGTTGGAATGAGTTCGTCACAGACACCCAAGGGATGTTGAGTCAGGCGCTTTTTGTAACCAAAATGTTTCTCTTGTTGACGAATGAATGTGTTGAGTTGATGGGGGCGTTTTTACCCAGCATAGACGTTGACCGCGATTTTTTTCGTGCTGTCCTTCGGACCCTTATGGCAGCGCCAGGCGGGAAAATAAAATCGTCAAGAGGAGAGCGAGAAGAATCACTTGATACCAAATATAGCCGCCGGGGCGGGGGTAGTGAGGTCGTGGGCGTTTTCTTGCCGGCCGTCGCCTTGGCCGCGGCCTTGCTTTTTCTTGGCTCGCCATGCCGCAGCGAGTAACGTTAGGCCGCACGGTATGGCGGCCGCTCGATAAACGTCGCAAATTTTCGCAAATTCCCGAAATTCCTTTCCGAAAGCCAGCCCCCATGCTATGGAGCCGATCCGGGTGCCACGGTGGGCGCCCAAAAAGCGAAGGAAAATCGGGCCCATAGCATGCGGATTGGCTTTGCGCGTCTGGGGCGCTTTTTCTTTTTCGCGTTTTTATTTTTCACGCCGGCGCGTTTTGCAAAGCTTCCCAGGCTCTGAAACCGGCGAAAAGGCGGCCGCTTTCGCGGCCGCCCAAAATGCTCCGAAATCGCGGCCGTGCCATGCTGTTTCGCTGTTCTGATTTTGGGCGCGTTTTTTGCGCGCCCCTTTTTGGGCGCCCCAAATCGCCAGAAACCAAGGCGGCGGGCGCCTCAGAAGGGCGCCCCTTTTGCCGGCTCCCCTGCGTCGTTTTATCAAGTGCGAATCGATAGTTTTCTACCGGGCTTGTTTGATGGCAAAGCCCCGCCCGCTTGATAATTGAAAATTTTTTATGTCCAAAAACGCTTCCGGCCGCTTGAAAACTGCCGATCGTTTTTCAGGGTATATGGCAAAAAAACTCCCTGGTTAGAGCCGTTCGGTAACCTCACTACATACAACCAGAACCAGGTGAAGAATGCAGGTCGGCCTGCCATTTGTCTCTAAGCGGCGCACCGCAAATTTCTGCAACGCGGCCGAAGGTCGATATGAGTGTGATTCATGAACTCTTCGGGAGCACAAAATAGAAAACTGCTCGTACTGTCGTCTTGTTTCTTGTTCGCAGCTTTCTTCGCAAAATGAAACAGGCTGCGGTTGACCAATGGTTTTTTCATGTGCTTTGTTCTCATGCTAAGAAATGCAGACACGACTTTCACTTTGCCTGAGTTGCAAGTCATGCATTGCAACCCGTTGCGGTCTCCATTTGGACGATGTTTTCCCAGCTGATGCCGCCATACTCGTCCGCCACGTCGTATTCCACCTTGTTTTTGGTACCATATTACCCGTCTAAATCCTTTGCATCCAATAGAAATAGACACCAACTACAAGCACGACAAAAAAAATGTTAAACGTTGTTTGCCGTCTACAATGAATTGAAAGTTTGTTACAAAAGTAGAAGAAATCCAAATCCTTCTACAAAACATGTTGATGCCGTAGAAGTATTTTTTATAAAGCTCTTGTACCTTGGACCCCTGGGAGAGCGACTTGAACCCATCCTCAGAAGCTTGCTGGATCTGCTGCCTATCCACTGCAAATATCCTCTCTCGGTCTGCAAATCATTTTCGCAGCGCTGAATTGTAAATCTAAATTGTGCATGCCAAGCACAGTGCAACATTACCATTAGACACCACGCAAGCATGAGACATGACCTGACCACGAACTCCGTTGATGTTGTAGTTGCAGGACAGCCAATGGGAACTCTAAAAACTCATCTTCGTAAACCTGCGTCAGTTTTTTACACCTCACAGACAGCAGGCCCAACGATCATGACAAAACCTTGCAATCTTGCAGACCCGAATCTTCGATATTTGCAATGAATACTGATAGTGCACGAGCAGATCGGAATCCTCATCGATTTATCCACTGCAAATATGTCTGGGTCTGGATCTTCACGAAGGTTGTATTTGTAATTGTAAACATAATCAATGGCAGTCCAGTGTCAAGCCAGATTAGCATGACAAAGCTCGCACTCTTCCAGACCCAGACATCTTTGCACTTGATATGTCTGCATCGTCGGGGCGGATGAAGCCAATGCCTTTGTTTATCATGAGGAAAACCTTGTTCTTACCCACCCCATAGTCCAGACAATATCATGGTAAACCCGCTATACAACTCAAAAAGCATACTTCCGAGACGCGCGTGACAAAGGCCTTTCTGGATTTGCAGCGAGGAGATCGCGTTTACTTAAACCAGGGCAGAAGCATCACGAATAATCCAGCTCTTTGTGGTCCTCGTCCTGACTACTATATTAGCATGACACTAAACTTCGAAACACCACTAGAGGCTCTATTTTCTCCTTGAGCAGCTGCAAAATCAATGCATGCGACTCGTTGTTAGGCGCGAGCGCAAAACCCACGAATTCTTTGCACGACATCTTTGGGGTGATGGGAACAACGTTTTTACGCATGGTATTGTGGTTCAGCCACTTGGCGACGGTCCCGGAGAAGCGATTCGGCATGTTCGATAGGAACTACTTCGGGGAACAACGAGAGCTTTTTTTGTCTACACACAGACTAAAACTACTCTCCCTGCTGGCACCACTTCTTAAAAATCCATGTCGAGGAGCAGACGGGCCGCAGCTGACGAACCGAAAAGCTGCTATCGAAGGTATGCCTCCTATCGTCCTCGAAGGTTTATTTTTTTGGTGAAGAAGAAAGCAGCCAGACACAAACCGCAACGCCTCAGGAAAACAAATACGAAGCTAAAACTAAAAGTAAAATTATCGCGAAGTTCTCAAATTAGATTCCAAGGATCCTGTGGTCGCGACTACATTTTGAAACGCGGATCTCTTTTACATACGTAAGTCGGTTTGCCCGGAAAGAAGGAACGCGCGCAAGATGTATTTACTAAAGGTTGGCTTAGGCTTTTCAAGCGGCTCGTCCTGAGTCCGACCTTCTACTTCTACATAAACGCCGACGCGTCTCATTGATGACTTGTCGTAGGATAGAAGTTTCACACCGTAGCTGGCTTCGCTCTCAGTCGTAGGTTGTGGGTCGCGTCATCATCTTCACTCGCCTGTGAAGCAATATTTACAGTTTACAGCTTACAGTGTTCGCGTAGTACGCGAGACTTCTGCTCAAAATGAGGAGTCTACTTGAGGAACTTCACCGTGAAGAACCTCTTGATTTCAAATTCAGAACAGATCCTTTCCGCCTTTCTTCGACTTCACTGTGCGAGACCCCCGGGCGGCGGGGTGGGGGCCTCAGAAACTTGGCCTCATCGTGCCACAGCGGGGTGGAACGAACATCAAAGGTGGAACAAGATGCAACTAGTCGGTCTAGCACCGTGGCACAGCAAGGCAAGCTTGGTTTGCTCGCTAGCGTGGGGCCGACTTCTCCGTTGCCTTCGCCTTGTCCGGCCCTGCAACGTGGACCGAACCTTTTGCAGGCCTAGGTCTTGAAATGAATATGAAAATGTTGGGGAAACAAAAAGGAAATCGATGTATCTCGCCTAAATCGACGACACGACATATTGCCTATTTATTAAGTAATCAGATTCTTGGTTCTTCTTCTTGTGAAGACGTGATATAAAAATGGTCGAGAACAACAAAGAAGTTACTTACACGAACAGAGAAGCGTTCTACTGAGGGGTTCTTTTTCGTTTTTCTTTCATGCGGAGTAGTCTTCGGTTGGGATATTGTGCTGGGATCGAACTAAACAAATCAATGTCAAAAAAATGGGTGGAACTACTATGTTGAATCTTCGGGGAATGCTGTGTGTATGCGAATTTGTGGAAGACCTAGATCAGATCATGTACTATCATGTATACTATTTTGAAGCAAAAAACCTCCTAGCCTGTGGGCGGCGGGCGGCGGAACAAGCCCATTTCAGCTCGTTCTGCTCTCGGTCCATTTTTTCCAGCTGCGCGTCTCGTTTTCTAGTAAGATCCCTTCCGCGCGGCCGCTGCCCCCGCCGAACCGCTGCGGCTTTTGCCCCCGGCACCGCTGCCCTTGCCCATCTTCCCGCCGGCGAGGAGGCTGCCCTTCGTCGATGGCATGCTTTTAGCAGTGCTGCCCCCGCCCTTCTTACCTCCCAGCAAAGAAGATGGACTGCTCTTGGTAGCTCCCTTCACCAGAACCGGACCGGAGGGGACCTTCGGGCGCGCGGGGGACGGCGTAACCAGAACCGTCTGATTGGTCTATGCCTTGCAAATATCTTCGATTTGGGTCTGGAAGGAAGATGATGATGCGGAATGGCAATGGGAATCTGGAAGAGGACGAACATCGGAGGACGAAATACAACTGTAGAATGCATCCACGGTCAGCAAAAGCTGTGCGGTTTTCGTCTCCAGGGGAACAAAGGCGTAATTTGAATTTCTAATTCTATTTCATCTCAACGTGCAGACAATAAATTATGCATGGAACAGAACAAAAAGGATATCGTGCTCTACTTCTAGTACGTGCAACATGTCAAACTACTATACCCTCGTCCCGCAGATGATGATGATGATGCCAACACTCTGCATGTCAGTGTCGGTTTGATTCTTGTTCCAGACCCAGAAGTGAAGATGTTTGCACTCGATACGGTGCCGCTCTCCACCACGTGTTTGTACTTGACCAACACCGTCCGCCCGGCCAAGCTGCTGTGGTCGCTGTAGCTCCAGGCCTCCTGAAGCTTCGCCTTCATGCGTGGATCCCCGTCCGCCGTTGTGCCGAATTGCTCCGGCTCTCCGTCCACAACGGCGTCGTTGAAGATCTTGACCGCCCGCTGTGTGTCCGCGACCACGACCTGTACGAAATCCGAACTCGCGTCTTTGTTTCGCAGAATGTAGGTCTTCTGCGAACTTTTACCACTGCCCGACTCTCTCTTGCTCTCGGGCGACCCCAACGTCGTCGAACCGCCGGGTTTATCATATTGAAAACGCGGCCCCCACGACCCCGGAACGTGGAAGCATTCGCATAATTGCAAAGCTTCCCCGTGGAAACACTCTGCTCCCTCTTGCATGTTGTATCAATCAGAGTCACAGTTTTAAAAATTATTGTGAATAGCCGAATAAAACTCGTATGGCATCAAAAGAGCCCAACAAGAGCGGCGCCTGTTGTGCTGCAAGGGATGCTTCAACACAAGCCTACTAGACTCTACTGCAGGAGAAACATTCATACATACTAGTCCTTTGATGCATAGATTGATAAAGAGTTTCGCATTTGATGATAAAAACCTTATGCACCAGAAACCTATCCAACCTCCGGGGACGAGGGGGCACTTATTTTCCGTGGAATAGGGTTGGTCTGTTGCTCTCTTGTAATTGTAGCTGTTCGCGTAGTACGGGTCGCTCGCTCCAGTGTCATCATAATGGTCGTCACCGCCATGCTATCAAATGTAAAAGTGTCTGGGTCTGGAAGAATGCAACTTGTCATGCTAGATCTGAAGCATACAAAAAACTGTGTTGCATGATTACCAAAAGTCGTCCAGTTTTGACCAAGTCGGGAGGGAGTTTCTCATGCAGGAGAGCCATGAAAGAGATCGCACAGAATCTGTCATGCTAGGTCCTGCATTCCAGACCTCATGGGTCACGGAAAAGCTGCATGACAAGTCGCGCATTCTTCCAGACCCAGACATATTTGCATTTGATACATGCCCGTAGTACCGGTCCGCCGCCTCGTGCTCGTACTTGTTGTAGCCTTGCGTGTCTTATCGAATGCAACTATGTCATCTCGGTCTGGAAGATTGTCAGGTTTGTCCTGCAGATTGTGTATGATCATGCATGCCTGTAATGCATGATCTAGCATCGCAAATTTTTAGAATTAGAGGGCTTCCTAATTATGCCTATCCCGCGTAAGAAATTCCCTCTCCGCGTAACACAAACTGGACTCCTGTTGCTGGTCATGCAATACATAATTTTTTGGAATCCAAAGACAGCATTACAAGTTCCAAGCTTCGAGACCAAGAGGACATATTTGTATTTCATATGTCTTCCACCTCGAACTGTTCCCAAGGAGCTGCACCCCCATCAACGCTCTTCCCGTCGTGGTAGTTCTTTTTACCTTTCCACATTTCATTGCCCCCCGATTTGGTTCCCCACGAGCCGTCGCGGTTGTAGGCTTCCCAGTACTGCGTTGCCTCCTCCTGCTTCTTGTGGCGCCACACCGCCATCGCGAACAGGAAGGTCACGAGCAAAACGGCGCCCACGAGAACAAAGATTAGTACGATGGTTTCCTCGTCTTCGTCGGCATTCGTGCCGGTGGTTCGCGTGGTACTGGGTGCGTTGCCCGACGTATCAAATGCAAAAGTGTCTGGGTTTGGAAGAATACAAACTTGTGATGCGCATTTCAGAACACAGAAAAATCTCTCATGCATGCTGGGTAGAAAGCGCTGCCCACTTTCTGTCACCAAAGTGGCGGATTTGTCATGCGGATTCGGCATTGCGGAAGCTACTTCTCGAAACCTGTAATGCTAGAGCTTCCATGCCAGACCTTCTGTGTCATGCAAAAACAACATGACTCATCCAGACCCAGACATTTTCAAGTACATTTGATACGACGCGGGAGTGCGGGTCTCGCTCTGCGGCGCGGGTGCGCTAACCACGTCGGCCACGCCCACGCCTGCGGGCAGCGTCGCTGCGTTCGCCTCGATTGCGTCCCCAATCGCAGCCTGGAGATCGGCAGCGCCCAGGCTTGTTACCAGCTCCCTGGTATCAAAAGGAAAACGAATCCCCCCTCCCCAGCATACCATAACGAAGTTTCTCATGTTGGGTCTGGGTGTGTCGTGTGTGCACAAATAAGCGCGCTCTGTCACTGTCTTGCAGTAAGGCATTGCGGCCAGATGATCTTTAGCCCGGGCAGGGGCGTTTGATTCTATTTGTCTAGCATCGCAAATGGCTAAGCACCCTCGTCTAGGCACCGCAGCATGAGCATGCCAAATCGCTTGCCTACTGCTGAGCCGGAAGCCTCTGCGCCACCTGTTGCCTTCCTGCAAGTCAAAAGAACTGATTTGTGAGCACAAATCTGCATCACAAGATTTCCTCTGGGGTATGGGGTGGGGGGATCTTTCCTTACGATACTGGACAGGAAGGTCCTCCCCGGACTCGGACTGTCCGCCCGTGACACTGAAGTCCACTGCAAACATGTCTGCTGCTGGACGAACGGGGAACTTGTAATGCAACGGTGCGATTGATGGGCACCCTTGAATACTGTTTAGGCAACCAAGCGCACGGATGACAAATTTTTGAGCTGCTAATGTGTTGCGTATTCCGCATGGCAGATCGATGGCATTTTCGCATGGCAGTCCAGAGGGGCTGTTCGTGCCTGTGCATCACAGTGCTCAGATTCACCAAAGGCATGCCAGACAAGCATATAACAAATCTTGCACTTATCCAGAACCAGACATATTTGCAATCCATAAGTGAAGTCCACAAGCACATCAGACGTGGTTGTACTAGCTGACGCTCGTCGGCTATGGAAAGAAAAAAGTTTGTCACAGTCGCTAGCTTGCACGTTTTGCATTACAAATTTTTTTAGCGTCACAACTTTTCCTTGTATTGCAGAAACACTAGGGAAATCCCTTATGAAGTTTGGCTGTGATGCATTTTTACGCATGACAGAAAATTTGAGTGAGAAAAAGTTTCGGGTCACACCATAAAATTAATTAAATAATTAAAAAGAATGAAACTAAATGCAACAACTCATCACTTTTAGATGTTTTCGGGTCACGTGATGAAATTGATGATCGCCATCAAATAGAAACTGATGACTGGCCAGGTGATCGCCATTAAATGCAAACCGGTCCGGCATGGTCATCATCAGCCGAAGAGGATCCGGCATGGTCGGCATCAGCTGAAGACGATCCGGCATGGTCCTCATCCATTGAAGGCGGTCCGGCATGGTCGTCATCAGCTGAAGATGCTCCGGCGTGGTCGTCATCGGCTGAAGATGATCCGGCATGGTCGTCATCGTCTCAAGATTGCCCGCAAAACCTTTGGCGCGGGAAATTTACCACAGGGCGCCCCCGATGGCACGGCGAGCCTTGTCGGCGACGCTTCCGTGCCGCCCAAGGAATTCAGCAACAAATCTGGGCGACGGGCAGCGTTTCGCCGTTTCCGGGCGTTCTACGGGCGTAGAGAGCCCGGAAACGCCCGGCGGCCGTCTTTTTCCGGGCGCGCCAAGTACAGGCGGGGCCGACCGAACAAAAAGCCGGGCCAATCTTTGCCGGGCGGCAGTTTCGCAGCCGCCCCCTAGAACTTTGGCGCGCAGCCCGCCCGGCGATCTTCGTCGCGGCGAACTTTTTCGGCAAAATCGCCGGGCGACAATTTCGCGGGCAGCCCCCGCACCCGGCCAGACGCTGCCTGCCCGCCACCGTTTCCGGGCGTTCTACGGACGTAGGAGGCCCGGAAACGCCCGGCGGCCTTCTTTTTCCGGGAAGGAAGCCAGCGCGCAGCCGCAAGCCCGCCGGCCCGGCCGGCACTCGCGCGCGCCTTTCGCTGATGGTGATCACCTGGCCAATTCTACGGAATGATCGCGAAACTGTCGTCCCCGATGATCGTCTCCAGCTGACGGCGACCAATCGCGGGCGTCTTTCGCTGATGGTGATCACCTGGCCAATTCTACGGAATGGTCGCGAAACTGCCGACCATGGTGATCGTCTCCAGCTGACGACGACCAGTCGCGAACGTCTTTCGCCGATGGTGATCACCTGGCCAATTCTACGGAATGATCGCGAAACTGTCGACCCCGATGACCGTCTCCAGCTGACGACGACCAGTCGCGGACGTCTTTCGCTGATGGTGATCACCTGGCCAATTCTACGGAATTGTCGCGAAACTGTCGAACATGATGATCGTCTCCAGCTGACGACGACCAGTCGCGAACGTCTTTCGCTGATGGGGATCACCTGGCCAATTCTGCGGAATGGTCGCGAAACGGTCGACCATGCTGATCGTCTCCAGCTGACGACGACCAATCGCGGACGTCTTTCGCTGATGGCGACCACCTGGCCAGTTCTACGGAATTGTCGCGAAACTGTCGACCATGATGATCGTCGCCAGCAAGCTGACGACGACCAGGCGCGGACGTCTTTCGTTGATGGTGATCACCTGGCCAATTCTCCGGAATGATCGCGAAACTGTCGACCCCGATGATCGTCGCCAGCTGACGACGACCAATCGCGGACGTCTTTCGCTGATGGTGATCACCTGCCCAGCTCTACAGGATGGTCGCGAAACTGTCGACCATGATGATCGTCGCCAACTGACGACGACCAATCGCGGACGTCTTTCGCTGATGGTGATCACCTGGCCAATTCTGCGAAATGGTCGCGAAACTGTCGACCGTGATGATCGTCTCCAGCTGACGGCGACCAGTCGCGGACGCCTTTCGCTGATGGTGATCACCTGGCCAATTCTACGGAGTGATCGCGAAACTGTCGACCCCGATGATCATCTCCAGCTGACGACGCCCAATCGCGGACGTCTTTCGCTGATGGAGGTGATCACCTGGCCAATTCTACGGAACGGCCGCGAAACTGCCGACCCCGATGATCGTCTCCAGCTGACGACGACCAAGCGCGGACGTCTTTCGCTGATGGTGATCACCTGGCCAATTCTACGGAATGGTCGCGAAACTGTCGACCATGATGATCGTCTCCAGCTGACGACGACCAGGCGCGGATGTCTTTCGCTGATGGTGATCACCTGGCCAATTCTACGGAATGATCGCGAAACTGTCGGCCATCTTGATCGTCTCCAGCTGACGACGACCAATCGCGGACGTCTTTCGCTGATGGCGATCACCTGGCCAATTCTCCGGAATGGTCGCGAAACTGTCGAGCATGTTGATCGTCTCCAGCTGACGACGACCAATCGCGGACGTCTTTCGCTGATGGCGATCACCTGGCCAATTCTACGGAACGGCCGCGAAACTGTCGACCCCGGTGATCTTCGTCAGCGGACGACGATCACGCGCGGCCGCCTTTCGCTGATGGAGGTGATCACCTGGCCAAGTCTTCGCAACGGAGGACAAAAAGAAAGAAGCACGCGGCTCATCATAATAATGATGAGCAATGCTCTATGCTAAGCACCAATATATAGTCTATGGCTATCTATTTTCGTATTTAGCTAATCTATTTAGTTTCATTCTTCAAACTTATTTAATTAATTTTATGGCGCAACCCGAAAACTTTTCTAAAACGAAAGTTTTGTATTGCAAAAATGCGCATGAGTGATCGTGACGAACTTTCTTGTTTGATATCGGCGCTTGTCCCTTGTGTTCTCCCGCTTCGTGGTCGCAGATTCAACAGCATCTCCGTCTCCCGCAATGGCGCCTTCCATCGCTCTGCGTTCAGAGCGCGGGTCTTCCAGCTGCGTGCGGCGGCGGGAATTCTCGAAGGTGATCGAAATGATCTCAACCTCTACCACGGAACCCGCCGGGGCGCCGGCAAGGATGCTCTGCTCGAGTATCGCAAGAAAAAAGTGTTACAGTTACACACATAGTCTATGCAGGCCCAGCAAGACAGACAAGTACTGTCATGCCGGATATGCATTATAGGAGCCTCGTTTAATAGGTGTTTTAGTTTTCTCGAAGGATTTCTGCATTACAAGTTTTCTCTCTCATGGAGAGAAATTTGTGTTGCTGAATTCACTACAAGTGTGTAACTGTAACACTTTTTTCGTGGGATACCGAGGCCGCTTTTCACGCTGAGGTATTCTGAGCAAAAACGTCCCCGCCCCAAAGTCAAGAAGATCTTCACGAACACGGTGCAGCTGCACAATAAACTACCCATAAGCTTGTTTATTGTGTGATGTTGCGTAGAACAAATAAATTCGGCTCGTAGAAGTGTAGTCGTGTTTAATAGCTAGTGCAGCTACATCGACAATCGATCAGCAGATTGTCCTTGTGGTTCTAGCATGACAAATGCCAAAACACATCTGAAAACTGCTTCTCACGGGGCCGCTGTGCATGAGCAGCACTGTTTTCTTTTGTAGAAGTAAGTAGGCCTAGGCATGCAGATTTGCATGACAGGTATGAAGCGGGGACGTCTTTACACAGGATATGGGACCCAGTGTGTCCAACAGCTCCTCGTCCGTGTAGTCCGCATCGGCGGGCTATCGAAGGGAAAAGCGCCCGTATCCCAGAGAGGGAGGGCGCTACTTGCATGTCCAAAAGTTCCCGATGGAAACGCTCTCCGCATCCTGCATCAACTTCCAGCAGCACAAATTCTGCATGCAGCCTAGCGGCTACAACATTTGTCATGTGAAGAAACATGCTTCCGAAAGTCTCGACTCTGGACCAGTAAAGTTTTTCATTTGCAAAACTTATGCATCAGAAATTTTCTCCACTTCTGGGATACGGGCACTTTTCATCATCTGGATACGGGCAGGTCCATGGACAACGTTGTCACCGAACGGAACGGCTCCGAGGCAACCACGCAGCATATTGTCAGGAAAAATCCCCTTTTCCCATAATATCAAAAGGAGACTTATTCTGATGCGCGAGTTGTGCTTGTGTACAGAGATACACTTGTATTGCTGGAAGACAAAAAGACACACGCGCGGCCTATTTTCAGGCACTTTGTTTGTCATGCTGTTCTGGGCAATCCAGTTGGTTCCTATCATGCTGGAGAGGGAGGCTTGCCCGTGCCAGGCAGAACTACAGTCCGCATCCCTTCCCTACCAGCATCACAACTGGATTTGTGATCAGAAGAAATCATCCTTTTACACAAATTCCGACTTTGAGTATGGGGAGGGGGGATTTTTTCATTTTTATACAGCATTCCGGAACCTCACACCCCGATACCCGCGCACAACTCACGTCCGCGCCGCGACTCAGCGACTTCGCGTCGGGGCAGGTCAGCGTCGCGCACATTGGCGCGGTGACGCAGCACTCGCTAGGCGTGCAGGTGGCGCCGCCGCACACGGCCGAAAAGTCGATGACGCGCGCCGCACCGTTCAGATCCGGGCAGGTGATTTCGTCCTTAGCGGCCGCGGCGGCGTATCCTGTGCAAAAACGTCGTCACCCCAGTGTCAAGCTCTTGGGACCTGTGCAAGACAAATCCAGAATAGAACCTGTGCAACACAAGGCAAAGTTCATGGGACCCCGGCAACACAAGGACAGGGAGAGCCGCATCACATAACCATCGCCGTCTGCTTCGCCTTTTTACACTCCTTTTGAAATACACAGGCCAAAACACGATTAGAAACGCTTCTCATGGGAATGAGCATTTTAAGTACAAATGTTCATCTTCATGTTCCTGTAGATGCAAATGTGCATGAGAAGTACAATTTACAATTTACAATTTATTCACGAGAAGATCTCGCGAGACTACAACCCTATTGGTTCAACAGAGGAGTCACTATTGGTCTGGGGTTCAACAGAGGAGACTACAACCCTATTGGTCTGGGGTGGCGACGTAGTTTTCACTCAGGGTACGGCGCAGGAAGTGGTCAAATCGCTGACACAGCAGGTAGCGGCATCGTCGGCGAGGGCTATGAGAGTGCACTTTCCCTCCGCCTCATTTGTATTGCATGAAGATGAACAGCAATAGAAACACCAGCATAAGCACCACACGTGGAGGTTGTGCATGACAAGTTCATGCGCCGAGTGTAGTACTCTTTGGGTTTTCAGAATCTGTCATGCAAACAGTGCCACAAGGCGAAGACAGCAACTGGATTTGGCAATGTGCATGACCAATGAGGGGCAGGGGGGGTTGTGCACTGTCATACGGGTGCACACTGCTGCAGTGCACCGCAACAGCTCGGCCGCGGGGCCCGCCACGACTGACGTGCCCGCCGGACACTGCACTTCGTATGCATTGCAAATATGTGTGGGTCCTCTGAAGTGATGCAGACTCTGGGGGGGCTAAAGCTGACCACTTCTTGGTACGTAAAGAGCTGCGAGTTTCTCATGCCGAATTCCAGCTCATCCATCTTGTGTTCCAGAAGATGCATGACATACATTTTCTGCAGTCTTCCAGACCCGAACAACATATTTCTTGCATTTGATACTTCGGACTCCGCGTCAAAACCGTTCTTGCACAGTTCGTTCGGAACACATTCGCGCCGATTGTTCGCATTAATCACCATGTTGTAACCGGCGTAGCAACTGCCTAGCTTGCAGCTCGTAAGAACCGAATCAGTCACGCAGTCGGTGCCGGTGTCGGGGGTGCCATAGCTACAAAGGCACACGTTCGGGTGGCAGCTGTATGAGCCTGCATGTCCTGGGGTCGCGACTCTATGATAGCCATCGTAACAACTCTGGCAGTTGGGCAAGCCGATCAGGTCACTTGTGCACGCCCCCTCGAAGCCGTGTGGGCACGCCCCGCAGTAAGCCCCACGGCAGCACAAAGCCCGTGTGCACCCGTGATATGGATTGCAAATATTTCAGGGTCTGGGGAAAGAATGTAAGGGGCGCAAATCTCATCAAGGCTGTCTTCAGGCACGTTACCGACACGCCGCGCGTTTCTGTCATGCAGATGAACCGCTTTTCGTCATGCAGATTGGCCGACGCCTAGCACCTCAAAAATTTATTTGTCATGCTTGTCCGTCAATGAAGGCGTCCTCGTCGTGAAGATTGCTTCTCCAACCTACCAGCCTCAGAACTTTATTCTAGACCCTCCAGAGGACTGATTTCCATTTGCAGTGGATACGCCATCGTCGCAGCCGATGCTGGCGGCGTCTTCCCGGGGGTACAAGTCGAAACCTTGCGCATCGCAGAGGCTGGCGTCGCTTGCACACGTGGTGGAAGTGCAGCAGGTTGTTTCGCAGTCTTGATTTGTACCAGCTGCATCTGCGAGCGCGCAATTCTTGTCCCAGCTTCCTTGCGAAACAACTTTGCCGACGCTAGTACATTCGTGATCGCTGCAGACAGTCGGTCCGTCGCAGAAGGTCGCGGCGTCGCAACCACCGTTAGCGGAAGCGCAGGTGATCGGCGGCGGGGTGGCCGTCTTCAGTGATGTAGCTATTGGATGAATCGGACACGGGAAATCGTCATAAGTGAGAGTGGTCCCGTCGACTCGAATAGTATGCGAATCACAGGTTTGTTCCATGCAGCAAAGGTTATTATTCGTCGGATTGTTAGCAACACAGGAATGAGTGCTGTCGTCGATGTTGGTGCAGGCCATCAGATCCCCATTGAGATACTTCGCAACCTTATTGGCGCTCGTGCAGTCATACAGAGCCAAATCTGGATCACCGCCGTCCACCACTTGGTTGTTTGTGCAGGTCGGTTTGCAACACTCCCGTTCAGTGCACGCGTCTTCAGCACACTTGATCAACTCCGGGTTATCTTTCCGCAGATAATTCTTACTAGTACACAAATTATCTGCAACCTGAGTTGCACAAGTTTGTACTACCGCCTCGCAGTCCGTAGCGAGTCGCGGATGCGGATCGACGGAATACCCTCCATCTTTCACCTTGTATAATCCCGCACTAGTGTCACATTCGCACCGGCAATTCTGGACACTGCACCAACCTCCGTACCGGTCCTTGCAAATCATGTCGGCATGGTCCGCTTCCGAGTTACTGAAACCAGTCAGCCCGGCACAGAAATTGGAACATGTTGTAGTGTCGTCGCCTGCACTACTCATGCAGCACTTGTCCGCCCTGCACAGCGAGTCGATTGCAGCGCTGCTGCATCCGACCAATTTGCCGTAGGGCGAGGCCGTCGTGTAGGTGTAGGGCTTGCTGGGGTTCGCATTGCACAGCGTCAAGCGAATATCTTCCTCCACACTGCAATCGACAAAACTCTTGTAGACAGCGCCGAAATCCCAGGGGTGCACCATGATGAGCGACTCACCAGCTCCGCAAACGGACTGTTCATCTACACCGGAACATGCTTATCAACTGCAAACATCTCGGAGTTAAATGGAGGGTTGCGGTGCTGGTGTGCGGATATTGAGCAACCTCCAGCTCAACGTGTGAACTAAACCCCTGCCGGAGGGAGGCAGAGCCACAGGTAGCAGCGCGCCTCAAGAAGCTTTTCGGTGATATTTGTGCTGGGAGACGAACTGGGTTGCGTTTGCGAAATCAAACCCACGCTACTGGCGCGCTAGAATGCCGAGTAACAAACTCGCGCGTAAAAGGACTTCAAAGCCGCCGCTCAAACAATGCGGAAGAAAGCCCGGCCAGATTAGGACGATACCAACAAGCCCTGAAGCCAGGGGGTAAGGCAGCCTGCCAAACGAAACAAAGGAATCACTCGGGCAACCCTACAAAACACCGCGGTGCACCGCCCAACTAAACAGCAGCCCAAACACCCTGAGCTTGGAATCAGAGACCGAAACTCGAACTCCTAAAAAGGAAGCGCGCTGGCGCCGCGGATGAAGAACAGGCACGCGGCCACCTACCGCTCCGGAGCTGCTAGACCGCCTAGCACCTCATGGCCTGGCCCCTCAGGTACTTTTCAGTAAAACAGGCAGCTACCTTAACGAAACCCTGCTACGATGTCCACGCCGCCAGTGCCTGTAGTAATCGATCATCTGTGCTAGCGGATGATGACCGAAGAAGTTTTCGGGATTCCGTTCCGAAAGTTACTGCCACTCGTGGCGCCACGACAAACCAGGGACCACCCCCTGTAGCAATTCGTTTTTCGTTTTCTCGAAAGTGTATTCATTCCTTTTCCGGGATCGACACGCCCGGTGCACAACACGCGTGCGAGATTTCTCTCTCCTGTCGAGCACGCATCACAGATCTTGCAAACTTCCAAACCCAGACATGTTTGCAGTTGATAGCAATGGTTCCAAAGCCACGCAGCAGCGGTTTTGGTCACAGGGGTCTCCATACCCGTCGTTGCCGCACTTGAAGTTCTTCATATCAAAATGGAAAATCCCCCCTCCCATATTCCAATGCATAACTCTGTTCTGATGCGAGAGTTCTGTACGCAAAGAACCATTCTGTCATGCCAGAACACAGGCAAGGCAGAGTGCAGGCGTGGGAAGCAGGTAGACGCTTCGCTGGCTCAGGATGAAAGAGGATCGAAGGCTGCAATTCTGCGCAGAATGGTATGACATCGGTGATCTACCGGCAGGACGTCCGGGCGGCCGCGGCCTTCGACTAAAATCAGTAAAAAAGAAGGGTCGAGTAAACTCTACAGCGCTTGTCATGAAAGTCCAGGCCTTTCGGAAAATGAGTGGTGATAGAAGGCGCAACGAGAAGGCGGCTCGGGCAGCTACAACGCGCAGCATGGGTCTGGGCCCCCGCTTCACGAGGGCCAGACGTGCGGCGTGCGCTTAAGTCGTGAGCTCGAACATGACGCACGGCCCTGGAGGTCCTTATGCATGTGGAGGCAAAACGCAGGAAAGAAGCAGCCGAAGCTGGCCGCTGCTGCGCCAATTCGGACAAATTCAGCAAGAAGCTTGCTGCGCTTCCTTCCCAGCGGCATACAGGTGCTCCGACATGAAAGAGCTTGTCCCCCCAAATCCGCAACCAGGGTGGCGCCTCCACCAGCAATGGGAGCTCTTTCATGCAAGCATTACGAACAAACGCAAAACCAAACAAAAAAACGGATCCATAAAAAGAACGAAAGCGCAGAGGCGCGCAATCTATCACCACTACTCGACGAAGTGCGACGTAGTTCTACGTAGCTCTACGGTCCAATGGCCTACAGAGTGAGCGTAAGGTGTGTCGCTTTTTCGCCTTTTTCGAAAATATGCATTGTGGCCACACAGCGGCATCGGAAATTTCATCCATCTTGAGTATGGGCAGGGGAGAATGTATCTCACGATAAGCCGGGCCGGCTCTGAGTGCGGAGCCTGAGGGACACGGCGAGTAAACCGCATTTCCTCCATCGGTATTGCCACACGTCCGCGGCTTGCAACACTCCTCTTCTGTGCAGCGACTGTTTTGACACTCGATTGTGCTCAAGCTGTCTTTTGGGGAATAAGAACTGCCGGTACAAAATGAGTTCGCAGTGGCCTCTGAACCGTCCAGGGCGCCACCATGCTTCAAACACGTCGGCTTTATGCAGTCCGTGCGCAAGTCTCGAGCAACGGAATACAGGCCGTTATCTGTAACCAGGTGGTACCCCGCGCCGGCGTTGCACTCGCACCGACAGTGTTGCATACTGCACCAATATCCCTGGTTAAGGGTCCACCTCTTGCATAGTTTCTGACTCAGTGTCGCGTGGGTGGAGACACCGATAGCCACTCCATTTGCATCCTTCAGCTCGCCGCAGAAGGCCCCGCAGCTGGTATCCGAAGAATCTTGAGACACACCTGCTGCTGTGCAGCACAACTCCTGGGTACAAAAGGTGGTGTCGCTAGACACATCGGTGCAATCGTCCACAAGTTTGCTGTCCAAAGCCGGCGGGTAGCTGCTGGTCACCATGATAGGATTCGAGTTTACAGGACACGACGTGAAGCTACCACATAATTATCAACTGCAAATATCATGTCGGGGCTATTGGGAAGATTGTGACGCTCGTGCGCGGATGTTGAGCAACCTCCAATAAGGGGCGAACAGGCATGACAAGTTGCTGAGCAAATACGTCAAGCGTGCCCTTTCGCACGACGACGACAAACAAATGAAGTGCAATTCTTTTAGCGTTTTTTGGTAATGAGAAAAGTGAGCTCTTTCAAGGATCACCCTGTAGCACAAGATCACGCACGACAGATTTCTCTCTCCTGTCAAGCAAGCAAGCTAGCGTCATAGGTCTTGCAAACTTCCAGACCCAAACATATTTACAATTGATAACAATTGTGTTACCACGCGGCAGCATGTGCCAGCATGACCACAATCTCCAGGGCTGGTATCGTCCTTAGTGTTGATGCATGTTGCTTCATCATTCACTACACCTTCATCAGGGTGCAATGCAGTGTTGCAGCTCGCATCATCCCAGAAAAATCCCGTAGCGCCGTCCGAGACTGCGGCACAGTTTGTAACGGCTTGGGCAATTCCATGTTGACGATGAGCCGTGAACAAAAAGAGCGCTGCCGCTGTTACAAGAGCATGCCCACGAACGGTACGATCCAACATCGTTCTCGGCGTTTTTCGGACGAATTGTGATCCGGATTGACGCAGATGCCTTGATGCTTCCTCCGACGACCTTGTCCTCAACCGTTCCTGGCTCTTCCACGAGGCAATGACATTACTAGGGTAGAAAAGCTGCGACATAATTTTTGTTCTAACCTTCGCCTCATTTTATTTCTAATTCGTCAGGGCTTCAGAGTAATAAATGCGTAAGTAAGCTTCTTCTCTGTGACCTACTTCCGTAAGAAGTACGTTAGTGCTTGTAATTGTCTCTACCTTCACACGCTTTCTGCACCGCAATGTTGAACTTTAAAGAAAAGATAGAAGATCGAAAAGCTACAAAACACTTCTCTACTATCGTCGGGGTCGGGACACTGCGAAACTCGGTAGACAAACTGCTCTATTTGTACATACTTTGGCAGCCAGGAAGCTGTACTTTGTAAGTAAGTCTTGTAGTCCAAGAACAATACACAAACTAAAGATATTTGTCAAGATGCAGGAGCCCGCAGAATGCTATTTCGGCTCGGCAAAGCCGACCTTTTTTGTGGTGACTTTTTTATCTGCCTAATTAGTGCGCAACGTTTTTTTCTTCCGAATGCCGTCTGCCGAGACTGCACCACTAGGGACGAGTACTTCCTTCTGGGAGATGAAGCATACTAATAAAAACAGCATCAGATCAGAGGTCAGAGGTGTCGGCGCACGTGGCGCAGCCACGCGAGCCGGGCTCAACGCAGCAGTCAGGCAATCCTAACCACCACGTCGGCCATAAAACAGTTTTGCGTTTGTCAGAAGTTTCAATGCAGGAACTGAGAGAGAGATAACTAACGCTTAAACTTTTTTGCAGACTAAAACTAAAGAAACTAAAACTGACGCTCCGAGGAGCTAAGCTGGAGTGGGCTATAAAACTATGCTCCGAGGAGCTACGCTGGAAAGGTTTGAAACATTTTTGCTCCGAAGAGCGGAACTGGGGGAGCTAAAACAGAACTAAAACTTTGGTCTTTGGCTTCGATAAAGATCTATTCGATTTTTTTTTTACGGAAAGGAAGAGCAACAACTTTTTTGAGCTAAACTGTAGTTTTACGTGGGGACCAGGCAGTGCGTGCAAGATCCTGGAAGGTCAGCACTTTTGCGGTTTTTTGTATCTATTGACTGGTGCGTTTTTACGCCCTAGCGTGGGGACAAGGCGAGCTTGATGGATCCGTAAAAGTAGAGGTCCACCCGAGAATAAATCTAAAATGGAAATCAGGTAAAACATTAAACCAAGCAATCGCGTGATAGCATCGTGAGAACTACAACAACGGAGTTACCAAGAGAGACAAAACACGACCACGTCACTCGCCTCTCATCAGCACACCATCGTGTTGCGGACTAGCAAAGCTCTCAACTGAGAAAAAGAAAGGTAAAAGAAAAAAGAAAGCCAAACTCAGATAGTTTGACTTTTACCTTGCTTTAAAGAGAAAGAGAAACTGCACTATTAGAAAGGTGCGGTTTTTTTTTGTGTTTTTTATTTTCTGTGTAATAGTGTAGGCGTTTTCTCAGGTCTGATAGTCGACATCGATAAACTTCATATTCTGAGCATCGTTCCCTCGGTAAGATCCGACCAATTTCAGGACTTTAATATTCAGATTTATTAACTCCCCGGTGGTACACTCGTTCGTACATGGACGCCAGAAACTTGTAATGCGCGTGATCAAAAATCCTCTTAGAAAACTCCGAACGAGCAATACCTTGCTGAGTAGTAAAATAGCATTACAGATTCCATCCCACAACATCACCCCCACGAAGAGAATCACCCCTCACTCCCACGAGTCTGCCGAGACTGCACCACTAGGGACGAGTACTTCCTTCTGGGAGATGAAGCATACTAATAAAAACAGCATAGTTAGCTTCAACAAACTTTCTTCCGTCTTCGAAAGATGGACCGAGTAGCTTCTTGCGGCTTTAGCATATCTCTTCGACGAGTTACTGTTAGGCGGACGTGATCGTGATGTAGTGTATCCATTCTTTCATAAGATCAAGTACTTACCTCTTCCTGTGACCTGTGACAACCAGTTCAACGGCTGTACGAGCCACGTCTGTAAGAGTTGTCCGTTCTTTCGCGCGAAAATCACGATGCTCACACCTTCCTTCTGCATTTCCATTGCGGAAATACTCGGCACGAATCAGGAATTGAACGTCGATTCTATTTTGGGTCGACGACGACGGAACGTGTGGCAGCAACGAGAACGATGAACGAACGGACGCACGAGGATTTGATCCCGAACGATGGAGAACTATCTTTCAGGGTGGTGGAAGACAAAAAAGCATAGTAAGTAAAGAACGGGGAATCACAATCATATTGATATGTGCTTCTCGTAGTTACACACCATCATGTGCCAAAACACCACGACTCACCTTTACGAAAGATGCGGCTAGCAGATGGCACTTCTTGTTCTACTTTGGCAGCCCTTGTAGCACCATACTTACAAACATGGGTCAGCAAAAGTGCTAGTAGCACTGCTAACACAACAAGCAGCCGCAGAACAGGGCGTGGACGACACAGCGTTCCAACTGACCCAGATCCGTTTTCTTTCCGCATTGCAAAGAACCAAAGTCCTGTTCATCTTCATCAAGATCAACTCCATTTACTTTATGTTTATTTCCAATGATCACAATCAGGCAAATGTAAGTTAGACACTTCGCCACCCATGACAACACAAGGATTGAGCGAGTAACATATACAATTTTCCGAAAAAGCGCAAAGACATTCATCTGTATTGCAGAATATGCACGCGCCACAGCTTCATCGCACGCATTCGGCAGTACTTAGTCTTGTGTACCAGTTTCGCACAACCCATTGCAGGTGCTCAGGAGGATGTTCTGACTGGTGCTCAGGAGGACTGGATTTTTACTCGTCATCGTGCCACAGCGGGGTGAAAGAAACAATCAGCAAAGGAACAACGTGGAACTAGTCGATCTAGCACCATGGCACAGAAAGACCAGATTGGTTTGCTCGCTAGCGCGGGGTCGGTGGACTTCTTCCTTGTCTTCCCTTCGTCCGGGTTGACTGTTGATGTGGAGGAGCTCATTGTAGGGCTAGGTCTTGAAATGAGTATGATGAAAATGTTGGGAACACGAAAGCAAAATCGATGCATCTTCCTATCACCCAGATTGCTGGTCGGGGGAACGTGATATAATTTTGGTTGGAAACAAAGAAGTTCGAGGAAGAGAGAAGCGTGACACTCAAGGGTATAGTTTCGTTCTTCCTTCACGCGGGGCGGTCTTCGGGGCAGCATTCGTTCCTCACGGGGACAACATTATTTCTCTTCGTGCCAGAGCGGAGTCGAACCAGCAAAGGAACTTCTAGATGCATGTAGTCAGCCGGTGGTCTAGAACCGTAGCCCTACAGCAAACAAGCAAAGTTGGTTTGCTCGCTAGCGCGGGGACTTCGGTGTCTTTTCTTCGTCCAAAGGGTTGATGTCTGTGAAGTTACTTGCAGGTCTTCTGGGTCTTGAAGTTGAAATGGATATGGATATGGTAATATGATCGGGAAATAAAGCAAATCGATGTATCTTGCTATCAGATTGGTTCTTGTAAAAAAATGTTACTTTGTGATCGGGAACAAAGAAGTTACAAGAGGAGAGATGTATTGACGGGCTCTTTCCCGTTTTTCTTTCATGCGGGGCGTTCTTCGGGGCTAAAACTCTACAACCGAATAATTTCAAAACAAATTCATCACATAAGTACAAAAAAATCGATATCAAAAACGAGGGAACAATTACTACTCTAGGTGTATGTGTGACAGAAGTATGTGTATGTAAAAAAATGTACTATCATATGAAATATTTTAACACAAAAAACCTACCCTGTGGGCGCCGGCAGGCCAAATCTATTATTGCAGCTTGTCCTCTCACTGCCTTTTTTATTTTTTCAGATCCTCTCTGGTACTAGTGTATTTTTTCACATCGTCCTCCGGCTCCCTTTTTTTCCGTCGGGCGCCTGCTCATGCGCGTCGAGAAATCCCTTGCGCGGCGCCCCCGGCGAGGCGCTTGTGTGGCTTTCGCTTTTAATAAATCCAACTGGCAAGGAGGCCACCTTTCCCCGGCATGCCCTGGGGATGCGGGGACCACGAAGAACTGCCCTTGTTCCCTTGTCCCAAAAGCCCCGGCGCAGGGCTCTTCGGGCGCACGGGGGGAGGCGTAGCCGGACTGGTGCCTCCTGCCCACTTGTTCTTTCCCTTTGATGTTTGTCAAATGCAAAAATGTCTGGGTCTGGAACAAGACTCTGAGACTTGTGATGCACGGTTTGCATGAGCCATGATGTCTGTGATGCATGCCCTAGCGCCACAGGTTTTTTGAGGGGTTCTTGACGCCTATTCCGCATGACAGCTGCCCTCTCCGCGTAGCAAAATTCAGAAATCTTTTGCTGCTCATGCAACACAAATTTTTTAGACATCCAAATGCAGCTTCACAAGTTGCATTCTTCCAGGCCCAGACATTTTTGCATTTGATAATGCTGCTCCCCATTTCCCGCCGGAGCTCGGGGAAGAACCGCCGGCGCCATAGTGCCAGCGCTCGTTCTTGTTGTAGCCTCGTTTGCCTTGTTTTTATCAAATGCAAACATATCTGGGTCTGGAAGTAAAGTTTGTCATGCATCTGCTGGAACAAATGAGTGCTCTGGAATGCACGTGAAGCATTTATCTATATGGGTTTTGTTGCGAAGGCCAAGGCTTCCTGTTCCTGATCATGCCTACCCCGCATGACAAATTCGCAAATTGTGCAAGCGAAAAATAAGCAGCCTTTTGGCACCCTCACGCAATACAGATTTATTTTCGTCTGGTCGAGATTTAGCATCACAAGTTGGAACTCTTCCAGGTGACCCAGACACACTTGCAATGCATATATCCCAAGCTGCACGCTGTCCCCCGTACTGCTTACCACCTATCCAAGAAAAAAACGTTGTTAGTGTAAATTTGTCATGCGCAACCTGCAAGACGATTGCGTCTGTCATGCTTGGCATGCATCGTAGCTCCCATTAAAGGGCGTTTTCACGTACTATCTGCGCATGACAGGTTTTTGCTGTCATGCCAGACAAATTTGTAATGCTGTTCCTCCAAAAAAGTTACACCTACAATGTTTTTTTCTTGGATACCACCTTTCCACATTTTATTCCCCGATTGTGTTCCCCACGAACCGTCGCGGTTGTAAGCTTGCATGTATCTTCGCGTTGCCTCCTCGTGCTTTTTCTGGCGCCACACCGCCATCGAAAACAGGAACATCACTAGCAAAACGGCGCCCACGAGAACAAAGACAAGGACGATAGTTTCCTCATCTTCGTCGTCATTCGTGTCGGTGGTTCGCGTGGTAGTTGGTGCGTTGCCCGACGTATCAAATGCAAAAGTGTCTGGGTCTGGAAGAATACAAACTTGTGATGCGCATTTCAGAACACAGAAAAATCTCTCATGCATGGGTAGCAAGCGCTGCCCACTTTCTGTCACCAAAGTGGCGGATTTGTCACGCGGATTCGGCATTGCGGAAGCTTCTCGATACCTGTAATGCTAGAGCTTCCATGCCAGACCTTCTGTGTCATGCAAAAACAACATGACTCTTCCAGACCCAGACATTTTTAAGTACATTTGATACGACACGGGGGTGCTGGTCTCGCTCTGCGGCGCGGGTGCGCTAACCACGTCGGCCACGCTCACGCCTTCGGGCAGCGTCGCTGAGTTCGCCTCGATTGCGTCCGCAATCGCAGCCTCGAGATCGGCAGCGGGCAGGCTTGTCACCAGCTCCCTGATATCAAGAGGAAAATGAATCCCCCCTCCCCATATTGCGGCCCAAACGGAGTTTCTAGTGTTGGACTTGCCTTCACACGGAAGTACGCTCTGTGGTCTTGCAGCAAGGCACTGCGGCCAGATCTTCAGCCTGGGCCGGGGCGTTTAAGTCTAGTGGTTTAGAATTGCAAACTGCTACCCTCTAGGCCGCCGAGCAGCATGATCATTCCGCCCAATCGCTTGCACAATGAGGCGGAAGCCTCTGGCGCACTCGTTGTCTTCCTGCAAGACCGAGCTGATTTGTGACCAGAATTCTGCATCATAAACTTTCCCGTTGGGCATGGGGAGGTGGGGGGATCTTTCCTTACGATACTCGACAGGAAGGTCCTCCCCGGACTCGGCCTGTCCGCCCTTGACGGTGAAGTCCACAAGCACATCAGACCTGGTTGTACTAGCTGACGCTCGTCGACGCTTGTTGTCCCTCGTGTACTGTCGCTCGGTCGGCGATTTAGTAGTACTATCAACTGGTGCAAAGATGTCTGGGTCCGTCTGGAGACCTGCGATGCTGAGCGGCCAAGGGACTGAGCATATCATACTCCGGATTGCAGGAGCCAAACATGACAAATCTTGAGGACGCTTCCTGATGTGTACAATCAACGTGTACGTGTAGTGCGCATTAATAGAAACTGTGCTTTTGCATGACAAAACAGAGCTTAATTTTGGTGATGCTGGTCATGGAGGTGCGATACAGATTTTACAGGATTCCCAAACCCGCAGCACAGGTTTCACTTTTGCAGATCCAGACATAGTCACAATGCATATGTACCCCGATAGTTTTCGGTTGTTCCAGCAGCAATCGCGCCTTCCACCGCTCTGCGTTCCAAGTGCGGGTCTTCCAGCTGCGTGCGGCGGCGGGAATTCTCGAAGATGCATCCTCAGGCAAAACGCCCCCACCCCAGAGTCAAGACGCAGATGGGGTGGGGATTTGGGTTTATGGTGTGAACCACTTCCCCAAGCATCACTCCCCCACTGACCCACCTTGGGGAAGTGGAAGTGCTGCCCCTCGGGTCGTGGGCAAAGAAGTACTTCCCCAGGCAGTGCTGGGGAAGTGGGGGAGCCCGGCCCCACTTCCCCGCCGCACACTGTAATAAGTACCCTTGCCGCCCGCAGCTGCGCTCCGCGAGCCTGCCTACGTATGTGGCCGCCGTCTGTAGGCAGGCCTAGGATGACGAACCTGAAACGGCACGCGGGGCGCGCAAAAGTGCAAGTACACACGGCACGCAGACACGGCCAGGGCATGAAACTTGGGGGCCAGGAAGAAGCCGAGGCCCAAAGGCAGGCGGAAAAGGATGGACGGGGGGGGCGGCATGACGGAGCGACCCGAAACCTCGAACCCTAGGCCCTAGACGACCCTAAACAACCAAGTCCATCGCCGGCTGCCGGAGGTGATGCGGGGGAGGTGGGGTCTTGATCCGGATCGGGCGGTGATGCGTGGGGAAGTGATTCAAACAAAGGAGAGGGGCAGTGACTCAGACTCCTGCCGGGTTTTGGCTACACAAAGAAATTAACAAGTTTTGCCGGCTGTGGCGCATGACAAGTCTGGGATCCTAGTGTCATGGTGTTGGTGGTTCGGTGCAGCCGCATTTTACAGACAAATCGATCATCATCTCATCGCGATATGTAGCCTGACAGGCTGCCAGACAGCATTAGATTATAGAAGATGCCTTCATTGGGTTGCAGCGCATGGGAAACATTTTGATTTTACTTTTACTTTAGGCAAGCCGTTTTGCATTACAACTCTGGGGTAGGGACGATTTCCCTTAGGATAAGGTGATCGAAATGATCTCGACCTGGACTACGGAACCCGCCGGTGCGACGGCACGGATGCTCTGCTCGAGGCCGGTTTTCACGCTGGGATATCCTGAGAAAAAAAGCCCCGCCCGAAAGTCAACAAGATCGTGGACACGTCGTTGCTACGCAATAGACCCACAAGCTATGTGCAATGCGCAGAACAAATTAATAAATTGGGCTTGCAGAAGTGTAGTCGTGTTTAGCTAGTGCGGCTGCATGATAAATCGCTCAGCAGCATATCCTAGTTCTAACATGACACATTCCGAAACACCCCATGCAGATTTGCATGGCAAGTATGCGGCGGGGACGCCTTTACACAGGATAGGGGACCGAGTGTGTCCAACAGCTCGGCTTCCGTGTAGTCCGCATCGGCGGACTATGGAAGTGAAAAGCACCCCTATCTCAGAAACGGAGGGCGCTCGCGCGTGCAAAAGCTCCGAATGGAAACGCTGTCCGCATCCACCTACATCCTCCAGCATCATAAATTCGCCATGCAGCCTAGCGGCTGCAAAAATTGTCATGTGAAACATGCTTCCGAGAGTGCCAGCTCTGGACCAGGAAGATGACTCGTAGTCCCCTCATGCATTTTTCATTTGAAACCCTTATGCATCAGAAATTTTCTCCATTTCTGGGGATATGGCACTTTTCACCTGGATACGGGCAGGTCCATGGACAACGTCGTGACCGAGCGGAACGGCTCCGAGGCAACCACGCAGCATATTGTGAGGAAAAATCCCCCTCCCCATATCAAAAGGAGATTTCCGGTGCGCAACTTCTTGTGTACACAGATCCCTTTGTATTTTAGGAAGGTAAAGGGACAAACAGACTCGCGGCCTGTGTATTTCAGGAGCTTTGTCGTTCTGTTCTGGGCGAATGCAGTTGGTTCCTGTCATGCTGGAGTGGCAGGGCTTACCCGCGCCGGACAGCACTAAGCACAGTCTCCTGCATCTCTTCCCTACAAGCATCACAACTGCCTTTGTGATCACAAATCATGCTACACAAATTCCACTTTGAGTATGACGAGAAGGATTTTCATTTTGATACAGCATTCGGGAACCTCGCACCCGGTCGCCAGCGCACAACTCACGTTCGGGCCGCGATTCAGCGGCTTCGCGGCCGGGCAAGTCAGCGTCGCGCACAACGGCGCATTGACGCAGCACTCGCTAGGCGTGCAGGTGGCGCCGTTGTATCCCACAGAAAACAAGTAAACCCATTTTCATACTAAAAACGCAATAGGTAAGCACTAAGTATAGTGAAACTGTGTTGCAGCTGATTATAGGGTCATTAATTGTCGCTAATCCACATTTACAACAAGCCGCTGCACATGCACACGCATCGCAGCAAACTGCCACTCTTGTGGTCTTCGAAGTCCAGAGTTGCCATTCACGCCAATTTGGCAGCACAAATAGACTTTTTTTCTGCGACGATGGGTGTATTTTATTTCTGTTGGATACGTCGCACTTAGCGAAAAAATCGATGACGCGCGCCGCGCCGTTGACGGCTGGGCAGGTGATTTCCTCCTTTCCGGCCGCGGCGGCGTATTCTGTGTAAAAACGTCCCCAGCCCAATATCAGGTTCTTGGGACCTCTGCAACATAAATCCAGAGTGGAACCTCTGCAACACAAAGTCAAGTCCTCGGGACCTCGGCAACACAAGGATAGGGAGAGGGTGGACGGCCGCATCACATAGCCATCGCCGTCTGCTTCGCCTTTTTTAAACTATTTTTGAAAATACAAATGCCGAAACACGATTAGAAACGCGTCTCACGGGAATGCGCATCACAAATGTTGATGATGTTCCTGATCCTGTAGATGCAAACGTGCATGAAAAGTTTGGGGTGACGACGTAGTCTTCACTCAGGATACGGCGCACGAACTACTCCAATCGCTGACGCAGCAGGTAGCAGCATCGTCGGCACAGGTTATCAAAGTGCACTTCCCCTGCAGCTCCCCCTCATCTGTATTGCATGAACAGCAATAGACACACCAACACACGTGGAGGCGGTGCATGACACGTACTTGGTGCGCCGAGTGTAGTACTCTTTGGGTTTTCAGAATCTGGCAGCATGCAAACAGTGTCACAAGGTAGCAACTGGATTTGGCATTTTGCATGGCCAATGAGGGGGACGGGGGGTTGTGCACTGCCATACTGGTGCATGCTGCTGCACTGCACCGCAGAAGGGTGGCCGCGGTGCCCATCACGACTGACGTGCCCGCCGGACACTGCACTTCGTATGAATTGCAAATACGTGTGGGTCCTCTGGAAGTGATGCAGCAAACTCTCGAAGGGCTACAGCTGACCACTTCTTGGTACGTAAACAGCTGCGAGTTTCTCATGCGGCATTCCAGCTCATCCATCTATTGCAGAGGATGAATGACATACATTTTCTGCAAACTTCCAGACCCGAACAACATATTTCTTGCATTTGATACTTCGGACTCCGCCGCAAAACCGTCCTTGCACAGTTCGTTCGGAACGCATTCGCGCCGATTGTTCGCATTGATCACCATGTTGTAACCGTCGTAGCAACTGCCTAGCTTGCAGCTCGTAACCGAATCAGTCACACAGTCGGTGCCGGTGTCGGGGGTGCCGTAGCTACAAAGGCACACGTTCGGCTGGCAACTGTATGAGCCTCCATGTCCTGGGGTCACGACTCTATGATAGCCATTGTCACAACTCTGGCAGTTGGGCAGGCCGATCAGGTCACTTGTGCACGCCCCCTCGACGCCGTGCGGGCACGCCCCGCAGTAAGCCCCACGGCAGCACAAAGCCCGTGTGCACCCGTGATATGGATTGCAAATATTTCAGGGTCTGGGGAAAGAATGTAAGGGCTGTCATACGCGGCAGCTAGCACGAGTCTTATATTGAAAACTAAAATCCCATCCACGTTGCCGAAGCACCGCGCTTTTCTGTCACGCTGAAACGCTAAGTATTTGTCATGCAGAATGGCCAACGCCTAGTAGTACGTTTTCTTCATGCTTGTCCGTCCATGAAGGCGTCCTCGTGAAGATTCTCCAGCCTACCAGAACAAGCATCACAAGCTCCTAGAAGACCCAAACTGATTTGCAGTGAATACGCCATCGTCGCAGCCGATGCTGGCGGCATCTTCCCGGAGGATAAGGTCAGTCCCGTCTGGTCCTTTGTTATTGCAGCTAAATTGTTCGTTTGCGCTTTCGCTTGCGCACGTTGTGGAAGTGCAGCAGGTTCCTTGGCAATCTTCGACGAACGTACCCTCATGAATGCTGACCGCGCACTGCTTGTTCAGCCTTCCATTCGGAACAACAAAGTCCTTCGTAGTGCATGTGACGTCGCGGCAGACAGTCGGTCCGTCGCAGCATTCAACTTCGGTGCAACCAGAGGGGCAGGGGATCGTTTCCGGACTGGCCTTACTCAATAAACTGGCGTCACCGATGGCACTGCTACCACAAGTACCTCCGAAAGCAGCAAAGCTCGTTGAAGCGTCGTCAAAAGTATACTTCGCGCAGGTTTGTTCCATGCAGCACGCATCAGTGTCTGCTGGACATGCAGTAGCATCAGCCTCTTCCCTGCAGGCGATGAGATTCCCCGCCGCGTCGGATGACAGTACTTTAGGAGTAGCAAGAGATCCACATGAATAGCTTCCTTTACTGGGGGCTGTAGTATCCGTAGCTGTGCAGGTCGGTTTGCAACACTCATCAGCCGTGCACGCCGCTCCATTACAGCTAATCGCGGCCAAGCCGTCTTTCGGCAGATACTTCTTGTCAGTACAGAAACCAGCAGGCTCATCCGCACAAGTATGCTTACAGTCGCTGCGCAAGTCTCGAAGAGAGGTATAGGCGACTTTTTCTGGATCCAGGCGGTACCCCCCCCCGATGTTGCACTCGCACTGACATTTTTTCATACTGCACCAATCTCCATGCGCAAGCGAAAACGCAGTGCAACGGTGCGGATTGTAGTAAATGTGAGTGGCGACACCCATAACTTTGTCACTAGAGTCCTTCAGCGCGCCGCAGAAATCCCCGCAATCGGTCGTCGACACACTCTGATCAGCTCCTGTGCAGCACAATTCCTGGGTACACCAAGGAGATAAAGCCCCAGGATCATCGCCGGTCGTGCAATCGACCAATTCGTTTCCTGGATAGGTGCTGGTCACCATGATGGGACTCCCCAGGCCGGCCCCGCTGTCTGCTTCTGCAGTTGGACAATCGTAACTGCGACACAAATATCAACTGCAAATATTGTGTCAGGGTTATTGGGAAAATTGTAATGCTCGTGCGCGGCTGACGTTGAGCAACAAGCATGACAAGTTTCTGGGCAAAAAATACGTCAAGCGTGCCCTTTCGCACGACGACGACAAACAAATGAAGTACAATTCTTTTTGCGTTTTTTGGTAATGAGAAAAGTAAGCTCTTTCAAGGATCACCCTGTAGCACAAGATCACGCACGACAGACTTCTCTCTCCTCTCAAGCAAGCAAGCGTCATTATAGGTCTTGCAAACTTCCAGACCCAGACACATTTGCAGTGGATAACAATTGTCGAGAAACCGCGGCTACGAGTCTCACCCCCGAAATGCCATGTTGATGGTGAGTCGTGAAAAAGAAGAGCGCTGTCACTGTTACAAAAACCTGCCCACGAAAGGTACGATCCAACATCGTTCTCGACGTTTTTCGGACGAATGGTGATTGAGATTGACGCACTTGCCTTGATGCTTCCTCCGACCTTGTCAACCGTTCCCCGCTCTTTGACGAGGCCACGACATTAATGGGGCAGAAAAGCTGCGACATAATTACTGTTCTAACCTTCGAATTTGAATTTGTTAGGGCTTCGAAATAAGTTGTAAATGCGTGTTTTTTCTCTGTGCTACTTCACTTGCGTACTAAGTACCTACGAGCTTTAGTGCTTATAATTGCCTCTACCTTCCTCACGCGCTTTCTGCGCCGCAATTTTGAAGTCCTATAGACTACCTCGAAAATGCAAAAGCTACTACAAAACACTTCTCTACTATAGTCGGGGTCGGGACACTGCGAAACTCGGCTGCCGAGAACCTGTACTCATGCGTTGCAAGTTCTTAGGTAATTTTGTTCATTCAAAAAAGACAGTAGCATCAACTCCGTGTAGTCGTCCAACAGTAGATAAACTAAAGATATTCATATTTGTCCACTTTGGCAAGATCCAGGAGCCACCAAAATGCCACTTGGGCACGGCAAAGCCGTCTTATTTGTCGTGACTTTTGCGTATTTAGTGCGCAACGCTCTTTTCAGAATGCCGTCTGCCGAGAGCGGACTACTGGGAGCGAGGAAGTACTTCCTTCTCGGAGGAGCATACTCTGACCTCACTACATACAAGTAAAAACTAACAGAATACTTTAAATTGATTGCAGCTTCAACAAACTTTCCTCCAGCATCGACAGCTGGACCGAGCAGCTTCTTGCGGCTTGTTTATCTTATCTCTCCAACGAGTCAGTGCTAGGCGGAGGTGATAAAGATCTAATCTTAAATAAAATCAAGTACTCCGTCCTCCTGTGACCTACAACAACCAGTTCAAAGCCTGAGCGAGCCACGTCTGTAAGAGTTGTCCGTTTTTTATTCGCACGAAGATCACGATGCTCACATCTTCTTTCTGTATTTCAATTGCGGAAATACTGTTCATGAACGTAGATTCTATTTTTTTATTGGGTCGACGACGACGTGTGGCAGCAAGAACGAGAACGACTAACGAACGGACGCACGATTTGATGCCGAACGATGAAGAACCATCTTTGAGGGTGGAACACAAAAAAGCATACGTAAGAACGGGGAATCATATTGATAAGTGCTTCCACTATACACACCTGAATCCGTCTTCGGGTCGATGGAGTCGTCGCATGTTCCAAGTACTGCAAATACTCCGGCGGCTCCACCTCCGAGCGCAGTGTCGCAATCGGTAGCCGCCAAAGAGCCATCTGTTTCACAACTTACAGAAACCGCGGCTACGAGTCTCACCCCCGAAATGCCATGTTGATGGTGAGTCGTGAAAAAGAAGATGAGCATGAGCGCTGCCACTGTTACAAAAACCTGCCCACGAAAGGTACGATCCAACATCGTTCTCGACGTTTTTCGGACGAATGGTGATTGAGATTGACGAAGTTGTCTTGAGGGTAGACGTTAGGGTAGAAAAGCTGCGACACTACTTTTGTTCTAACCTTCGCCTTATTCTATTTCTAATTCGTCACGGCTTCAAAGTAATAAATGCGTCATTTAGTTTTTCTCCGTGCAGCTTCACTTGCGTAAGTAGGACGTCAGTGCTTATAATTGCCTCTACCTTCATGCGCTTTCTTCACCGCAATGTCTGTGGAAGCAAGTGGAAGTTTAAAGAAAAGATCGAAAGGCTGCGTACAAAACACTTTTCTAGCATCGGGGTCGGGACACTGCGAAACTCGGTTGACAAGAAACTGCTCTATTTGGACAAACTTTGGCAGCCAGAAACCTGTACTTTGCAGTCCAACAATACATCATAAGACAACTAAGAATATTTGTCAAGATGCAGGAGCCCGCAGGATGCTACTTCGGCTCGGCAAAGCCGACCTTTTATCTTGCGGCGACTTTATTATCTGCGTACTTTACAACTATTTAGTGCGCAACGTCTTTTTCCTTCGAACGCCGTCTGCACGGAGTGCAGCACTAGAGTACATACTTCTGGAAGATGAAGCATACTAAAAACAACATACTTAATTCTTGGCTGCAGCTTCGACAAACTTTCCTCCATCTTCGAAAGCTGGACCGAGCAGTTTCTCGCGGCTTGTTTATCTTATCTCTCCAACGTGTCAGTGCTAGGCGGACGTGATAAAGATCAATCATAAATATAATAAAACCAAGTACTCCACCGTCCTCCTGTGACCTACAACAACCAGTTCAAAGCCTGCGCGAGCCACGTCTGTAAGAGTTGTCCGTTCTTTCGCACGAAGATAGATGACGATGCTCATATCTTTCGGCATTTCAATTGCGGAAATACTCGGCACGATTCAGGAAAAATTGCACGTAGATTATATTTTGGCAGCAAGGACCACGAGAACGATAACGATAAGACTTGTGGCAGCTGCAACGAGAACGACTTACGAAAGCACGCACGATCGGATCACGAACGATGGAGAACTATCTTTCAGGGTGGAAGACAAAAAAGCATGGGATTGACATGTGCTTCTACTTCCACACCATCATGCGGCAAACGACACGACTCACCTTTACGAAAAATGCGGCTGGCAGATGGCACTTTGGCAGCCGTTCTAGCACCATACATGGGACAGCAAAAGTGTTTGCTAGCACTGCTAACACAACAAGCAGCAGCAAAGGAGGGAGTTGACGACACAGCGTTCCAAGATGAACTGGTGCGTTTTCTTTCCGCATCGAAAACCAAACTCCTGCTCAACTTCATATTTATTAAGTACTTACTCAAGTACTTCCAATCACAATCAGGCAAATGTAACTTAGACACTTCACCACCCACGACAAGAATTGAACGAGTAACATGACAATTTCCTCACAAGCACACAGACATTCTGTACCTACTGCAGAAAATGCTGCAAGCGCCACAGCTTCATCGCACGTATTCCGCTACTTAGTCGTGTGTACCAATAGTTTCGCACAACCCAGTGCAGGTGCTCAAAAGGATGTTCTGAATATGAGCTGCAAGTGACCACGAACTAGAACCATCATCACGACCCGTGAGGACCACGAACAATCCGTTTGGGCGTCGAGATTAAGATACTTGTCAAGCCGCCGTCCTTTGGGGACGCGGAAACAAAAGAAATCAGCGCGCAAAGCTGGACTGGTGCAATTTGTTGTTGTTCATCTCTTCAATCATTTGATACATATCTGACTATCACTGTGATAGAGATGACGAATAAAGAAAACCTGTTTAGATGTTCTTGTAGTATCTTTCTGTAATAAACGCAGGACACTTGTTCGACCGAATTCACCCGACGGCCGCGCAAGCCGTCGTGTGTAGTCGCCAACAAGCTGCTCTTTCTTTGGTTGCACTACATCCTCCCACCAGTCGCCGTGTAGTGAACTAAACCCCATACAAGGGCACAGGCTCATTTCGCCTGGTCCAGAATATCTTCGACGGCAAATCCTGTTTCAAACCGCTCTCACATATCAAATGCAAAGATGTCTGGGTCTGGAAGATTCTGAGACTTGGTTGGTTGGTTGGTTGGTTGGATAGCGCCTGTCGCCGGTGCAGGTCCCGCCCTCCATCGATTGCGATCCGGAGTAGCCAGAACACAAGGCCCTAGTGGCACAATCGATCGACGAAGCCCTTTATAACCAGGTCACGGACATCCGGCTGCCGTGTTGTCATGCACGTTTTGCATGGCCGTGTTTATAACTTGCATCCGGCTGCCGTGTTTATAACTTGCCATGCACGTTTTGCATGGCCATGAAGTCTGTGATGAATGCCCTAGCATCACAGACTTTTTGAGGGCTTCGTAATGCCTATTCCGCATGACAAATGCCCTCTCCGCGTAGCCAAAATCGATTCCCTTTGCTGGTCATTTTTTGGAATCCAAATGCAGCATCACAAGTTCGGACTCTTCCAGACCCAGACATTTTTGCATTTGATACCACCCCTCCCCATGCAAATCAGTACAACAAGGGCGATTCTGCAACTCATACTAGTACGTGAGGACGACAGCGTCCGGCGCATCACGTCGACGTCGCTAGCGTGCCCGCATCACAACTTCTTGCATTTGCATCGTACATGCTTTGCACCTGCACGATCGAAACGATGAGACTTGCATGACAAGGAAACGGTCGTCGACGGAGGTGTGGGAGAAGCAATTTCACACAGGATACGGAAGGCCACAGGGTAGATTTCTTCGCCACAGCGCTGCTGCTCGCATCTCCTGGGCCGGCCTCGCCGTCGTTGCCTGCCGACGTCTCTGGGAAACTACAGGTAGTTGTATCATTAGGTTGTAGGATATTATCCGGTGCAAAAATATGTCTGGGTCTGCGGAAAAGCACGCGACTTGTTGTCACCATGCTGAGTCGTGCAATTTCGTAGTCGTACGGCATGACAGCATCACAGGTTTTCCGGGCGTTATTGCGAGTGCTACCTCCGTGTTGTGCAGGTGACAACAAAGTGCAATTATCTTTATCCGCCACGACAAACGTTACACTGGCCTCCGCAATACAAATGACCCAGACATATTTGCAAGGCATATAGGGGCACTTCTGTCTTCGTCGCCCGGCCTTCCTTCGGGAAAATGCGGTAGGCCCCCGTTTATCGAATGCAAATATGTCTGGGTCTGGAAGAGTGCATGTTTGTCATGCTTGTCTGGCACGACTCTTGAATCTGTCATGCACGTTACCCAAGAGCCCCACTCTGCTGTCATGCAGAAACGCTGTTTGTCATGCAGAATAGGCAACACCTAGAAGCTCAAAACCTTGTCATGCTGAGCCAGCACTTGTGGCCTCTTCATGATACGCCGACCAGCATCACAAGTTTCCAGACCCAGACATTTTTACAATCCATACCGTTTTTTCGTCAAATTTCGGGGTGGTTGGACGGGTCCTTGTCGTGGCGACGCTTTTACCCGTTTGACTCTCGGCTTTCTCGCCTCTGTATCAAGAATTGCAACTACCGCGTCTGGGTCTGGGACAAGAGTGAAGCTTGTCATGCCCGTCTGGCACTACTTCCATCATCTCCTGAAAAAACTACATTGCATAATCGACAAAAGCGCAGCCTCTGTCGTCATGCGAAAACACACAATGTCATGCACTCATGAGAGAGCGCTCTAACAACTTCTCGTACTTTCCGGCACTATCAACTCCTCTTCCAGTGATTCACAACTCCGCATCACAATTTTCTTCCAGACCTCCTCCAAGACATGTTTGCAATGCATACTGCCACGGACCCAACAGCACTGCTTTCGTCGAGGTCACCGGGAGTACCGGGCAACAAAAGCCCTTCACTATCCATAGAAAACAGAAAAATCTTTCCATGGTCGTGTGATGTACTTAATCGTCGCAAGGATCGTAGGTATGCAAAACATAGCTTCTGTCGCCGCAAAATAAACAAAAACATCCGCCTAGGCTCATTTCGTGAAGGACAATGATTTCATGCGGTTCCTTTCTGAGCCGCGCGTAACTTCTCGTTGTCCTCGCGGCGCGGAATTATTCCTAGTACATACTGCGTTGCTACCTGTCTTCCAAAAGTCAAACATCCGCGAAGATGAAAAAAGTTCGCCTTCTTTCTATGGATAGTTTTCACCACTGTTTGGGTTGCAAATCTCGTAGAATCCAGCTGTGGTGGTGGTCGGCTTCCCAGTGAAGGAACAGCTCTGGTCGTTAACATCACGGGAGCTGCCGCCGCCGCCGTGGTCCAGGGAATAAACTGTCTTCAATCCCTGCTCGGCGGGCCGGGGCCGGAGAGCACTACTATAATCTGCGTAGTTCTTGCCTTGTTGACTTACGGGGTCGGTGACACTCCGCGGCGGTTGCAGCAGCACGTTCGGCAGGTCTTTTTCTCCGACCGTCGACCCCGTCCGCAGATTACGAAACGACGACCCTGCGAAGACCCCATCACCGTCCTATCACATGCAAAAGGGTCTGGTGGGTCTGATAGAGTCACGCTGTTTTTGCATGACACAGAAGGTCTGGCATGGAAGTTCTAGCATCACAGGTTTCGAGAAGCGTTCGCAATGCCGAATCCGCATGACAAATCCCTGATTATTTTGGTGACAGAATAAAGTGGGCAACTTTTGCTGCCTATGCATGAGAAATTTTTCTGTGTTCTGAAATGTATGCACACCACAAGTTTGTAAGTATTCTTCCAGACCCAGACATTTTTACACTTGATACATCCTCGTCTGGCGCAAAACGCAGGTGATGCGAGGAGGTTGGAAGGCTAACGTCAGTCTCACCCGTATCGCCGCCGCCCGCGGGATGAAAGACGCCACTGCCCGCCACGCGAACTTGCCCCGCGGCAGAGGAGGAGGAGATCGTGGAGGACGACGCTGATACAGGGATTGTGGCAGACGAAGGCGGAAAACTACACCCCGGTCCGCCTGCGGCAGCCAGGGTAGCTATCGGAAGGATAAATCCCCCCTCCCCGTATCGAAAGGGCATCCCGTAGGAGATTTGCGATGCTGATTTGTGGCCACAAGTCAGGTCTGTCGTGCAAGAGAGCAAAGCCAGCAGGGCTTCCGCCGCATTACGCAGGCAATTTGCGATGATGCTGCGCCACCAGGGCAGACGCCTGCCATGCTAGGCGCCCGCCGCCACCTCTAAGCAGCCCTTTCCAGGCTTTGCATCTGCCTGCACTCCTCTATTGCAAGGCAAAGCTGATTTGTGTACACAAATCCCGCAACACAGCTTGCCATTTTGATATGGGCGGGAGGGGGGATAGGGATTTTTCATTTTGATAGTAGCACCCGTCGCCTGCTCTGGGAAGAGCTTCGAAAGATGAGCCTGCTCCAGCGCCTATCCTGAGCAAAAACGTCTCCGCCCCAGGGTCAACATGTTGGAATGAACTTATTTGCTAGTGTACACAAGTCGACCAGCTTAAGCTTTGAGTGCTGGTGCGCATGACAAGTTTGGACTCCTCGCAGTGTAATTGTATCTAGCGTAGTGAAGCCGCATCAGAAATTGATCAGCTATTCCTGATTCTAACAGGAGAAGCTTGCAGGTAGCATTTTTCAAGCATGCTTCTTATGGGCGGGCTGCACATGAGAAACCTGAGCGCTCCTGTAGGCATAGGCTTGCAGATTTCCATGACAAATCTAGGGTGGGAATGTTTTTACACAGGGTAGTACCCGGGAGGCGCCAACGCGCAGCAGCGCCTCGTCCAAGCCACGGGTGGCTATGCAGTGCAAACATGTATCTGGAACTGGAAGCATACAAACTTGCGATGCGCTATGTGGGTGACCCGGACCTACTGTGCATCATACAAAAATAAAATGCAAATCTGTACTCTTGCATCAGCGACTAGAAAAGCGACAAGCGTGTTTATTTTGCTCTCTTTTTACGCAGACAGGGAATTTCTGATGGAGGCTGAGCGTAGGCATGGCGAAGCCGTCACAATATAACCAATGACGCGGTTAGGTCCTCGTCTTGCTCTTGCATTTGCCACATGATCTGCATGACAAACATGGACACTGTTCCGGACCCAGACATACTTATTCGTCTTTGATAATGGCGTTCGTTATCCTGAGTAAAAACGTACCCGAACCAGAGTCAAGATGGGGACTTTGCAACACAAACCTAGAACTTTTGGGGGTCACGCGTCACGCATTGCAGTCCGTAGTGTAGTGCAGGTTCGCAAGGCCAGCTGCATCAGAAATCGATCTGCTCATCCTGTTTACAGCATTACAAATTCCAAAACACGACTAAAAATGCCTCTCCTGGCGATGCGCATTACAAATGTTCCTGTCATTGCAAATCTGCATGACAACTCTGGTGTGGGTAGGTTTTTGCTCCGGATATTCGTGGGTGGATGATCTTGCGTGTCTTTCGAAATGGAGCTCGCGGTTTCCTTTGACTGCGAGTTTGAATTCGCCTGGGAGCCGCAACTAGTGGATATCCAAGGTAGGAAAAGTGTTTTACACATTTCTTTGCAGCAAGAACTTCAGCATCACAGACTTACCCGGCATGAACTACAAAACGGAAACTTACAATGCGGAAGGGACCACAAGGGCGAAACACGGATGAAAAGAGGCTCGCAAGCATGTTCGGCATGACAGATGTTGTATGTCTTGCTTCTCGTTGTCCGCGAAATCACAATGTCGTGTATTACTGTAACTAAACACTTTTCTCGCGATAATAGAGTCGTGGTCCACGGTGCCATCCTGGCCCAGTTCCCGCCCGTCTTATGCATTGCAACTATGTCTATGTCTGGATTCGTAATGCTAAATTTTGCGAAGGACGACAAGATCTGTGATGCATGGCGACTTTTTTTCTTCTCATGCTGGAAGCAAGTTTGTCGTGCTACACAAGATTAAATTCGCAAGAAGCCGCGAAAAACTTGTAATGCTGCTGTGCCGTACACAAGAACCTCTTGGCACCATGCGCATGCATATGCAAAAACCACCATGACAAATTGTCTGCATCTTTCCACACCGCCCAGACGTAGTTTTTGCAATGCATACTACAGCTGACACTAGTACAGGGGCACCCTCTAATGCGGAAGTTTGCTTGAAGCCCGATCCACCCTTCGGGGGCTGCGCCAGGATCTTGGAGGAGAGGTCCGCCCGCGGCAAGGCACGAAGCACCCCGTCGACCACACTCCGCGCCGGTGCCACTTGTTCTTCCCCGCCCGGGGCCAAGACAGTGCCTCCGCCGCCGACGGGGACCACCCCGCTGTCCCCGGAAAAATGATGTGCAGGGGCACCAGTCGGGCCGCGGGTGGAGGCTGCAAAGTTCACCCTCTTCTTCAACACGCCGCGCAGAGCTATTTGCTGTCGCCCGCCGGCCGGGACGCTTCGCGACCGCGCCGCGGCCGCTCCGAGGATCTTTACCTTGCGCTCTGATGATGTTTCAGAAGAAGCCCCGTGGTCCGTTGAAGACGTCGAAAACGTCGCCTTATTTTTGGCCTGATCGTGAACTTCTACAGGTGTCCGACCAGCACCATCTAATCGCTCCACCAACGTCGCGCAGGAGCTTCTGCTGGTGCTACTACTAGCAGTACCACCACCGCCGGCCCCGGGAACCGGCTGCGGCGCGGTGCCGGCGGACGACGAGGCCGAAGACTTTTTTACCAATTCCAGCAAGATCCGAAAGGCCTCCGTGTTGTCCTGTGTCGACTGCGCGAGCACGTCCTTCAAATTTTGCTCCACCAGCACCATCTTGCGCGCCACGGCGGACTCCAGATCTTGGAGGCGCGGCGTGATACTCGCCGCGGCCTTGATGGTGCCGAGGCCGGTTGCACTCGACCCCGTCGTGCAGCTGTTGCTGGCTTTGGAGGAAGAACAAGAACTCTCCAGCTGCAGCGACGCCTTCTTGGTGTTGGAAGCCAGCTATCCCACAGAAAAAAGCTGGCAGGTCACATTTGTAATGCAAAAATAAATACACAAAAAAATATGTGGTGCGTATCCTAAACAGCATGCTATGAGGCCGCCCATGACAGCTTTTTCTGTGTATTTATTTTTGCATTACAAATCTGACCTGCCAGCTTTTTTCTGTGGGATACCAGCAGCTCGGACAGCCAGCGCTGTTGCCCGGCCATCCACTTCTCCTGGGCGGCCTGCAACTCCCGGCGCGTTTCCTCCATGTATCAAATGTAAAAATGTCTGGGTCTGGAAGAATGCAAGTTCGTCATGCTTGTCTGGCATGACTCGAGAATCTGTGTTGCATAGGCACGAAAAGGCTCTCTTCTCTGTCATCATCATCATCATCATTGAGACGAACCCCCTGTGGTCGTCCTCACGGTGTCGTCTTGGCCCTAGGCTGTTTCGGACAGATGTTGGTTGTGTCCGGCAAGAGGACGGCCCTGCCCGGACAAATGTTGGTAATGTCCAGCGAGAGCACTGCCGTGGCCCGTTTTCTGCCGGTTTTTGGCTTTCGCCAGGAATACCCGCAACACCACCCGTGGATAGTGAAACCCATGGCAGGCTTTC